GACCAGCTTCTGTTTACTGGTGACTCGTTTCATTTAGATAAAAGCAGCAAACTGCGAATTAGGCGCGGTGTCTCGAAAACTTATTCAACGAATCGGTGGAGTTGAGCGGCTTCAGTAATCTTAAAATTGTTCAATCAAAGAATTCGTCAAAATATTTAGACAAAATTGATACCTGCAATAGATAGCGCAAAAAACGGTGTTTTGGGGAAGAGTAGCAACGGCCAATTCAAAGGTATCTTGCACACACGAACAAGTGCCTGTTCAGACGGATTGCTGAACATTGTCCTGCATCCCTGATGAAAGGCACGATGAAGAACATCAAAGGCTCCATTCTGCAACACTTAGTTGAAAGTGGCCATCACGTACGGATGAACGAGCCCTTTAAGTCGTCTGTACCATCCCTAGATGCTACCCAAAGAAGCTTAAAAACATCTATTGGTCATCGCGGAAGCCATCGCAATCAGGGTGTTGGAACCAGAACTGTGTAAACAGCGGACTCTAGTACAAGCTTTGAGTTTGCATTGGCCGTGAACTCGCTCCAACATTAATCGTCCAGCGTTCATCACGTGTGTTTGTGTACGCTGCCTGGTCCGATTGAAACAGCTATTGATATTTCATACCGCTTCGTTAATCAACTGTACACAAGTGTTATTTCTCCGTTCATTTATCCACCTGTGACAAGACTTCCAGGAACTTGTTTACGTCTTAATATTAATATATATTATTATTAATATATATTAATATATTCTGACTACAGTTACCTGAAGGGATTTATCGAGAGGAATGATCTCCGCGCAGTTGTTAACTTCTGACTCCATGGGAATAACTTTATGCAGTGGGACGTGGTCGCTAAAGTCTGCGAGCCGACACACTGGGTTAGTCAGGCCGCAATTGTTCAGAAAAGAACGGCGATTTGCATAGATTTCAAGCCGTTGAATGAACCGCGTCTGGCCAAGACAAAGTACTTTACCAAAGTTGATCTAGCATCGTTGTTCTGGCACGTGGTCTTAGATTAATGTTGCAGCTTTTTAACAAATTTCGCCGCACCGTTCAGGCGTTTTAGTTGACTACATTTGCCGTTTAGTTTTAGGATTCCAGAGAAATTTTTCTGGAAAGCCTATTGCAAACTCGACGGACCAGTAAGATGACGCCACTCTGCACCACTTTTTGTAGTGTTGCATTCAAAAGAACATAAAGCTTAAATTTGAGCTCCGAAAACCAGAAGTGATTTGATTGGGCGTGTTCTGACTTCCGAGGAAACCAATGTCAATCCTGGAAAGCATAATAACTTACGAGATGCTACAATTTAACGTTAAAACTGAAATCAGGACGTCCATCCGTGGGCTGACTCACGAAGGTGCAAAGTAGATGTGGAGAAAGAGCAGGAAACCGCCGTCACGACCATCAGGCATCTCATCAGCAATGCACCAGTGCTCGGTTACTACGACCGGGCTCTGCCTTTGAAAGTGTACTGTGAAAGTAGGTAGAGCGGAATAGGTGGTTCGTATGCAAGATGATTAACTCTTGACATTCCGCAGTCAGGAGCACATATTGGCGAAGCAGAGCTATGCAGCGATTGAAAAAGTTGCTCGTTTTGTTTACTTGACAAAGCCTGGAGAAAGTCTGTCTTGTATAGTGACCATGGACCGCTGGTGTCAATAGCTAGCAAATCGTTGCACAGTGTCTTTCGACCTCTTCAACACATGCTTATCTGGCTCCAAATATAGGAAATTGATTCTGTGTACACCTTGGAGACGCAAATGCTCTAACAAGAGCTCATCTACCGAAAGTTGAACATCAGCAAAAGAAATCGAGACAGTAGATCTGGCGGTAACAAATAATCATCATTCATCATTATACACGTCAGCTAGAGGTGTAAAATACCTCAGCTACTGTGCCGCAATACATAAAAGAAAATAAATACAACAGTTGCATGCCAGCTGAGCTACCAGCAACGGATGGGCATCGTTCCGGAAAGCTACCAGCCGGCTACTAGGCAACAAGACAAATTATGGTGTAAAATTATATTACGCTACGAAATGAGATCGTGGTTGGAGGCGGAGGCTAAAGGGGATGGGAAGAGACAAAGAAACTCACAGCAGGAACGCCACTGAGGTCGGCTCCTAGCCATATCAGCAAGTGTATCTAGCCAAACGTGTTCATCGTCTTTTGGTCCCCAACCAAGGAGCCGTGAAGCTCCAACCGAGGCCAGCTCCGAAGTGAGCGCCTTCATTCCTCTCGACCAAGTCATCGCTTGGCCACCTCTCTTCTTCCATCCACGCCCCCGGCGCGCAAACAACGCACGTCGTGGTAGTCGGTGGGCTGGCATGCGAAACACGTGGCCGAGCCATCGGAGCCTTGTGCATGAAATGACGGTGCTGAGCGGTTCATTTCCATTTCCTGTGCTGTAAACAAGGCTTCGAACATCCTCGTTGCTAACGCGGTGTTCCCACCAAACGTGAGCAAAACTGCGAAGGCACCGATGGTCGAATTTGGAGGTAACGAAAGATCATCTAAAAGAAATAAGGCGCCATACGGAAGCAGACGCGACGTTGGAAGAAGTGATTTCGAGAGGTGGTTAGAGACAGATTAATTGACGCTATTCTTTCGGGATTAACTCATGGTGAGTGATGGCTTGCTGTTCTGATGAAATCGCATTTTGATCCCGTCATTGTTCCGCGAGGAAATGCTGGCACACAATCATCCAGTCCACTTGGGGACTGATATTTTGGCACGGAATGAAGTGTCAACTACGAGATCATGTGTCAAGCTGTTCAGCCTGCCGATCCCACGAAGCTCACCGATTTGGTAACCAGATCGTCATTGTAGAATGCAGGAGTTGACTTATTTTGTAACAACGGGAAATACTATTTCATCGTAGGGGGGCACTACAGCGACTATTTTGAGTTTGGTCCACACATCATTACCACTACAATAGCAGTCATCAATGGGATCAGATGTCAGTTCGTCCGACATGAAATATCGGAGGAACTTGTCTCCGACAATGGCCCTTCGTTTCCAAGTGCTGTGTTCCAGACCTATGCAAACAAGATGAAACTTTCGCATCGCCATACCAGCCCGTATCACAACCAAGCGAACGGAAAAGCAGAGGCAGAAGTCAAACAATCCAAGAGGCTATTGTCAGCGACTAGAGCCACTCATGAGGACCCGTATCTGATGCTGTTGGAGGTTCGCAATACGCCATCACCGAACATCGGTCTCGGTTCAGTGCAACGTCTGTACAGCAGAGGGACAAGAACCCAAGTACCTTCATCAGCTACGTTGATATCTGATTTTACCATCGCATGAACAACTGTAAAAGAGTTTAAAAACTGATAAGTCATCTGAGACAATGAAAAGGCTGCAGTACCCAATCGCTACTCGAGTTTTCAATAAACGAAGAAGTGTGAATTCAACCGATACCGGGTGTCCATGAGGGATGGACGGGTAGTGTAGTGAAGACGAAATTTTGAGAAATGTTGTGCAGTAAATGCTACAGGGAAGCTAATAGGAAGGAACCGAGTACAGAAGACTCTGGGGACGAGAAGGCGAACCAGAAGCAAAGCACCAGACGGCTTAAGGTGAGATCACAACGGCAGGGGTATCAAAGACCACGCGGAGCGATAAAGCTATGGAGACAACATTCACTGAACACGACCTGCATGGCATAGAGCTTCTTCTAGGTGATCGATTTCTTGAGTTGGAGTATGCCGACGACACTGCTCTTATCTGTGACTGTTTTCAAACGTGTCAAGTAACGTTGAACAAGCATTGGTTGTCAGTTATTTCGCGTTGTGTTTTGCACCCTCTAAGATTGTCAACGACCCACTCCTGCGCTGATCCTCGGTGGTGATCAACTAGAGGTCGTCGGAAGATTCAAGTATCTAGACAGCTATATCAGCGCCAGCGGAATTGAAGATGAGATAACAAACCGAATAGCAAAAGCTCGAGGCGCATTTGCTCGTCTCCGCTATATGTGGCGCCGGCGCGATATCACTCTCGCCCTGAAGGTCAGAGTTTACGATGCAGCAATCCACACAACTCTCCTATATGGTTGCGAAACCTGACGCATCAAGCCGACGTTCGATCATCACTGCCTTCGCAGCTTAGCTCATATATGGTGGGAACACCGCTTAAACGATGAATGTACTCGCTGTCGTATGTTTGGTGCAGGAAGAGCGAGTGAACCGGTCAGCGCCAGTATATCACGCACTAGGCTCTGATGGCGAGGCCACGTGTAGCGCATGCCAGCACACCGACTCCCGCCTCGTACGTTGTTTGCGCGCCCGCGGACTGGATGGGAGAGGAGGCCAGCCGATGACTTGGTCGAGAGGAATCAATCAAGGAGCCGATCTCAATGGTGTTTGTGTTGTGATTTCCTTTGCCCGTTCCCATCCAGCTTATCTTTCTCCTCTAAGCACGATCTCCCTCTTAAAGCACAATATGTCACTAATCAGTGTGTTGCCGGTTTTTTGCATTTCTAATGTTTAGTATATTGCTTTTTCTTATCTTTATGTATTGCGGCACAATAATCCGTGTTTCTCACCTTCAGCTAATTTGTGATGATGATGCTGGTTAGGCGTACGGAGTAAGACAGATGCGGTTGATCACGGAAAAGGGAAGAATGCGATGGAATTACGCAGAAGAACGAGATAAATTTACGTGACTAACGAGGCATCTATGCTGATTACCTAATATTTGGTTGCGCTGGAGTGGGTTTGTTTGACTGCAGCAAAGGAAGGATTTCATGCATGCAAAGAGATTTTTGGTTATGGAAACAGCCTAGCTATACACATCGACGCTTTTTAGAGGCCAGCTGTGCTATTATCTTCAATAAGATTGCTTTGTTGAATAAACCGTTTGTTTCTGAAGGACTGAATTCTGCGAAAGTAGGTAATATGTTCCGCACTATGCGACAGTAGCCTAGTGTTACGAGGCTACGCAAATTTGATCTGGTCCACACGTCATTGTGATATCCCGAACGGATTCATCACTCGTTTACCATACACTGAATGCAAGAATTTATTTGATTAGTATACATGACGACCAGGTTACTCGTCGGTCGCAGCATAAGAAAGATCACTGGAGATCAGTGTATCTGGAGAAAATGGAAAGAATGCGGTACGAAAGGGCTCTGATTTCCAAGATATGTGGGGAAAATAAATAGTTGGAGCAGGATTACACGGGGAGTCTTGCATACAATTGTGGGGAATCACGATTGCGATAACGCCCGGTGCGACCGTCCCAGTTGATTGCGTAACTGAGTACAGAATGAGAGCACGTTCGTTGAGTGGTCGGATGGAATCAAAACGGGTATTGCCAGATAAGCAAAGATGATGTCTATAGTAAGAAAGAGGTGGAAAGGAAGTTCAGTGAGCAATTTCGCCTTGAAATGTGGGACAATTCGTGAAAAATGCAACGAGGACAAGCTACTTATTTTATGATGAAGCGCAGCTACCGTGGATCCCCATTTAGGGCAGCTGATGGTGATCGCTTCAGCCGGTTGTCTAGATCGATGAGAATGGTTGTTTTATGCTCAAAGCCTCAACCGATGGAGCACTCCTTCGTCAACTTTCTGAGACCTACTCTTGGAGCTATCTTGCACAGACTAACAGTCACAAACGTCGTTTCACATGAGAGTGATCAAGCGAAATGTACTCGCGTCTGAATAAAGCCAGTGATTATCCACTGTCTGTTAACTTGTAAACTCGTTCTACCACCAAGCGATGCAATACGCATGGGTGGGTTTGCGCGTTTCGTTTCTGGTTAATTAAGTTGCTTTCATCAGGCTGGCTTTGAAAGGCTACTGTCTTATGGCGAATAATGCATCAAAGGTGTTGCGGAAAACGCCGCAAGGACAGCAGTGCGATAAAGGCAAAAGCGGACCGCCTTTTGCAGCAGCTGATAGACTGGCGAAGTAGATGATTTTGTAAGTGCTATTTCTTGCTCTAATTAGAGGTGATCTAATGGTAATGGTGGTAATGTTCTCGTAAGCCCCACTCACCTGAACTCCGATCGGATTTCCATTTTTCCCGCATAAGCAGGTCCAGTACGCCGTTCAACGCATCCGCAACCGGTATTGAATGATTGCTGTGACAGAAAAAAAACAAGTAAAGCTTGGGTGGGAACGCCACAAACAAACGTCGCGCCACTTTGATCCATAGTTGCCGAAGTGGCAGAGCGGAGTAGCTATACCGTGGTTACTGCGACACGGGCTGAACTAGCGTCTTAGTTACCCACACACACGTCTATCATGTACGGCACTTCGTTGGTACGGGTGACCCACTTCACCAGACAGACTTTCGAAGGACTCCATAGCAGAAGCCGAACGATGGCCATCCGCTTGTTTGTCCCACCAAATGTAGTTAATGCATTGTAGGCACCAGTAATCGACGACAAGCGGGACCGCTCTCACTTTTTTCTTACCTGGGATTTCGGAGGAAGAAATGGATTAAAGCACGTTTGGAGGAACTAACCCTACCTTGTCTTTCACATTCACACGTCCGCACGAAAAATCAATGATGTTCTACTTCGGTGTATCATTCCGCTCCACTCTCTATGATGCTGAGAATTCATTGCAACTCTGTTTCGCCGGTGCTTACGTCACCTCCTGCAAACTCTCGGACAATGATAACTCCATATCTGAAGGCCTCAAACCCCTATGGAACACGAATTACGGATCTCTTGTGTTTTGCCACATTACCAAGAAGATTTCACCTATCTCGTTCGAGAGCACTTGCATCCATGACACTATGGCACACAACATTTTGATTTTTCCGTGCACCAGTGCCACAACCCACTTTAGTCCTATTGAATTCCCACACTTATTTGCAATATTATGTATAAGCAACCTGCACAGTGTTTCTGATTATGATCTTTTCGAGAAAATATTTGTACCATTTCGATAAACCTATGCCTGTCGCACCTATGTTTGCTTGTCGACCATTTGATGGTGCTTGTATTGATGTGTCCCAAATATTTTTCTGAGAATAAGCCATCTATTTATGGTCACATTGCAGTTAACAAAATAGCATTGGATATTGATTTCTCCATCGAGCTGGGCAAATGAGTTGCGGACGTTTCGCTATCAATGGAAGTGGTATCCTCGGTATGTAGCAGACAACAGCTTGCTAGCAACTGATGAACATCAGGCAAATCTAAAGGAGGATGCCGCCGATTGCAGAGTTGACTTTTATATGCATATTAAGTGTTAATAACCACATCCCGTCCGGATTGGCCGTCTCTTGGAATGTCCACGGATACTTACTGTTGGCTGTTGTGCTTGTTACGACGTAGGTTGGCTCCTTGCAATTCCGCTAGTGCATTTATCATTACACACTGAATATGCCACCTGGATTGATAGCGAAATGTCTGCAACCCGATTTCCCAGCTCGGTGAAGAAATCAGAACCTCTACAACTACCTCGACCTACTGACACTTGTCATCGACTATTTGTCTCTGACTACATTCAGGGGGACAAAACAAGCTCAGGTCTATCGTTTTGCATTAACAGTGGAACCCTTCGTCGTAGCAACAAATGTAATACTCTTGATATCAATCTGGGTGCTCGAATCATAGTTGACAAGCCAAACCGGTGCTCGTGATTTCGGCGCCATCGAACACTGCGTATGCAAGGAGCAGCTACCCGCTGTTAAACAGATGTTCAAACTGCCTGTCTATCATCGTCCGCATAACTGTTAGTGGACTACAATAGGATATATGAGGACGAACAACAGGTGAAAACATACGTAGTTTTGGCATTGCTCGCGTTTAAACGAAAAGACACAATCGCTCGATAGAACACGTTGACCGTCTCCTGACGAACTGAATCGCTTGAACTTTTTTCTTTTGATAGTGCTTTGACCAACTCGTTCCCTATGGCGGACATCGAAAGGTCATCTTTGGTCAGGCGGGAGAACCCCAAAGCATCGTTCTTGAAGGATGTGGAAGATAGCAGCTGATCCAAAAGACGACGCATCATTGTGTTTAGTTGGTGAGTCGCGGTTGAAGCGAGGAAAGGTTCCATTCGACTGCACACCTCCTCCGTAACAGTGCACGAGAGGAGCACAAAGTCGATCAGGGTCCGAATCAGCCGACTGATGGTTTGTGGTACCGGTGCCGAATTTCGACTGGACAACATCTGCAGATAGAGTAACATGTATTGAATAGACCATTTTTGGCAAGGTCAACGTGAATTGGTCACTGCCAGCACTTTGCATTTAAAATGTACAAAATCCGAGATAATGCGACAGTAGTGTTTATCATCACAGTTTACCTACGGTCTCATCTCGCAAGGTTTTGTGAATTGAACTTACCTTTACGCGCCAATAAAGCTACTAACTATCTACAAAAATCACCTGAAACATCTATTCTATGACTGCAAAGCGTCAGAATGAATGTGATTACACCTTGGCAGCTCTGCCAGTCTGATGGTACTCACACAACCTCCCGGGATAGTTACCTCGGGGTTTACTACTCTAAACGTAGGTTCCCACTTAGAAACACATGGTCGCAGCACCTCGGATATAATAACAGATAGTTGAGCGAAGGTGTTGATGCCTTGCCCGACCGCAATGGAAGCTGGGTTCAAGCCGACGAGGGACGTTGTGAAACCGCTTGATCTACACAAAATGTGCGGACTTCAGAGGTGTCAACCTGCGATATTTGTGAGTCGTATTCCACCGAATACTTGCCGTATAAAGTCTTCATGACTTACTTCGCATGCCCTCAAACGAATTTCCTCTGGCGCGGCATGGACGCTTACAGCATTCTTACATCAACTACTCACATCGGAAACAACTTTCATTGACAACCAACTAAGCAAATTTGGAGTACAACTGAATATAACAGGAATGAATACAATGTTGCCGATAAAAACAGCTCTGCATCTTCTTACGACACTGTCTCTATGTGTCGGTAGCGGTCTTAAGAGGCATAGTTCCAGCTTGATTCCGAATTTAGCCAGAAAAATGAATCCTAAGCGAAATAAAGTTGACCAGTCTCGACAGCCGAATTTAACAGTATCAGACTTTTGCGCACTCTGTTAGATTATTCGACAAGTAACAATCAATATTCCCCGATTCTGTGTCACATCGACAAACTATAAGACCTATTAGGAAGAAAGAAATGCCCAAGTGGAGATAATATTATCGCGAGACGAAATATTTTCCGAACGATGCTGCCTACAATTCAACCGATTTAGGACATTAGGCTGTGTATATCTGTCTAAGCTACCAGTGGTGTGTTTACAAACTCTTCTGCGAGTGCGAGAGAAAGTTCGAAAACTACAACCCTGGTAGGCATCTGCGTAAACAACTTCCCGGCACTATGCTGTTTGATATTTTGCATAAAAAGATCGAGCCAGACAGTCACCATTTAGCCGGGAATGTGCTCTACAGCATTGTCTCACCCCAGCAACTGATTTCAGCTTCAAACTTATCCTTCCTACTAGATACAAACGATGCTTCGCGAACACCTGTGATGAAGGAAGGTCAATATATTAGCGCCTACAACGAGTGGTAGACATGGCTCTAGCCTTCAGCGATACGATGACGGTGTCCGCTCCAAATCGTGCTCCATATATTTTCTGCGTGACACTTTGTCGCATGTAGCCGGATTTACACTTTTCGTCTTGGTTCGACGACCACCTACTAAAAGCATTTTCTATGGAATACTTACAGCTGAGATTGTTTCCACCGGATTTACAAATTTGGAAAATTTTCGCCCTTGTTCAATCGTGGAATTTCGCGGTTATAATCACACACCCAGAATTGTGATCCCCTTCGACAGAGGAGTCTCTCAGCTTTCGATCAAACTTTCACTCATCTCATTCCATCACCGTGTGTTACTGCTACAAAGTAAACTACGTTCCCACTGTGAAACCATCTCAGCGATGCAACCGTCAACTTTCGTCGCTCCTGATTTCAGCCGGTGCCATCAACCAGCCTGCCCAGCACGATAAGTGTACACCAGTCGCCTTACCTGCGATCGTATGAATCACGGACGGAACACAAAGTACGATGAGCCAGGCATTAGACCTTGACATGAGGATCGGCGACCAACGCTAACAGCCGGCGATGCGACAATTAACCGTAAAACAAGCAGAACCATCCCGGCCACAACACTGGTAACCCAAAACGAAGTACTTTGCGCTAAGGTAGTAAAGGTAATAGTAGTAGTAGGTAGTAAAAGAAGGATTGACTTTTACACATTGCATTGGCCGACACCATTCGAAGTGCGTCAGGATCTGTAGAACCGAGTTCACTTTGATTCTGTCCGAATTGTACGACGGTTTCACTAGTAAAATGCGTACTAGCATTAACACAAAAGTACGAGTCACCGAAACCGAACACCGTCCAAACGCAAAAATTGCTTCGCACGAGGCGACAATAGCACACCTTGCACCTCATCCGTCTCCCCTAATTGCTGCCACGAAACCAAGGAAAAGGGCCGGACGTTCACACGGCCACGCAGTACTAGAAGCCATGGGAACCATGAACTAAGTCGTCATCGCGACCTATAGAAGCATGCCTAGTCCCACCACCCACATCCTCTTATCCAATGAATCGGTAAAACCCACCCATCCGATTGACCAACGAAATTCGAAGCACTCTAAACACCGATCCACTTATGCAACCGTTGCCGCTCGACATAATCAAAGTGCGACCTCAGTAGCCTCACCCAATACAGCCGCAAAATGGGTCAAGGACCAGGTGCAACTTGCAGACGTCAGCAAAGCTTTCGATAAAGGTGCTTCCCACATCAGCGAAGATCAGGCGGAACTACAGTGCCTTGACATTTATATGTGCCAACATTCCTAAGTTCAAGGCAAACTCCTTAAGGAGTAAACAGCTGGATGATTTAAAGCAATGGAATTTCCCTTGTGATAAAAGCGGAGTTCAAGCCATGTGGACTAATTTAATGGGCACCACTAGACATTTAACCTCGAATCATTATGGGGAGCCCTGGCTAATGCGAGACGGCGCTTTAGTCGGCACAACGCCTGCGGACTGATAACAGTGGAATACGCATATTTCCGGATGTTCCATGGAGAAACGCCTGTGGAACAAAAATAATTCAAACGACCACCACACAGAGAGCGGCGTGCCCGAGCAACCGATATCTGACAACGAAGAAGCCCACGCTCGTAACCTGGAGGAATGGCGTTACATCCGTGAAGCTCTCTGTACTTGCGACGTCATGCTTCAGTCGATTACCGGTACCGTCAAACTACCGAGGCAGTGGCCCGAGGATGCAGTCACAACAGATGGGGGTGAAATTAATCCTTAGCTGGCAGATACCACGCAATAATCTTCCTTCGGAACTACGACTGAAAACAACAACTGGACAGCCGCAGCCACTCGCCGTTCTCGCGAAAACAACACGCGCAACTTAATATAACCACAACAGCGACTCAGAAACCTATGCGCTAAGACCCGTAGCTATCGAGAAAGCCACCGATGGACCACATACCGCAGGTGCAAATGAGACAGAAAACAGATTGCATTCATATCAAAAAACGATTAGGTGCCGGCCTCTCATTGGTTGCCACAAATCCACCTCTTTCATGTGCTCCTAGTCAGATTTTGACAACTGAGAATCTTTCCTGTATATACACCAACGCTTAAGGCTTACTGAGTAAACTTTCCGAGATGCGGCTGCGTCGAGGATCCAAAGGCTGTGACCTCGTCGCTATAACGAATAGAACGTTACGCTCTGACATAAATGACATGGAGATCGCACTGCTAGACATGTCCATTGTTCGGCACGACTGGCCCAGAAAAAGTGGAAGGGTGGCTATGTACTTTCGCAGTGAGCTCCAATGTGAGCCCATAGAGAATTCGGTCAGCACGGTACAAGATTCCCTTTGGCGCCGTCTAAGTTTAAAAGCGACGACACCTGCTTGGTGGCGGTCATTTACCGCCCTCCTTCCTCCACGCCCGAGATGGATTTCCATCCGGGTGATAAACACAACTTACAGTCGCATTCTCATTACTGATGATTTCAACACACGCTCTGGAATCCCAAGCAGCTCACGGAAAACAGTTTAGGGCGGATCTACAAGAGCTTGTCTCAACTTTCCCGCTGTATGGCCACACCAACACTCCCACCTGATTCCGAGGAAAAGATAAGCCGTCAATACTGGATCGGATATTCACCAGCGAAGAACTGATGGTCGAGAGGGTGATCATCGATGTCCCCCTGGATCGCAGCGATCATGTAGTCCTACTCTTCGAATGCATTTGCTATGTAGAATATCCTGTGGAAATTGCCGACGCAACAGAAACGACTATACGCTACGACATATTAGCTCAACTAAATGAGACAGGCAACTGGACCTCGCTCGCAGACGAGGAACCAGCTAGCGCATGCGAACATTTCGTCAGCCAGTTGAACTCTATGATTGCCGAAGCATCAGTAACTAAGACCTCCCACCCGAGAAACGTGGTCTCATTTCTGAAAGCAGGACACGCAACTGTATAGCGGTGCGAAACAGCCTGGCACATCTACAAACTCTCCCTGAGCACAGAAGACTGGATTGTGATCATTTCCAGCCGGAATATGCCGGCGAGCATCGATCAGTTCCAGAGACTGTGAAGAGACCCAATGTCCATGTTGTCTTATGTTGCCTTGACTTACCACATGAGGATTTGCCTGTTGCTAGTAAGGTCTGGTGAACATGCGACCAGTAAGCCTCAATTGTCTCTGGTGAGCGCTTACTCAACTCGCATATCAGCGTACTTTGATAGGCATTCAGAACAGCTAGCTTTGCCAGTTGACTGGTGTCAATGCGCTCACAGCGTCGCCTTGGGCGTCCGCCGAAACGCATCCGCATGTCAGCAAATACAAGTGCATGATCGGTGTCCACACATGTGCTCCAAATCCAGCGACAGTTCTGGATGCAGTCTCTCCAGCGGTAACTGAGTGCAATGAGATCGATTTGTGTCCAAGGCTGATGGGCCCCAAGTCACCCTCAGGTGAGTGCTATATCCGAAGTTAGTGCTTGCAAGAAATAAGCGGGCATCTTCACATAAATAAAGTAACCATTCACCGTTATCATTACGGGAGCCTACACTGTGCTGACCGCCCAGATGCATTTCATCAGTGGACAAGTCTCCAACTTGTGCGTTCAGACGCCCCGCCAGCACAACAGTGTCCGTGCTCCTGTGGCGAAGAACTAGGGTCAGTTGGCGGTAGAAGTCGTTCCTTACCGAGTCATCGCTACCATTTGTGGGCGCGTAGGCAACGATGATGAAAATAGACACCTGTTAGTCCCGCGCGACTTCGAAGCTTTGAACGAGCCAGCCAATCGGACCGCACACATCCGGCTACTGATTGGAATCCAATCAACCAGAGCAGCTTCAGCCAACACCAGCTTGGCCGGTGCTCGAAGCTGCATCGTCACCGAATAGGCGCAATGAGAAAATACTGCTTGTGCCACCTGCAGGGGATCGCAGAATGAGCACAGGGCCCAACTCTTGCAGGCGGGTCTCCGATAAGCAGCACATATCGATCGAGAGGGTCTCCATTTATCGGGCAAGTGCTGCCTGTTGACCGATCTGTAGTAGTGTGCGTACATTAAGGCATGCCAATCTGAAGGAGGATCGAGGGCTCCAAATGGAAGCCGATGAACTGGAATGGATCGCTTGGTTAGACATGGGCTTGTCGACAGGAGAGAAGTGACGCTCCGCGTTAACATGAGTTGAAACTAGAAGGTAAACGCCTAGCAAAACATGTTGGGGGAGGGCCAAGAATAGGATGTTGAAAACTGGGTGGATAAAAGTGAAGTTGGAACGGGACCATAAGGGGGAAAAAGCGTAAGGGGGGGATAAGAAGACGGGAATGTTTGGGCAGTAGCATCCAAACTCCTATCCCCGCTGCTCGATGCAGCAGATAGGGCACTGTTGATTATCCTCTGCGGTGGCCAGAGCATCAGAAATTTGTATGAAGAGAGATCTATTGGATTGAGTGGGCAGGATATTGTCAGGTTGCCCAGGCCTAGACATGAGAACGATTAGGGTTCTCAACCAAAGCCTTTGGTTCAAAAAGCTGACCGCAAGGCAGCGGGTTTGGCGTTGGGGTACAAGCAGTCCGTTTTAAGCGATAAGGTGTCACCCTCATTCCAACCACCAACCTGGAGGACCAGGAGGCTGAGTTTGTCTGGCCTCTAATCATTGACCAATCTGGTATGAGTGACTCTGAAGGTGCGAAAAGCACCACCCAGCATAGCTCAATGGATCACTGAGGCACACAAACCATCGCACCACGGTAATGTCCAGCCTTATTGCGATGGCAAGCAACGAGAAGGAAACACGAATGTCAGCGGGCACCTCCTAGGGGCCGTTCTACATATACGATGGCGAGTTCCTTTAGCGGTTTAATCAAGCAGATAGTTAAGAGCAATGGAGAACATGTCATTGATGGAGTCACCTTTGCGATGCGATATAGTGCAGCCTGTGTTTCGTTGAATCGATCAACCAGCTGAGTTAGCAGAGGTCCGACTGCCAGTTGATCCATAGTTATTGGAGCTTCCTGTAGTAAGAATTAAGTGGAGAACATGGGAATGAAATTGATAAACTAATTGGTGTATGGAAATCAGGCCTGGATGTGAAGAAAGAACTCACCTGTTTTGGGCGAAATGTGAAAAACGGTGGTCGCACGGCGCTGGCCAAGATGTCCGCTGCCGAGACTAAAAGGTGATGCACAGAGACCAAGTTCACGGGAGTGAATTGCGCTACTGAAGGTCTAGGAGTATTTCAGCGTCAATCGTAATTTTTCAATCGGTCGCAGCACATGCGACCGGGTAGTTATCGGCCCAAGCATCTAACGCTCGTAACGAAAAACGAGTTGACAAGACTTTCTAATAATGTAATTTTAATGCTAAACTTTCCGCTTACTTACAAAAATGAACGAAATCCTGTGATAGTATTGGTTTTAGATGCAAGAAAGTCCCCCCGTCCTATACTGCACATTGTGAATTCGATTGTGTCACCGTCTATAGTTGCAATCAATTTGTCATTTTCTAAACCAGGGGCTCAAAAGAGTGAAAATTTTTTAGAGTTGAACACGGTGCACCGCTCAGCATTATGCGAGAGTAGCCATAAAATCGCGAGCTGATACCAAATGGTTTGGTGAATTAGTACATGGTACGACTCTGTTAACTAGCATGAAGTCGATGCTGGTCGATGCGAAAGCCGTTTGCACTGTGGTTTTTAGAAAACGGAAAGCACTGGTGGAATAGAACTTGACACAGTGTCGGTGCTCTGCGGAGATTCTGTGGGTTGATCGGATGTGTTACCAGAGATTAACCTACCACCACGAAGATACCCTGGTAAGATGGGGCAACCAGCTGCCACTAAAAAATTCATGTACGTCAGACCTATATCACCATTTATCTTTAAGCTTAAGATAGGATCTGAGAATGATCGGCACCATCATTTACAATGTAATTTCAATGCTATCTAAAGGTTTCAGCAGGGTGCCGGTGCGTCGTACGGACACTCTGCTGCCACACTACCACCAGCGGTCCGGTGCTGCGAAGCTATCTGCATCTACTTGGGATCGAACCAAGCGATCTGTGGATTGCAAGCCAGACATCTGAAACACTCGACTACCGGTTGACCGACGTTGCTTTGGTTCCGAGGTATGGTAGGTGTCAGCGCAATTAGATGATGTACTCATGAGTAAGGGGGATTTTGACATAATTAATTGAGGTTCTTCACAGCCAACCTCCAAATCAGATAGATGAGCTTATGAGAAGACGAATTCCTCGGATGGATCGGTGATGATTTATTGAATATGTGGATGATACCTAGGAGCAGTCCCATCAGGACGAGAGATTGCATTTCACTGAGCCAACGACGGTATTCTGATCTAGGGTGTTTCGGTGTTGAAATGTAACGAATTTGCGTAACTGCACGTTAAATGACTTCAGTTGAGTTTTCTGGCAAGGTGGTAACCTTGAATTGCTGGTATTTTCAAAAGGAATAGGCGGCGTAATTTTCAGAGCTCCATTTTAGACAGGGATTTACTTTAGGCGATGAACCAAGTTGCTCAGAAGGTCGAATGATATCGATATCGCTAATCAGTTAAAACGGTCACACTCTTAGCACAAACCTCTAGCTTCAGAGGCTCATATTCAGCCTTAGTCACCTACATCAAAGACACAGGCGATACACCAGCATCCTTTTCCGACGCTTAATTACCCCTCAACAAGGACCAGATAAGGGGTTTAGTCAAGAATGAAAGATGCACCGACGAAGAGAATCACATCAAGATGGTTGAATGATCGCATACTCACGAGGAGTTAGTGGTCAGTAGACCTGTGAAACAGTTTACGTTCAGCAATCGCTGTCTCATGGCATTATCATATCATCGGTAGGCGAACCAGCAGGCTAAATGGGAAGGCTCAAAAAAGCATCATCCGCGCTGTTCGGGATCACGACTCGAGCTCGACAGGAATAACAGGTGGGCGAAATGATGTTTATTGTTCTGTTTATCGGAGTTAGAATCGAATGGCCTGTTATGGCTTGCGCCTTGAGCAAACGACGCTGAACAAGAAAGTGTATTGGGAAAATGAACCCAACGTCTGGCAAAAGGAAGAACCAACAACACTACGAGTCTTTTCGGTTACATGCACGCTCGGTCATATAGGAAGGCGGGGGCGCAGATGTTTTACAACACGGGCGACGATGTTTTAGCGCCACAGAAACACGGTTGGGCCGGATAGTAGAAAGATAAAGCTGCGGTATATACGCATGGTTGTTTGTAGCCAGTTACGCACTTCGTTTTGAGTCACGCATTTTGTTCCGTTTGCTGTGCGCAATCACAACGCACATGTAAGTTCCGCTTTACGCACACAGGCATGGATACCGTGCAGACAGTAAGTCAAAACAACCAAGCTCACCAGGTTTGCTCAATGTGTCGATCAAATAACACGTACCAAACTGCATGTACTCGTTTTCATCGTCCCAACAACAACCTTGTAAATTGGTGACTGCTGCCACGCACAAGCGACATCGATCGGCCAAATGTGAGACGACGGCTGACAAATTCTCCACACACTTGAGCTGAGATAGAACACTCGGATTCTTCGTGCGCCTAGCGTGCGTCAACCAGGTGCTCTCGATTTTGCTCTGCGCAGCAAGGAAGGAACATTGTAGTTGAATGTAGTAATGAGCGCATAAATTCATGACGAATTTTGTATTCGAAAGCCTAAAGGTTCTGAATGTGGCACAGATCGTGGTTTTTTCATGTACAAGTGATTAGCATGCACTATCACGTTTTGTTATTTCCTATCCCCATCAAACTGAGTTGTCACAAATTTAACCGCGCTCACTCAAGAAGACACTACCATGGGACATTTATTGATGAAAGGACTTCCCCTTTGTTTAAAAAGGAAGCTACGTTGACTTGGGTAACTTTGACAAGACTAAGCGCAGTAGTATTCACGGTGTGCTGCACTCTGTAAGGAGACGAAGGGTGAGGTTAGGAAAGATGCAAGAATTACAGGTATTCAGACGCAAACAGTATTGTAGTCGTTGACTTACTGGCGCAGACCAAGCAAAGAAGGGAGCTTGGACATTAAAGTGCACGACTTGCGTTTGAACAGCATCTGCGGAGCCAACACGTGATATATTGTCCGTGCTGGTGGCCAAAGGAGATATTTTATTCCTGTCGTCGATGCTCGGCGTATTCGATGTTTCCGATGCGGAGTGTAGAGATAGACACGAGCCTTTAAAAGAAGTAGCCTCAGAATCGCCTATGTTCGAATGTGGCCGTTCCGACTCATCCACAGGTGACGCAAAAGTGACTTTTGGCTTCGTTAACTCGTACAAATTCTCTGCGCTGTAACTTTGCCGCTTAGTGGCACGTGACCTGTGCAGCTTGAACAACGGTGAGCTCAAACGACTTAGCACCCCGGAGAATGGGAAGCGTTTAGCAGGGGAACGAACCACCTTTTGTTTGGCATAAACCGATTTCATAACGGGTTCCATTCGTTTTGTTTGAACTGTTAGATTAGACATAGACACGGAGCGATGAGGGACAGTCATCAGCTGATCGGTGGCACCATTTGATTTCGTCAAACCGCTGGAAGACGTGCACATTGTCGTTCGTATTTTGCCTTGTGGTCCTGAAGGTCGGTGGCTTCTGGTAGGTGAATGGTTGGATACACAGCTTGCAGCAGGTATTAGAGCAAGAGTAGTCGGTCGTGTTTTCGGAGACTGATCCTGCTCATATACAATGAGAGTTGGCGACTGGCGTCTGGTTGGTACCATCTGTGGTAAGGAAGTAGAACTGGACAACTTCTCTGAGACTCGGTCCCGTGTCTGATAGGGTAACGATGACTCGCATATTGAGGAGGGGGATGTGCGAACCTTGACACTTGAGGTAGAGCGAGTCGGTAATGAAGTCTGCTGGAAGTTCGGTGAGCCCGAGTCAGTTTGTTTTACGAGATCGGATAGAGGTTCCGAATGGTCTCCACGCTCAGATAGTAGCTGGGAATCGCTACCAACTGAGGTTCTATCATGACGCAGGTTAGAGTATTTGCCGACGGATACATTTATGAAACGCTCGTCTGAAAGTTTGTTATCAGGTGTGGGAGCATCGGTTTGCAGTGGAGACAGCAAGCGTTGGATCCGAGGAGAAGAGGAAGAAGAAGTGCAAACTTCGTTGCTGGTAGGCCCAGAAATGCCTTCATTATTGTCGCATAGCGATACGAGCGGAGGGGAATCACGTGCGGCGGGTGAGGTCGATTTTGACGGACAGATATCCATTGCTTCAGAGCGAGCGGAAGGCGGGCCGAACCAATTTGTTGCAGAGATCCGTTCGTTTTCGTGAGATACTTCAGAACCGAGTGCCGCAGGGTAGCTACGATGCCGATACACCCAAGAAACTGCTGCTTCAGCCTCTCGCATCTGGTGTGGTAACGGTGCACGGACGGTAGGGAGTAGATCAACAGCTTGCTCGAAAGTGTCATCATTCAGATCTTGATGACAGGTAATCGATTGACCGCGAACACCCCACGGACGTCTGGGTTCATCCTCCTGAAGAAAGGAAACAGTGGTTAGATACTGGGAGGGGAAGATTTGGCGAATAAGCACCGGATACTATTCCATGGCGTTAGAGATCATTTCCAAGGTGACAAGTGTCCAATATCACGGAGTTCATGAGTTCTGAAGGTTTAAATACAATAAAGACCTACAAACACCGATTAGAATTTTAAGCCTTCCAAAATCATAACACAGGAGTTCACCTTGCCAACCGTACTGTATAGCTTGGGCTACTATATCGAAATAAGGAAACAATTTAGGGTGCACGTAACTAACAAGGGTGACCTGTGACCTCTTAACAATATAAATGGAGGTACAGAGCAAACACCATCGATGGGGATGCAGCTATTTAACTGATCACGTTCGATAGTGATGTGCGCTGCGAAGAGAAAGGAATCATACACTCGGATCTAGCTGTAATCAGTCGGCAGACTGAGTGTTAGTCATCGCTAACAACTACAACAACCATAATGACTAAACACCCAAATTTTCCGCGGTGGCGAAACATTTCCATGATCAAAATCGAAAATTTCGCGAAATTTCTGCGGCGCAAACATAAAATTCTGTGATTTCACCGCGAAGACAAAAATAAACAGAAATCAAGACACCCTCAGCCAACCATATACATGTACGTCATGATTCAAAGCGGAGGAATTAAAATAAAGTCCAACTAGGTGTTTCGTGCTACTGTCTGAAAGGTTGTGACGATTAACAGAGACAACATTTTTGTAGGCACTGCAGCTCTGTACAACGTCTACCGAATTCACAGGAATTCATAGATAACGACTGGTAATGTCTGCCAGTTATGGAGTTCTTTCATGCATCCCGCACCAGATGACCAACGTGTCCTCCCATTTTTCTCCATGCAGTTCTTCCGCCATCTTTCGATAGATCAGCCATTCGTCTGCCAGAGTTAGGGAGCCAACTAGACCTGGAACGTCGGTATACCTGCATGAAGAAGAAGGCATCAGCAATACGCCGGTACGCAGTACCGACGCTTCGCTACCGTGCAACTACCACCAGTCGCACGTGGGCTAAGGATACTACGAGGGTCACCCGGTCCCTACGCATTCTCGAACCCGCGCCCTCGGATTACAAGGCAGGCTTGTGATCATTAAGGCTACGGGCCGCCATGGATCACTTGGCAAGTGATGAGCTGGTTGGAGTCGAGTGCTCTAATGGCTTTCGAAAACGGCCAGCTAGCCTCTGATGTTAGCAACTCTTGGGCTTTTATGGCAGCTGGGGAGAAGTAGAGTTGCATGTCCGCGGTCGTATCTGTGAATGAGGAGGCAAGGGGACTTGGATAGCAGATGTTAGACAGATAGTGGTTACGGTAGTCCAGAGGAGTGTTTCAATAGCCAGCTGGTTGTTTTGGCACTTCCCCGCACACAAGTATATTGATTGCAACAAAAAGGAATTCAAAGTAGCTTTATAGATTTCTCATTTTTTACGCGATTCCGCGGTAGTTTTCATTATCGGCGACAGTTAGTAAATTCCACGACTTTTCTGCGTTTCGCGGGATCGTGGAAATTTGGGGTCTTTAATAATGACCTATGGACTGAGGAATAATAATGGAGAAAAAAAGAGGGCCCAAAGTAAAAGCATTATTACCCATGGCGCTTACACCTTGACAACAAAACGCAGGTAAAAATAGCAGAGCTAAGACAGCATATTTATGAGACCCGTTTCCTCTATCGCACTTTGTCATGATCAATCATGCTTCGCAGAAAACTTAGCATCAGATGCATTTTGGACAGACGATAAGGTCACTGGTGCTAGTCGCGAGCTATATCCTGTAGAGATTCGGGCCAATCGCACGAGGTGACTCCCAAGAGGTTAACTAAAGGAGGCGAGAATTCAAGTGGGAGATAAGAAGAGAAACTCACGCTTGCCGAAGCCTGTTCACGGACCATGTGGGTAAAGAAAGGGACAAATTGAAAAGGGGAGGTTAACTGAGCACAGATGAACAGTGCATACGTTTATGCGATATGTAACAGATTCCAATCAATGCGGAGACAGGGCGCTTTGAGATGGGGCGTTAACTAGTGTAACTGTGGAAGTGGATGGGCCGTCGACGATTACTAAAATATGTCCACTGAACAGAAAATCTGAGCACAAAGTATGATAACACGCTGCAGTGCTAAGTAGCACAACAATTACACGCTTGTGCAAGATGCACGCTGTAGAAAGCATAGTCTCTTGCTCAAACATGCCATCGGCGTCGCACAGAATGGGGAGTGGTTATAGACTTGAACAGTGAGCTTGTCACCGAACTGTTGGGTGAGTGACAGATCACACGCTGCGCAACAGAACAAGGGATAACTAATATTCGGTGGAAGCGCTGTTGCATGGGCGACAGCAAGTGAATGAATCAGAAGATATAGTCACAGCTGGTCGATGCTAGGTCTCGCAGTTTCGGCATATAAAGAGAGTTGCATAGTTGAGGGAATAATGGTAAGCAGATAGGCTGTGGGCTTGTTTGCAATCAGATGGTGCGTTTTACAGTTGAAAATGATGTGGTGACAGATAGCAAGTGACCAGATGTAAGTACGATAAACGCGGTGATTGTTGGACACGAAACGTAGGGAGAGGAGAGCGGATTTCGTAAAGTCGTGGCGAAATGACACCCATTTTTTTCTGTCTAAGTTGACTGCATACTAAATACTGCTCGGCGCAAGCTATTCAGGCAGGAGCTCAAGTTAAAGTAGTGTAAAATGCAGAACTTACGCTTGTTGAGCCCTGAAGTTGAAGGAAAAATAAGAGGGATTGGTCAATAAAAGACATGGTGCGATGAACAGGCCGGGGGGGGGAGTGTGAATAGAGCGACTAGCCCTTTGTATACTGTGATGCGCTCAACTTTCTGAAGAGAGCCATATAAAGGCTAACCTTCGATATATCGAAATGGCTACGATAATGCAACTGTAAGAATGACCAAAAACCGACTACCTTTAAGCAAGTTAAATGCAGCTAATTCGTAGAATGAATATTTAAATAATGGCGTGGATCACTCACCAGCCTTCCATCCGGGACACCTAGAAAGTTGATGTTCATGAGTTGCGCGTCTAGATAAGTATCCAGATCCCGAAAAACAGCTGCCTGTTCCATACTAGTGGTCTCATCGATGCGAATGTCGTCTGGACAAAAATGAAGAATGTGGCCTGACATAAAGATGGCGCAACACAACTGACATGGGATACCCAATCATTGATTCATAATACTCGAAATGACACGGTAGATCAGCCATCATGCTAAGTAAAGGGTTGACCGGCTCGTCCAGACAGATTCGCAGTAAAGAGGTTAACGTTAATGCGACAAAACGGTGGTCGACACTTGCGACAGAGGGCACTATAGAACCGTTAGGGAGAATGTGTTGCTGCTGTTCAAAGCCTCGTGACGACTGAGTCTGCAGGATCATGAATAAAAAGTGCGACTACATTCAGTCTTCGCGTAATGGTGTACACAGCCCGTACCTAATCAACGTCCGAGTAATGTTGCCGAACGTCTTTAAGACCATGGAAACCCGGCTTTAGGCTCAAGATTTTAAACAACACAATTACGATCATTAGGTTAAGTCGGTCAATCATGTGCTTTATGCACCCTTGAAGAGTGAACATTCAGTCCTAACACACACGCCACAGAATGGGATAAATGATGCAAAGGGATAGTACAAGCGAACAGATATAAAACCACGATCATTGAAAAGGATTTGACAGTGCAAATATCGCTAGAGTAATTTACTAGTCAGTTCTTGAATGACTGAATTTTTATCGTTCAAAAACGTGACAGGAAAGGAACAAGAGATGTACCATAGGCCCTTGTGTGGGCGTATGTAGTTTTGTAGGTCTGTCTGGTCGAGGATGAGGTTGATAAGCATTCGGACAAAGCGCTGTGGAAGGGATGGCTAACATCTGTGAGTATTTTAGATGCAAACTTGTTACAGGAGTTGACATGGCTGGCTACAATGATGTTGACAATTTTCATAATTAAAATTCCACTGCACCAGGATAGATCTATTGCTTACATTAAGGTCCTTGCTCAGGAGACCAGGAAAGATAACTGGAGAGCAACAGATCCAGTAGTGCAACACACGCAGTGATAAAATGCTGGATCAAAAATCCGGGTACGGAAGAAGACCTGAGAGGTGTAACATAGAATGAGAGTCTTCTTATCTTAGCGAATGTTTCGTTCAGGTGAATGGACCACGTAAGCCTACTGCTCAGCATCACTCCCAGATATTTTACTGAAGTGGTAGAAGTTTAACTTACACCGTCAATGCAAAGTTCTGGACACTGTGTCAGAATTTGCTGCTAGCGGTTTCCTTTGAACAGCGTAAAAAGGACATCCTTGCATTTTGAGGTGTTAACGGTAGGCAACGGGACTTGGACCAAGCTGTGAGGTTGCCCAAGAGGGCTTGTAGCTTGGCCGATGACTCATTGCTAGGATGATGGACGCCAAGGGTTACATCGTCCGCATTCTTCAGGGATGGGGATTGAGGTAACGTAAGTGGAAAACAATAATGGGGCATAATGGCTCCTTGAAGAACGCCAGAGTTCGTGGTGATTAAAGAAGAGATTTTCGCCATTACGCTGGCAAACTGGGTACGCCTGGTAAAATAATCTTTCAACAGAAGTCTGGACTCCGGAACCTAATGGATCGGTGCAACAGTAGTTGACGGTCCACTCAACCGAAAGCGTTGCTAAAATCCAGGAAGTAGATGCGGATAGATATGTTTTATTATCCAGTGATGAGAGCACAGTATGTAGCAAATATGCTACCGCTTCTAAAGTGGAATTTGAGCTGCGATATGCAAACTGATGAGGGTCATCCAAATGGGTCTGTGATGAGATCTTTTCAAGAATAATCCTCCCAAATGTCTTAAGAGCAACCGATGTGCATGCGATTGGACGATATTTGCAGGTTTCTTTCTTTGGCACTGGCGTGATGCTTGCACTTCGACAAATGTCAGCTATCTTGTGTAGAAATCGGCGAGGGGCTCAGCCAGGTAATCTGCACACTGCTTGAGAACCACAGGAGACAAATTATTCAGACCAGGTGCTTTGTTCATCTGCAGCCCGATTAATTCTCTGTGTACTTATTGGCTGTTCACAGAAGAAGGGTTATCTGAAGCTAGCTGTAACTCAGCAGAGGATATATCAAAGGATAAAGTCACAAAAATTTCGGTTTAGTTTTGCCACATCTGGAGTTGAATGCGTGACCTCGGGTGTGACTCCGCTTAACTGTTTCAGCATTTTTCATATTTCACGATAATTATTGTTGTTTCCAAGTATGGCTTGAACGTAGATATCGTTGAGTCGACGCAATTCGAGTTTTATATCAAAAAATAGAAAGTTTACTGATGTAACATCAGCGTTTGAGAACCTTTGCTTTAGGTTTACACAGTCGTTTGAGATGTTGTGAGGAGAATCTGTCTGCACGGATAAAAATTGTTTCAATTGGACAACAAGTGTCGAAGCAGAAGTTTAAGTAACTAGTTAACTGGTCATAGTACTTCGATACGTCTGCATCGTAAATTAAACGAACAAGTGGAGATAATAATTTCACGCAGTCGCTGAATATCCTGGGGAAGGCATTGTCTCTGCCTGAACTTTCGATCTTTGCAATGGGTGAAATCTTTATGATGGTTCGCCTTGCTACTAATAACGAGAGATAGCCTTACGATGGCATGATCAGAGAGAGCTCCCAAGCGGTGTCCGACTACAAACAGAAAACACTTTCATGTTGTGAACAAATACCATGCCAAGTGTTGCATCTAACCTGGTTGGAGACCACACTATGTTCTTTAGCCCGAGGCTCGCAATGAAGCTGGTGTCAGATCTGTTAAAGTCACCGGCAATTATGCACAATGAGAGTTCGAGTAGCACAGCTGTAAAACCGTCGCAAAATTCTTCGAGTTCGTGGTTTGGACAGCCGGAAAATATATAAACACTAGTCAGTAAAATCGAACGATAACCGTTCAGCAGCCCTGGTTTACATTTTACGATTAAACAGCTGATGCGTTGCGAGCCGTATTGAAAAATGCTTTTAATCGACGGGCACTGTGAAGGGTTAATGTAAATCATGATGCCACCTCCGCGGTTCCTCTGTGTACATTGGCAGTCAACACGTAGAGTTAAATCCGTCGAGTTCCACAATTGCAGCTTCAACACCAATGTGAAGTAAGGTTTCTTGCAGCATAATGATGCCCAAAACGAGAATACTCCCGAGCTTTTATAAGGCTTTTGAGGTCGTCTGATTTACCAACTAGCGATCGAACATTAGCACTGAGTAAAACAGGTAGGCTCATACTTCCCATATGCTTCCTACTAAGTGTAACCCGCCATCCTGCACGGTGTTTTTGCGAAGAATTCCTTTTTCTTCTTTTGATTCTTTTTGTTTTGTTTCTCATAACTTGGCCAGGAGAAACCGCCTAGCTCACTTGCGTGAAAGGGCGCAAAAATTTCAAAGTAAACGATTCTGTCCATGGTTATGGAACAAAACATTGAGAAATTAAAACAAAAGATTTTTGATTCAGTGCCGCGAGGCGTGTGTATTAGTAAGTACTTTGGAAATTAATTATAAAGCACTGCCAAATTCGAAGGCCCCGCCGGAAGTATGCGCACGCCATGTGATAAGTTACGGAGCCGAATGGACGACACTAGAACGGCCTGTGGTCAGCGGAACTTATGGCCGACCAAAGAAGTAAACATTCGCCGTAATGTACCGAAGTTTGGTGACATGTGACCCGTCTCAGCATCGTAGTGTTAACCGAAATGACAATCGCACCACAAATGGAATTCTAATGGTTGCGGTCGTCCATCAGCTTTCGCTTTATTGTACTGGACTGGTTCCTGAAAATTTGTGCACATGAGAGTTAACGCGCCGTGGTTTCTTCTTGTGACTGTCGGTTTTAGGGTATTAAATAGCACCGTTTGTAATGGTTTGGTGGACTATGGAAGCTGCGGCACCTTAGCTTTGCTCGATGCGGTTGCCGGAGTCAAGGGCGTTCCCTTCGAGGTTTACATAGAAGTAACCGATGCGTACGACGCCCGAGCTTTCTTGATGGCGGGCTGCCATCATTGCCACTGACTTAATGTGGGCTGCATAATTGTGAGGAGTGGAGACAGGTATGCCCCTCAATAACTTGCTTAAAAGAGTGAGCTGGGGCATAGAATATGGAGATAAAGATTGTGGATCATTTGACGCTCTACTTCCGCCTAGAAGCGTAGCTTCCAGGAGTGCAATCCTGGTGTTCACCAAACGCTCGATTGCCTCAGTCAATCTGTCGCCTTTTCTCACGAACAGTTGACAACCGGAACGGCTCGGTATGTTGGGTAAAACCAAATTACGCCGCCTAATTTGTTGTGCTCTCTCACTTCTTGTGTCGACTTCCATACTCATCTAACGCAGTTTACGCATATTATACCCATCTCAAGCATACACCGCGTTGCATCATGTTTGGACCGCTGCTTGTACTTTTGTGACCACTTGCCGATTGTGAGAGCCACCAACTTCCGAGGTTAACAAAGAGACGACGGCTAATATCAATCATAAGTTGTGTATACCTGAGTGCGCACAGGACAGATTGGTCGGCTGATCGATTTGTGTGGGCGACCTGTCGGTAAATGCCGAGGACTGAAGCTGGATGTGCGCGAAGTTGGGTGAGAATGATGGGCAGACAGTGGGCTACTAACTGCTCTATAGCTGCTTTAAAAAATACAATATGTGAGCGAACCCAGGCTTGTTGGACGTCTCCGAGATAACTCCATAGAACACAGTTGGCTAAGTAACCCAGAGGCGGGAGAGAATGGTTATACGCGTGTGTTAGCATTAGAGCTGTAAAAACAGAACTGCTGGAATCGTGATCCGTAGGAAATGATTTTGTACAAGGTGGCTTAGAATATGGAGTAAATTAACACAATCCGAATGAGAGTAAGCTGAATGTGCTGTCAGAAGAATTCCGTGAAAACGAACAGCGTTAATAAGGATTCGGCCGCAGCGTACAGAACAGTAATGGTTGTAGCATTTGTTGACAGGATATGGAATGAGGATAGCAGTGGAGGACGTGTACCGGAAGTAGCATTAACAAACGAAATGAGACAAAATCATGAAACTCAGTCCTACCGTACTGTTGGCACCTGACGAAATGAGGCTTAAAATAACCGAAAGGGGGATGTTAGTACTGCGGTATTTCACGCAAGAAAATGGCTGGCTAGGAACTAATGCGCAAACCGACTGATCGCCTGAAACAAAGCGGTGGATAGATGAAACCGGGTGATGTGGCAAGAGAACTTGACTGTACCTGAATTGCTGATATCCACCATCGATGTGGCTTCACTGCTGGAGTGCACACTGAGTTGCGGATCCAAAGTTTCAGTGGACTGACTAAAGATAACCTGAAACGAGGCAAGGAATGATTTTAAGTAAAGCAAATGGGGTGGAAATGGTCAAAGCAAGGTTGTCCCAACCACAAGTGGACGAACAAGGTGCATAAACCATTCGTAACGGTGAATTACACAGGTTTTCAAAGTCCGAATACTGTGCTAGCTAAAGCAACAAGCTACAGTAGATATGAATTTACACGTAATCGGGAAAAATTTGGACTATATCCAAACCACACACAGGAAAAGTGTCGTAATGCAACTGCACTTATCCTAATCAGGTCATAATGACGGCGTACACACTTCGCGCTTCCGGTGGCGCTGAAACAATAACCTGGGGCATTTACGGCATTGGATTAGTTTCCAGTAGACATGTGGAAGCTGCTGTCATGGACTAGATACAAGTGAACAGATGTATCAGTGCCACTCGATTTCGGAGCTCAATTAGTGTCAAAAAGTGACTGCTGAAGACTATATGTTTATGTCCTTTCGGCTCACGTTCCCACCGACCGAAAGCTCATACAAGGTATTCGTTACAGACGACATGAATGTCCAGATCAATCGCCCATCGCTATCAGGATTTCGATTCTGAGACCGCTCCGAGATCGATGCATGCGGTACCAACAGTGGTGGCCGCTTTTTTTAAGTGCGCGCAAATCACAACCTCCAAAGAAGCAGGACAGCTTTTCAGCACAAGCGTTCACTCTGAGTTAGATGGCGGCCACCGAAAGCAGGCTGTTTTATACTCATATTCATCGCATCGTTAACAGCTTCAGATGGCGCGCATCAGTACAAGATTGTCGTACGAATTGGAGCCTACCCTCGTGCATATCAGCATAATAATCATTCTTCCGAAGTCGGCTAAGCGCTGAACTTCAAACACCATTGCCCACCAGTGGTTTTCACAGTCCACAAAGCAGAAATATCAAGCCGAACTGAAGCAGCTGCTGCCAATACTGAGGAAAGACGGACACAAGAAGAGTACAGACTGGGATCATCCTCGATGTATACTGCAAAAAGTACTCCCATCCTGAAGCGGTTGAATAGTTTATGGGTTTCTGAGACGCAGCTTAGATCTATCGAGGCAATAAAAACGATTCTGTCGGGATGTTAGTATCAGGACACTCGTCAAATTCTTAAGCATCACATGACTAGGAGTCACGGTAGTGACCAGGAGCATTGGTGTTCCAGCCGATTCGATGTACGGACTCAATGAGGACTCTTATGGATCAAACAGCAATAGGAAAAATGAACAGCCGCATCACTCTTGAAGACGTCTATCCGAAACCTGGACCCAACGTTTTGAAGAACAATGCAATCGGTTCAGTGTACCGAAATTGCTAGTTCGGACACCTGAACTCAGTAGGAACGATGAGGTAACGGATCCCACTATCGAACAATTTCGACACGAGCCAGTGTAACAAAGAGCCTAACCCAGGCAATTTCCACCATCGTTACCGAAAAACCCCTCTCTAACCCCGATATCATTTCCTACGCATAATAAAACAATTTTGCGGCACAATAGCCAGCTGGTAGCTCCCCGGAACGATGTCTATCCGTTACTGGTGGCTCAGCTGGCGTGCCTATGTTGCATGGTGTTTTTTTGTTCTCATATATGCCCGCACGCGGGCCTACGGCTCATCTGTCATACCTTATCTAGCTAGATTTCTGCTTGATCCGAATATTATCATTCAAGAACTAAACAGCAAATTATGTTAGTGATCCTGTACCACACATGAAACATTGTTTTAGCTGCCGTTTTTTTACTGTGTTTGCATGTATTATATTGTTTTTCTTTGCCGTTTAGATCGCGTATGTGTTACAGCTGAAAATCCACCCTTCATGGGTGCATATAAGCGAATTCTTGACTTGACTTGAGTTGGCGCATTGCGACACAATAGCTAAGGTGTTTTTCACCACTAGCTAACGTGTATAATGAATGACTCACTCAACTGATCTATTCAACACTATCTGGTATGAGTATAGAGTAACTTCTGACCGGCAGTTGCCAGCTTACGTTCTCGTTTTAAACAGAGCAAAAGAACTTTATGTGGTGTCAGTCTCCTTTCAATAGTTTTCAAACTACTCGCATGCATCATACTGCGTGGCACACCGATTCTCGTTGTAGCTGAGTTAGCGAAATGCTGGTTGGTTTTCGCCCCGGCATTAAGTGTATTAGCTATACTTTCAATCCTCGGCAGGCGCTGGAACGTAACCACACCTAAAAGTAGATTAACATGGTAGTCTTTCTTGACCTGAAGGCTGCGTTTGATTCTGTATGAAAAGTGTACCGGGGAAATTCCTCTTTCTTTTCTAATACCGCTCCTCTAGCTAGTACCGCGACTTCGGTGGCCGTATAAGGATGCGCGGGAAACTCTCCCTTGAGTGGAGTGCGTCACAACTGTCCCATCTTTCCACTTCTCTTTGGGATCAAAATAACCGTAATTGAGTTTACCGCGTTCTTCCATTTCTTCTGGGGTCGCATTTCTGTTGGCTGAGGATAAACTTATCTTTGAATCAGACCTACAAGCGTTACTGAGTAGGCTGACGCTGTGCGCTTCGGCATGTGCTCTGCACTTTCAAAGTATAAGGTACTGCGTTACAGGACTGGGCCGACATGTGTAGTAGCGTCTGGTCGAGGGTTCTGAGGGATTCCGTTTCCAAGGATCGTAATAGATCGAGGGAGCTGAAACGGAAAACAGATACTTCGTAGGCGGCTGGACATTTACATCACAACCACCTGGTAAGAGTCGGTTGGATGGAGGGTGTGTCTAGCTGACGCCTAGGGGCAAGCTGGACGGCGTTGGCACAGCTGATAGAGGACCGAGCGTGAAACAGTTGGATAGATTGCGTGAAAATGCACCAGATGTCTGCTCTAACAACCTCGAAGACGAAATGGGAAGGCAAAGATAAGAGGAGACAACAATCACAATCTAGGCTAAGCTCGACGACATCTTACCTGTTAGCTTGCTACAACGACAGTGACGCCTTACAACATGCCACCAATTTTTGGAGACAAGAAAAAACCGCACGAAACTATCGATCGGTTTACTTACTTGGGTAACTGTACCACCTCTGGTGAGCAAATCATCGATGAAGTTACGGCACGCATAGCTGAGGCTTGTGTAGTTTTCAACGCAGCAATACGGTTAGTGTTACTGTACGGATTATCATCATCATCAATACACGTTAGCCGAGAGTGAAAAACACACCTCAGTTAATGTGCCGCAATACAAAAAAGATAAGAAATTATACATTACAGACTACAAAAGTTATAAAAAGTAAAATAATGCTAAATAGCACGATATACATTGGGTTGATATAGTTGTCGGAGGTGGAAGCCAAAGGGAAGGGGTGGAACAAAAAGACTCATAACACAAACGTCATTGAGGTCGTCTCCTCGCCATGTCAGAGAGTGTATCCAACCAAACGTGTTCATCGTCCACAGGACTCCAGTCAGGCAGTCGGGAAACGCCAACCGATGCCAAGTTCGGAGTGATGGACTTAATTCCTCTTGACCAAGTCATCGCTTGGCTTTCCCTCCTCCTCTTCTATCCGGACACTGGGCGCGCAAACAACCCACCTCGCGGGAGTCGGTGTGTTGGCATGTCGCGACACGTGACCCAGCGATCGGAGTCCGGTGTGTGATATAATGGTGCTGAGCGGTTCACTCGCTCTTGCTGCACCAAATACGCGACGCCATTGTATGGCAGCTCCAAACCGAGGAAATTAAGATACTGGCCGCGTTTGACTGTCGATGTCTGCGTGGTGCTGTCCATGTATGGTAGGAGAACCGAGTGAGGAATACTGAAGTTCGCCATGTGGTGTTTAGCAGCAGGCCCTAGATGGAGTGCCCGTTGAACTCGAGACAACTTTGCTAACTAGATCACGAGCTATGCAAACCGGCTATCACAGGATGCATTATCACTACTGCTCCCAGACACCGGTGCAGTCGATATCTCTCATTATTCCAACAAGTATGCATCTAGTTCATTGCTGTTGTATGATGTGAAAGTATCTATGAACGAAAGGACACGACAGTGCATGTGGAACTGGACACAAACGTAGTGCGGTTATCTGCATACTTCCCCGGCCGAGTGACTTATACTAGGTGATAGGTAACTGATAGCAGTATATCAAGATCGGCGAGTGGGTATAGGTCAAATGAGTTGCCCAGTCTTCCAGATTGGGAGCTGAAACAGGATTGATATCAAGTGCTGCGAAAAAGATTTATCTGTTGAGCTGATGACAGCCCCCTTTATGGTATGATCAAGTTTTGGGGTCAAAACAGGTGTTTATCAACACTTATTGCGCTCTTACGTAGGTACGCATAATAGCGATAACGACGATGATAGCAACTCAGTTTGGAGAATTAAATTCATTATAGGTCAAGCTATCTGGTAGCCAAAGCAGTTTTATGACAGCAGTAGATGATCAGTAAGCCGACGGCTGCAATGGAACAATGGTGGATAAAAACAGCATCAATGTGATCAAACATGAAGTGAGGTAATGTGGGTTGAAGTGGAGACAGCGTTAGTGGAAAAAGAAGAGGTCTGCCGTAAAACGACACAAAAAGGAATCCACATTCTACAGCAACGTGGACTATGGTCCATGTGAAAGCCGTCCTTTATATATGAAAACCTATCAAGGAGACGACCGTGTAATAATGGCTAAATAATTGACAAGAGGTTGGATAAGCGCGTAAGGTTTCAAGCAGCTTACCGATGGGCTCCGTGGTGCTCCGAGGCGATGTTCGGCAGGCAAACCGTAACAACCCACAAGATTGTACAGCCGATGACGTAATCGTCCCTTTAAGCAAAAGTTTGGGATGCAGATAGATGGGAATGCATAAGTAAGAAACAACACAGAGAGGCAAAAGATTCATCCAATGCGACGAAAGGGATGCAAGAAAGAGACAGATAAATAAATATCATTGAAGGCACCACAAGCAGGGTTATGGTGAGCTTCATGCTGCAGCGAACTGTTGGAATAGAAGCTGAAGCACGCTTCGATGAGAACATCTCCCGGGAATAGAATGACACATGGAAGCAAACACGAGTGCCTGAATCCCAACATGTGAGCGGTGACCGTGCACCGGGATTTTGGTAACTAGAGACGGTGACACAGGGATTAGTCAAAATAAAATGCTGGTCTAAACAAAGTCACTAGAAGATATATTTTTAAGATGTGAATTGGTGTTGCGTCAGTGATACCACCAGTGATACCACCACAACAGACTTCGTTGAAAAGAACGGGGCCTAAGTAGGAGTCAACATATTAGACACACATTCGAAGATATTGACATCTTTCTGATGTCATGCGGATACAAGTGCCTGAATATTACGCAAATTATTCGCAAGACGAATTTCCTGTGCGTTGCATTGCCAGGCATCATAATCAACTCACCATAAAAACACTAAAATGACAGTTCGGCGAGGAAACGGAACCAAACGTAACGCTGATGCTGGTCTCGAGTTATATCTTATAAAGTCATGAGTCAAATACCGGGTCAGCTGCGTCCGCCCGATATTATAAGGCGAGAGGGATCAACAACGTTTAGGGTTTAGCCATCATCAACTTCATATCTTGCTGCCAGCAGAAAAATAGTCAGCCGAGGAAGCAACGCATGATCACTTGTAGCGCCTAGGTGAGCCAGCGTAACTTGCCATGTGCTGTTGGTTGATTTATTCCTCGGCCTGGGTGACCGGGAAGCTCTCTGCCCACACAGTACATGGGACTTTGCATCTCTTCCTCTGACTCTTCTTCATTTTGTTACTGTTACTCATGTGTTGCGGCACTCTGTCAAATATTTGTTGGGCAAAGGTTAAATAATAATAATAATAATAAGTATAATTATAATAACATTGGTTAATTTAACGGAATAACCCGAGTGCCACTACCTAATGCTGGCAGTAGCGGAGACGCCGGTACTTCAAACACAACAAAACCACTGTGGGTGACGAGGGTCAACGATTTGAAGGATCCTAACCACTTGGCAATGAGCGGCTTCATCGTACTATCGCAGAGGACAGCGTTCATTGTATTATTGCACACAGCATCTTTAGGGATGGCCAAATGTCACTTTGTCGCCAAGGATGTCGCAGAATGATCAAGATTTACTTTTGTCAATATGCGAAATAATTTCAACTGATACCTGTCACTCCATATGCAGCTGCAAAAGTATGTAATGAACTGGTACACCAGGCGATCCGGTGCCACAAAAGTACAATGTCGTCACACACACCTGACCGAGAACTTCATTCTTACACAATGGTCTACTGTGGTTCATATGCATCAGTCGGCCGCCTGGCTGACACACTCTCATCTTAACCTATACTGTCGGCTATCTTGCCTGTTTCATGTGACTTGTGATCTGGTCAATACACCGTCCGGTGCGGTGAAAGCCTGTTCTGACGGCTCAACGCCCCAGTAACCGAAATTGTAACACTGGCGATGGAGATTGCTGATCATTCACAGCTAACCCAATTACTACAGTAGCATGATTACATCGAGGAGCAACAGCCGGCTGTGCTTCAACAACAACAAAGAGAGACATTGTTATTCAAGGCAATCACTGAGAAACAGTTATCCCTAAATCTAACACCCACCACAGTGGAAACTGCACCCACTTCAGCTGGAATGTTGGTAAACGGAATGCAACATTTCTAATAGGACGCAGAGAACGGCATCACATTCGCAATCTGGTACAGGCGATATGAAGACACCTTTCTGGTTGACGCGATCACGCTTGATGATGCGGCCAAAGTACGGTTATTTCTACGGAAGCTGGGCGCAAATGAACACAACCAGTACTGTAATTTCATTCTACCGAAACATTCCCGCGAGTGCAATTTCCAGGAGACTGTAGATGTTCTCACTTCCATTTTTGGTGAAAGGTCCTCAATTTGCAACATCCGTTATCAGTGTTTGAAGCTGGTTAAGAATCAATCCGAGGATTGTTTCATGGGCAGGCAGAGTGAACCATACATGTTTCAAGCTCAAACAACTTACGAATGATCAGTTCAAGTCACATTTGGTATCTGGCTTGACCACTGCAGCTGACGCAGAAATTTCACCAAATTCCACCACTCAGGACGTCACCGCAGTGTCAGCGTCTCGTCAATTTAAAAACTATAGATAGAAATTCGTCACACTTAAAAAGTGACTCACAAATGTTGCAGCCGAGACAAGTGATGTCAGAGATCGCGATGGTTGATTCAATTTCTACCCGAACATCGACAGATGTCTATAACACCGCACGACAGAAACCACCAGTGTTTTTTGGAATTGTGGTGATTGGCATTTTTCCAGAAACTGTCCGTTTATCAATCACCAGTGCACCGTCTGCCACAAGAAAGGCCATAAAGAAACGCACTGCCGATCAACCACACGAAGTCCACATCGTGGGGATCAATCAAAACCGTTTCAACAACGCGGAATCAAATGGGATTCTAATGTGGTTTATGCAACTGCACAGGAAGGATTTGGTTCACTTCGTAAGTCATTATTAATGGTCACTCAATGCGCCTACAGCTGGATACTGCATCAGACACTACCATCATCTTCAGTCCGACATGATCGGCTATCGGTAGACCGATACTGTGCAATGCGGAAAATATCGCAAGAAGTGCATCGAACAGTATCCTACAGCTATATGGTAAATTTTCCTGTGAATATGTTTACAGAAACGATAAGCGAACCGGCGTCTGTCACGTTTCTGACAACTCGGGATTAAACATACTTGTTAAAGATTGGATAACCGCACTGAATCTGTGGAGCGTTTCTCTTGACTCTGTGTGCGAGCAAACCGAGGAAAGTCTATCCGGTCCGGACATGTCATCATAGTGCTACGCAGCGCAGAATTCTACAAACACTGGTGATATGGAGAAGACATTTCCATAAATGTTCAACCCTTGGCTTGGCTGTTTCATCAAATTCCCGGCATCTTTGTACCTAAAAGATGACGCAACGACTGTTTGTCGACCCAAAAGACCGGTGCTGTATGCGTCTTTTAAGTTAGTTGACAATGAATTGGATCACTTGGAGCAATCAGGGGTGATTTCTAAAGTGGAATACTCAGACTGAGCAGCGCCCACAGTGATAGTGAAAAAGGCAAACGAAGCTATTCGCCCATGTGGAGATTATTTAACCGGCCTGAATGCAGCACTGAAGCTCCATCAATACCCGCTACCACTACCGGAGGATCTTTTCGCCAAACTCAACAGCAATAGTATTTTTTTCAAAGATTGATCTCTCAGATGCCTATCTTCAAGTGATAGTCGATGATGACGCACGGCGCTTGCTTACAATTAACACTCACTGTGGTTTGTATCAGTACAATCGGCTAACGTTCGGAGTGAACATTGCTCCCGGACTCTTTCAACAACTGATAATAATATAATAATAATGTGTCAGCTGTACGTCGTAACGGCGCTTCGCTGCCGCGCGACCACCACCAGTCGCGTGCGGGCTGGCATACCGTGAGGACGCCCACCCCTACGCGGATTCAAACCGGTGACCTTATGGTTGCAAAGCAAACGTGCAAACGACTCGGCCACCGGCCGACTATAACAACTGATGGATACTAGCGGACATACCATCAGTTTGTGCATACTTAGATGATATTATCGTCGTATCAACAGACAGAACCCATCAAAGCTGCCACCTCTTGCAGATATTCGAACGCCTACGGGAATATGGGTTGACTCTGAGAGCTGATAAATGTTATTTGTTTATGCCTCAACTGAAATACCTTGGTTTTATTGTCGATCGTGAAGGGCGAAGACCTGATAATGAGCAAATGCGCATCATCCAGAAATTACCTGCACCACAGGATATACCTACCCTTCAATCATCCCTGGGCATGGTAAGTTATTACAGTGCATTTATTCCTGATATGCATCGACTTCGCGAGCCAATGTATGAGTTACTGGATAAAAATCGACCCTGTGTTTTGTCATCCAAATGTGAGGAAGCGTTTAGGCTCATTAAGAAAGCTCTTGTATCTGACTTAATGCTGGCACATTATGACCCAAAAGTTGGTATCACTGTCTTCGCAGATGCCTCTAGTTATGGCGATGGAGCAGTTCTTCGTCAGCGATTCGACTCTAGCACCATGAGATTGGTTGTCTAAGCATCACGTGCCTTGACGATGTCTGAAAGAAACTACGCACAGATCGAGAAAGGGGCACTAGCTCTAACTTTTGCTGTCGAAAAGTTTCATCGGGTGTTGCAGAGTAGAGAGTTCGTATTGGAGACTGACCATAAACCATTATTGGCCATTTTCGGTTCACAGAAGGGTATACCTGTGTATACGGCAAATCGCCTCTAACGCTGGGTGACACTGTTGCTCGGATATACTTTTACAATAACTCATGTGCCTGCATCAGATGTCAGCTACGAAGATGTGCTGTCTCGACTTATCGCAAAACAGCTAAGCATAGAAGAAGACCAGGTGGACGTGTCAGTTGCGCTTGAATCGGACTTGAAACAGCTTCTGTGTAATTCAATCAGAGCTCTCCCGATTACTTCTGTGGAGATTCAGGAGCACACCAAACTCGACCCACTTTTGCAAAACGTTATTCGTTTTTTAAACACAAAGTGGCCAAACCGGATTACTGACACATGCCTTAAACAATTTTATAGTCGATGTGACTTGTTAGCACTGGTTGAATATTGTGTTATGTTCAGTGTGCGCGTGGTTATTCTGAAGTCCCTGCAGGCAAGGGTATCAAAAGAGTTGCACCTACATCACCTCGGAATATCACGGATGAAAGCTTCAACCAGGTTAAGTATATTGGTCTTTTATTGACAACACTATTCGTGATTGTGTCACCACATGTAGCATGTGTGCATCAGCAGCGAAACTCCCAAGCAAGATCACCCAACCCTGCATGCCAGCTTCTTAGCCTCGGGAGAGAATTCACGTCGATTTCGCTGGTCCAGTACAAGGCCAGTTTTTTTGATTGATGCGTATAAAAAGTGGCCGGACGTATACCTATTGAACACAACCATGACAGCGGCCACAGTACGAAAATTAAAACAGTTAGTTGCATAGTTCGGTTCACAAAACACCTTGGTTTCCGATAACGGTTCACAACTTATCTCCGACGATTTTGGTGTTTTCTGTCAGCGTAATGGTATCAAGCACTGCCGGTCGCCTCCGGGGCATCCCCAGTCCAATGAGCAAGCAGAAAGATTCGTGGATACCCTCAAACGTTCAATACTAAAAATGCGAGGGAAAGGACCGACAGAGGAGATCATACAGCTGTTCGTGTTAACCTATCGGGCTACGCCTAACCCTGCTGTACCAGGCGGCAGATCCCCAGTAAAAGCTATGTTCTGGTGTGAGATAGGTCTTCCAATCGCTGCAATACGTCCTAAGGTTACGCAACGGCCACTCGCGTCAAGCGTGAGCAGAAGTTTTCTACCAGTGGATCCAGTGTACGCGTTGGATACAAGGCCAAAACTCCAAACCAGGCAACCTGCAGTGGTATGAAAAATAGCACTGTGTTGTACGAGGTGTCTATCGGATCGTTGTCTCTCGCACGGCACGTTAATCACTTACGCAAACGACGGATCGAACACACAATCACTTCTACTTTCGAGTTGCCGTTCGATATACTGCTGGACACATTTCAACTACCAAAAACTGTGGGGATTAGTGAGTCGACGGAAACCTGCAGAGCCATGCATCAGAGACCTATGCGGACAATTAAATCGACGTTTACAAGTGAACCCAGTGCTTCATTTGTATGTCTGGAGAAGGCATTTTCAAGGGAGATGTTATACAGGGCGATGCGGTGCCTCAAAAGTACACTGTTATCAAACACACCTGACCGAGAACTTCATTCTCACTCAATGGTCTACTGTGGTTCATATGCATCAGTCCGCCGCCTGTCTGACACACTCTACTTAATCTATATTGTCAGCTATTTTGCCTGTTTCATGTGACTTGAGATCTGGTCAATACACTGTCCGGTGCGGTGAAAGCCTGTTCTGACGGCTCAACGCCCCAGTAACCGCAATTAGAACATGAATCTGCTGTCTTTAGTTCGCCATGGTGGTTCAAGGGTTGGGGAGAGCGGATGGTTCTGCTGCAGCAGCACATCGCACCTTCGAAATATCAAGTGCATGTAGAAGGTTTGGATACCTTCGGTGCGTTTGCTCATGACCAACCGAGCTAACTTGTTCGCTGAACTGCAGGATGATGGAGTTCAAGCAATGCACATCAAACAGTTTCCCATCGGAAAACATCACGAGACCTCATAATAGGATATGAAGTAGGTAAGCTCGATGAAAACTGCATAATAAATCTGGAAAAAGCAATGCGACTCACCTGGCATGTGCCAGGACGATCCCAAACGGTAGCTGAGGATGCGAACACGGTGCACAGCTCTGAATCAGGTAGCTGGACTTCCTCTCTTGTTGCACCTTTCTCAATCGTTGGGCTATCCAAATTGTCCGCAGCTAAACTCGTGACAGCCGGTGAAAATTGCGGAGCTAAAAGTGAAGCTTCTTGTAGCAAGTTGAAGGAGAAATCAAGCACTGGGCCGGCAAGCTCTAAATGAGGGGGTTCGCTCTCCGGCAATGGAACTGCCACCGCCGCTGCAGCAGCTGCAAAGTCAAGCACACGACCGCTTCCAAACGGATCCAGTCCGGATAATGTGTACATGCTTGGAGGTGGTGCGACGGTCAAAGAAGAAGAACGAGAAACGAGCACACGAAGGATATTCATGGTTTCTGTCCAAAATTCGGTCTACAAAACAGAGATACAATCCGGGTTCATGATTGCAGTTTTCAGAAGTACAAGTTGCAGTTAGGCTATTCGAAGCAATTTTCAGTGCCCTTCCTAGCGGTGGTGGAGGTCAAAGTTGTTGAATCTATGAACTACATGCCCGCTTGAAAAAACCGTACGATTTGTGAGCGATGAGCCACACACACACCTTATTGCCCGCTGATTGCATAGGTTAACAGGGCCCATGTTCTGTATGACGGGGTAAACAGCCGTGCGCATATGTGGTCCAGCTACAGAGTGATCAGGGGAGTCGTATGTTGCTGTCCCAACCTGCATACTTGTTAGATACCAGTGAGGGTGCAGCATATCCCAATATAGTTAATGCCACAAGAAACTCAATAGTTAGTCGCAGACAGACGCGGACCAGCCATAATTCCATAGAGGGTTAACGAGTTAAACCAATGAAACATACATCACGGCACTCAGTGACAAGCAACAAAAATCCAACCTCCTAAGTACTGAGCGCAGGCATTACACTCCAAATCCATTATGTCGCCCCTACAGTTGGGAAGAAGACGCACATACTGCTTTCTTTCTCGTTTGATTAGCTGGATCGCCAAACAACCTTCTTGGTGTCATCTGGCTGGTTGGAGTTTATCTCGTTCAGGCACATGGTTCGGCGACAGTTTTCCAGTATGTGGTGCGTTTTCGCCTGGCAAGCTAAAATTGCCTGTCTAACAACACTGCGACGTGGCGGATTTGACTCGCCACAAAAAATAGTCATTGTCCACTGCTTCACATCCGTGGGGTATCGTATTCTAGTAGTTGGATGCTAACATTGTCGGGAAGAGTGCGCCCCTGTTTGATAGATTACCGAACAAAAGGTTTATGTGCTGAAAATATTGGCCAATAATTCCCTGTTCATGTTGTGCTTTTGACATCGTTTTCGTTTCTCTTTGGTTGATATCCTTTGACTTACATTTACGTTCACACTAGTTCAGATTAGATGCACATTTTGCATTCCTTTTGTTCTGTCGTACTGCTGCGCAATTACTGTCCAGTTTGCGTGTTTATTACTTTCATTTCAAGTGTTGGCTGTTGATGGATATCCCCGGTGTGGCTGCGCTTGATGTGAATGTCGACAAGGTAGCTCCAGGCGACAGTTGGTCCTGCCCGTGCTAGACTCAGAGTGGTTGCATGCAGCGTGGATCGGACTAAAGCACAGTCACAGCCTCGTGTACGTCTGGAACGCATGATTCACCGCATAGGGACGCTGCCGCTGTGCATGTCGAAGGTGTGGGTGGGGTGACTCCGTTGGTGAAACACAGCTCACTTCCACATGTCACCCTGTGGGTTTACAGTGGATATGGGGTGTGTGGATGGAGCTGTGGGTGGTGTTGCAGCGCATACGTGGAGCTGCTATAGATCTACTCCGGACCATCTAGGACAGTGCATGGGTATTGTAAAAGCCAGGTTATTTCGAGAAATAATTACAGTTCTAGAAACATAGCAAAAATTGCCCGCTGCTATATCTTCTCCGCTTCCGTCAAATGCCAATGTGACTTTAGTGTGTCGCGATCCCGGTGGATCAAGTCCACCCAGTGTAAATATATCGAGTGAAATGGTTAATTTAACAAGAATACGAGGTTAGAAAGTAAAAGTATTACTACTAAGCCTATGCATGCAGTCAAATAACTTACCCCGAGAAACTGTGCCGTAACAGAGGTGATAAAATGTTGAAGGGTGCTACTCAGGTCCGGTGTGTTTAGGTCAACCTGTTCGACAAACAGGCATACCATCTTCAGCAGTGGGCGTTTTAAACACAATGGACCCGTGGTTAACAGCTGGAAGGAAAACACGCAAAAGTGAATTCCACTGTACCGATCGACTGGTGGACATAACTAGACAATAGTGAAAAGAGTAGCGACGGGGATAGTACTACAGCATAAGGAACACCCGTCGGTGATGTGTTGAGAGGGACACGAAGTCAATGTGAAAGGTCACATGACAATGAACATCAACACAAACACACGCAAATGAGCAGTTAACTCAGAATAAATTTGCACTGCGAAAGTGGCGAACTTCTATTGTCGTAATTCACCCCACGAGAAAGTTGAGAGCCACATCTAGAAGAAAAATGGAGTTCATTCGAGCGACGTATACTCACGATGTCCCGAGTGTCCTTAGGGATGCATGGTGATTAATCGACGCGGCTGTGTTATGATGGATTATGTTTGCCGATGTGAATCACACATGCAAATACAGCACGGTATGGTTAGCTTAGTGACCGGAAAAAGCACACACGAAGAATGTGCACGGAGGAAAATGCGCACACGGAATAATGCTAGGTCGATAGCTTGGCATACACCCGATTACCGTACGTGATTCATTCAGAACACACAACAGAGAGAGCACTCACCGCCTTTTGCAATTTGGTAAGCATTACTCGTACAGTCAAATCGTGTACTCATATAGCATAATTGAGAATTTGTATACGATATTACCATCTATTTCAGCATAGATACTCCATTAACAGTGATTTACGTGACACATCAGGAAGCGGGCACTTTATACCGACAGGCCCGAAGATCAGTCCAGTAGAACGCAATCATGTAGGGATACAAGAGGGTCCCGCTATATAACGACACCGGTGAATCGTGCTGACTAGGAAAACGGGAATGGCAGCGCACGTTGCATGTGTGCGAATGATCTGACCGTGGGTGTTTTCGGTTCAGTCAAACGACTTGAACTTACAGTCAACGTTTCTTTCTCATCAGTCGTCTAAGTGTACGATGGGAGAAGTAAGTTGGATTACAATTTAGCGCATGCACTGAAGCAAACCAAGGAAATCTACAGAATGCTAAAAAAGTTTCGTGCCAGCGTTTGGCTGTGTGGGCTTTCGTCCATGCCCAGTGGTCACACACTGGCAACCAAAGGTCATTTGACACCGGCCAGGGTCACGCTCAGCGGGATGTGGTCACTAACTACACCGAGGCAAAGCAAGCCTAGCCACGGTCCGTTCACACCAAGTATGTTAGAGCCGTTAACTCGCTGAGGCTTAGGCAAACGGCAGTAGGCGAAGAATGTTTTGTTGAGTATTTTGGATGAAGCACGGGGACTTTGAAACGTAGAGCAGTCAGATGTACGCCAAGCGACCGATCTAACATAATTTCGTGTACACATCTTTCCATGTGCGCATTCTTTATGTGCGATTTTTTCTGTGCTTTCACGATGTAACTGATGGACGGTTACCATAAAGAAGTGAAGGACATTAGCAGTACGCCAGGATGCAGTACGGACGCTTCGCTGTTGCGCAACCGCCAGCAGTCGCACGTGGACTAAGGATACTGCGAGGGTCACCCCGTCCCCTTCGCAGTCTCGAACTCGCGCCCGTGGGATTACAAAGCAGGCTTGTGATCCTTAAGGCTAGGGGCTGGACGGTTACCAAAGCACCAAAAGGTGGGCATATAGCAGGCTGGGTAGCTATCGCGTCATCGGAATGAAAACTCCCATGGGGACGTGCGAAGCCCTGTGTAATGAGTTTGTGGACGCGGACGTACGAGTGGTACATGTTTGTTGGACAAATGAACGAGTGAAAAACCGTCAGCAAGGTATAGATGATAAGGCGTTTGTGAAAGCGTCAGAGGATTCGAAAACTGACCGGAATGTATTGCATGTTTGCACGATCGGGTTCGACCTCGGTTAGAAGGTAACTGAACACGTGAACCACACAAAGGTGTCCGTAATCCAACGTCAGAGGAACTGACGACTGCGTGGGCAAGTTCTGCTCTCGTCAAGTGTGCAGTGCGTGGAATGTCGATAGGTAATGCAGGGGTGGTAGTATTAGTAAGGAAAGCAGACAGATTTCATCTCAATGAGTTGTAGAGTCCTGCCAATTCGGTGCCTCCCATGGTTAACCTGAGCGTGCGATTGTTATCCTTAAAGTCATATAGCCCTTAGTTTCCCCTACAACACGTTTCACACAGCTTACACTGCACGTAGAGCGCCTGCGGATCCGATGCGCATCGATGGTGGCTCAGCATCGTTGACATGACGCCGACATATTGCCACACAACATAACGCAAGTATGGAGGATTTGTTTCGCGAACTTGCATTAATGTTCGGTTAAATAGGCCCTCTCAACAGCTGTACACAGGACAAACTACATAAGGGTGACAATTTGTCAGTTAAAACGAATACACCAAAAAAACTCGGAGTACTTAAATGAAGTCTGCACACACGAAAACGCAATTACCGTGGTCAAATATAGCAAAACGTGTGAGATGTATTGTGTGTAACCATCGAGCAGATAGCACACGATACATTTGGTCCATTGGTCAACATCCTTCGAGAAAGTCCCGGCCGCATAAAGTCGAAGCACGTGGGTCAAGCAAGCCAAGCGCTCGGAGTCGATTTGGAATGACGCCTGAGCCAACGCACTTGCAGCCTGAAATTGAAGAAGGGTGAGGACAAAAGCGTGGGACCAAAACAAAATCGAACGCACATTTAACTGCCAAATGTCGATTTTTACAATGATGAGGCATTTTTATGCATAGATATGACCGAAGAATACTCGAGTCGTAAAGACTCGAGTACGTCGTGTGTACTAAGCCAGTTGGTAGTCATCATAGAACTTACTTGAATGCAAACGGGATTTCTCGGCCTTAGTGGTGTGTGCTGCGCTGATCTATGCGGTGCAGGAGATCCGGTAGTGTTAGGGAAAAAACCTCCCCCGTTAGCAGCACCGAACCCACCGACGGAACAAGTACCGGGAAAACTGATGCTGTCAACGTAACCCAAGCGAGGTGTTTTCACAGACGAGTGAGCGAAATCCGACGGGCCCCGGACCGGCGCACCAGGTGTTGAAGCCCAAGAACCCAAAGTCCTCGGAATTGCATGAGTAGCTGCGCACACACCTCGTCCCAGAAATCCTTCCTGAAGGACACTGGGCTGCTCCACTGAAACGTCCCCAGGATGTGCATTGCTTGACGAACCGACGGTGGACGGATCTTCATCCCATGCGGTTAAAAGCATAGGCATCAGAGTCACCAAGACAACTGGGAAGCTCAGTTGCGAGGCTATCTGATTACTCCTCGGAGGAACTACCAACGGATGGCAGAGAAATGGAACGATGGATACCAGAAGCTGACAAGCCGAGTGAACGAGGTTAGCCGAAGAGCAACCCTGTGGAGAGAAGAAGGAGAATGCAAAGCACAAAAATATATAAACCATACCGGGATGATCAGAAGTGAAACATCAGTCTGATTTATAAAATGGTGCTCCCCACAGCGCGGTTTAAAAGTACATAGTAATTTAGCGTCTTTACTCGGGCACAGCCACAAGGGAAAGAAGAAGGACAGCGGCAACATGCCTGCGTCGTATCGACGCTTTTTTGCGAAGCGACCACCAGAAGTCGCGCACGGGCTAGGGGTACAGAGATTCGATCAGGTGACTTGAGGAGTACAATGTAGTTGCGTTATAAACTCGACCACTGGCTAATAAAAACAAATGTGAATAGATGAAACCGGTTGCAGAAAAAGGCTGGTCTCAAAGAAAAAGCATACCACAGAGCGACGGAACGAAATACCGAAACTGCTGCAGCGCACATAAAAACCGCTAGGTGTCGGTGGAAATTTCTTCGCCCCATACGACATTCGGGGTAGGCGCCTACAATATCTAATTTGGATATAGAAGACACCCTGACAAACGCAGACGGTCATGATAACGATGATGTAAAAAGATAGCATTAAGGAGCGAACAATTGTCTTCCAATGCAAAAAGGAACAAACGCTGTTAAGGGTTGAGAAAGTACTCCACTGGTATACAACACCTCAGATTATCGGTCACGGCCAATCAGAAATTAGGTTTTGCACTTCCGCCGGCCTGTCCGTAGCCTAAGGGTAACAAGCTTGCCTTGTAATCTAATGGTACGGGTTCGAGCCTGGGTAGGAGTATGGCGACCACCACGTGCGACCGGTGGTGGCGAAGCGGTGGCGAAGCGTCGGTACTGTGTACCGTCGTAATGCCGATGCATACACTTCCGCCAGTACTACGCACTACATGTAACAAAATGCGTACCGAAAATAAACAGAAAGATGAAGTACCGGAATTGTAGAAAATAATGGAAGAAACGCAAGACAAACGGAAAACAACGAGAAGCATTGCATGTACCAAGTGCAGGGAAATATGGCAATAACGAACGCCACCATCAAAAATGTGCAGAAGAGCGAACTTCCATGTTTAATGTTTGTCAAAACAATTTATGATAACTAAATTCGAACTTCCGGTAAAGCGAATTAGCATTTCACCTTTTTGCTCGAAGTTCAATTGCTTTTATCCAAAAAACTAATTGAACTTTATATTGTTTGACAATTCAGTTCATGACATTATTTCATATTTCAGACAAGATGGCAGCTACGATGGCCATTTATTCTGCGCATCTTCAAATAGAAGAGGTCACGTTATTGGTTGAGTAGGAGTGCGAAATGTACAACTAGCCAACGAACGCTAAGGTCTTGAACTCAATTTTGTGTATACAAGTTTTCTCACGCGTTCGTCTTTCATTTAAAAGCAACGTGTGTATTAGTGTTTATTAGTGTGTCTGTCCACTTGGAGGCCACTAAGGATAGAAAGCGGCAACAGTTTTCTGTGAAATACATATAGGAATTGAAGAAGGAGAAAACAGATAGCGAAGACGTATGGCGTCAGGCCTTCAACACCATGTACTTGGCTAAAACAAAACTGAGGTACCACAGATACTGAGGCCGATACTCTTGGTTTACAAGAAAATGATGAAGACATCAGACTATGATGAAGTGGAGAAAGCCGTCTATAGGTGATCTGTTGAAATGCGGACCAAAAAGAATCCTAGAAATGGCTCACTGTTATTTGAGCGTGTGCTTGGTTTTGCGGGATTCATGAAGAGTACTAACTGCCTTTATAGTGTTGGGAAGATGTGGCATTTCACACAAAACACCAACCCGTAGCCTTAAGGATTACAAGCCTGCCTTGGAGTCTGAAGGCGCGCGTTCGAGTCAGCGTAAGGACCGGGCGACCTTCGCAATATCCGTTGCCCATGTGCAACTGTTGGTGGTTGCGCGGCAGCAAATCGTCCGTATCGCGTAACGGCGTGCTGCTGATGCCTTTGCCTGCCGCATACAAGACTACAAATGATGGAACTGATGAAATTTGGGTTGACCAGAAGGTAAATGTGTCAGCAATGCTGTACTGCACCGTACGTTAAACTAGACCCACATGTGCCGACTAAGGCGCGCTGGTCACATGCACGCAGGGCTGCCTGCTTAGACGTGCGCTGATTCCAGGTTACTGTGCGCGAACAATGAAACAATGGTATAACACAGATTAAAAAGCCAAGGCTTGATAAACCCGTGGGATGGTTTGTGTGAATTACAGACACACGATGGTCAGGTGAGGAGACCGTAAAACAGCCTGGATAAGCGCAAGTAACATTTGGGCTGTGTCGATGTGTGCCGTCTTGGTGGACGGGAACAGAGTGGAAATGGAATCCTAAAGTAGCACGTGGCAGTCTCGAAGTCAGTGCAGCTGTTGCGTCTCCAATGAGATTCTACCACTGACTATCCCGTTTGTGTCACCGTAGTTGCTTCCCGTTTCTGTGTCCGTCGCACTTCCGTGTCCAGGTCATAGCGAGAAAAGCAACCAATCGGAACAAATGAAGCCTATGGCTGCGATTAGCTTTGCATCCTGCACAATAGTACCAACACGAACGCTTCTCTCTATCCGGAGTAGTACGGGGCTAACCAACTGGTGGGATAGATGCCGAAGTCGCCAGACGCAGCAGACGTTTGTGTGACATCGGGACCAAGCTGTTCACAGGCGCGCCTCCGTGAGAAATGATGAAATTTACGAGCAAGTTCCCGAATGCAGTAGGAAATACATTACGGCCATAACGCTGCAATAATGTCTTCTAGTCGAAATGACGTTAGATACATAAGGAACGGATCCTTGGCAATAGGAAAGTGATACTAAGACCGGGGCCCAAGTTGAGTGAGTCCGAAGGTAGCAGTGTAATATATCTATAAATAATTGATATATATATATATATATATATATATATATATATATATATACAGTGGATTCCGGTTAATCGGACCACATCGGGACCAGACCATTTTGGTCCTATTAAGCGGCTGGTCCGATTAACCGAAGTTACTCGATGTAACAAGACGGGACATGCTATACATAACATAGGAAACTACTATTATGATCTGTATTGGCAGCATGTATTTATAGCAAACACACAAAAGAACTGCTTTGATAACGAACTTTGTTCACTGAAAAAGAAATTTACAAAACAAATTCTTCGTAACGACCTACAAGATATTCAGCATGCGAAGTACAGTTTTATACAAAGGGATTACCGAATTCCATTCAGCGTTTGAAGACCGTATCCAGTGTGGTTTGACGCAATCTTTTAACAGGCTGCATTCGCACAAAATCACCACAAACATGTAGCGCAGTAATAGGACTACCTTCATTTCCTTCCTGCATGAAATAGCGGTGCAATGTTTCAATGCATTTCTTTGCATCCTGTTTTGTGACTGGTATCAACACGTTAGGGTTCTCTTCATCACTTCCATGGTCTTCTGTTGCTGTCGTGTGTTTCGCTGCTATTCGAGCAACAATGGCAGCATCGCATTCTTCATTTCCATCATAGAGTTGAAGTTCGTTGTCGATTGACCAAAATTCTTCGTAATTTTCAACTTGTTTCAGCTCCACATTCTCGCCGTCATTTTCATTTACAATCACCATATCCCCATCCATCTCCGAGACAATATGCTTAAAGCCACAGTGAGAAAAACAGTTCCGAATTGTCGCACTGCTCATTTTTTGCCAACTTGCTGCCACGAATGTAACGGCTTTGCAAAATGTTGACGTTTGCACTGATTTCTCCGGCCGTCGAGGATGAGGTCAGCAAGCCTTCCTCAATTGATTCAAGGATGTAATTCACCAACCTTGAACGATAAAAGGTCTTCAAATTTTTTATGATGCCCATGTCCATTGCCTGTATTAAACATGTGGTCTTGGGAGGCAGAAATTCCATCTGGATATTCTTCAAGAAATCCAAATTTAATGTGCTGCACAATTGTCGAGAAGTAATAACACTTTTCTCGACTGGCGTTGTAGCTCTGTGTCCCAAACCTTCACCCATTCTTTAAAAAGTGTAGAGCTTATCCATGCATTTCTGTTCGCATGATACACAACTGGTAAACTGTCCATTCTGAGTCCCTTAAAGCAGCGAGGCTTGGCATATTTTCCTATAACCAGCAATTTCCTCTTGTCTGTTCCGGACATGTTTGAGCAGCACAAGACAGTTACGCGATCCATTGCTTTTTTGCAGCCAGAGAGAGTAACATGTTTGTAACAAGGAGCCGTCCGGTGTAGCCCTATAGTACAACCCGGTTTCATCAGCATTATAGATGTCATCTACTGGAAATTTTTCAAGAAGCTCTGGTAGTTTTGTTGAGAGAGTTATTGCTCGAGAGTAGGCCCGCAATGCGGGCTCAGGGCATTCGGCTCAATGGATGTGCGGTACATCGATCGAGCGGTTAACGACATGTGAACAGGCATGTATGTCTTCGCTCCGCCTACAAGTGTTGGAAACTACAGTCAGTTTCGGGCGGTTCTGAAGCCAATTAGATAGATGTGCCTCAAGGTTGCCACAGTTCAGTTAATCCAAAGGCCAACTCGGATTACCATAACTGAATGATACGCTTTCTTGCGCGAAATATGAACTGTGAGTTTAGTCCAGACATCCAGGCACAGAACTTGATTTTAACACCTCTGCTACCTGCCACCTTCTATCGTCTGGTCCGATTAAGCGGAATTCCGGTCCTAATAAGCGGCTAAAATTAGGCTAGCGTAATAGGATTCGTTTCGGTTCTTCAGAATTTGGCCCGAATAAGCGGCTGGTCCTATTAACCGGAATCGACTGTATATATATATATATATATATATATATATATATATATATATATATATATATATATATATATCAAGTCATATTGAGAGCGAGCAAAAGAAAAGTAACGTTAAATCGGTCTCTTCTTTTCTGAGACAACGATGCCTGCAATTCATGGTTTCGCTATGCACGGCACTGATGGGACCGTGAACGTGAGGCTTCAAGTGGGTAGGCAGCAACATTCATCCCACACACACGGTCTCAGTGACGCTACTGCTAGAATTTTATAGTCACAACTGAGTCACACATCTATTATTGGCGAAACAAAGGAGGAAGGGTGCTAACTTTATCAATGGAGGTGAAGAAAACTACCAGAGCCTCACCTTGATAGCCAAATGCAACAGTCCAGAGAACGGTGGGTCGAGGTGAAGTTGTGAGAGGAATTTCTCAACACGTCGCGACAGACTAATCTGTGATGTGCCAGCGGATCGTGTGGAGCCGGATGAGCTATTGTGACACACGTATGGAATCAGCGGGACGACAATGCGCACCCCAGCCAAATATTCGTGCTCGAAATCGGACTCGAGGAGGAAAATGCCAGTCCAAAAAATGCCACATAAGAGGTCCGCCTGTTCGTCGGTGGGCAAGCGGCAAATGGGTTTTCTGCAGATGACCATGTCTGCAGAACTGACGAACATGTCGGACCGGAAAAAAGAGGCAAAACTGTGTTAACTCCAACAATCGGCGAAAGGTGACCATTCAACAGTATGGTGTAGCTGCGCACGATGTGAGAGTTAGATAAAAGCATACGGGGAGATATGCTTGATTGTGTTAAATGAAATGCATACGAAATGCTGAATGAACAATCTGGTTCAACGTAGATGAAACATGTTTGCGTTCGATAACCACGGGACACCGATATCTCATATGATGGCAAGAAATACAAGTTGAGTGGGGAGGGGAGCAAAATTGGCAACATACACTCACCCAGATGATGGGGACACGGACAGATTAACGGAAGAGGAGACGGTTGGAAGGTCGTTTAGTGCGCTATGATGCGTGGGAGGATGGGGACGAAACCACGACCCGGGTGCGCAAGACCCCTCGGCACTCGGGTTGACCGAAGAGGATTGACGTTGGGAGCGTCGTCGATCGGAAACAGCTACCGCAGGGTGGGCGAACTCGCCGTGTATCCCGTGATTCATCGAGCGGGGGGACGCGGGAGCTGTGCGTGCTTGACCCGTGACAGAGGCTGTCTGTTTTATATAGGACTCGCAGAAGTAATCGCTCTTGGTCTGTATGTGATTGACGGCTGCTTCCAGTGTGTCGAATAGTTCAGTAACATATCCCTAAGAGATGTGAGAAAGGTGATCATGTAATAACACGTGCAAAAGGTAAACATAGGGTAGTTGGTTAGGACCACTAAATGACGATTTCAATGATAAATGTGTTGTATCGCCGCTGACTGTTCACACCCCACGACCGCGGATTAAACACGAAGACGAGCCAGGACCGAGTTGTATGTATGAGAACCCTGTTTCCTTATACGGAGTACAATAGTGGGTGAAGCAAAGCACATCGGGGCCAACTAACACAGGAGACGCGGAATGAGGCAGGCGAATAAGAAGCCATAAAAATAAGAGCCAATTACGTGTGTCCGTGAAAACGGTATTAGCTGAAATGAGACCCTGAGAAAACATCTATTGCGAACGACGTATGCTGATCAATCAAGTTAAAGATTGGTACGTTTATGCAAATGTCAAGAAACAGACGATAGCGAAGCGAAATCAGGTAACTAAAAATTGTCACAAAAAATATATGTCCAGTAGACTTCCTCGTGACAAAATGTACTTCCGGAGATGTGTATCGCTCACCTGAAGTTCTTCATTCGTATCCGATATGGTCTCACCAAGACGCGCCAGTAAATGTGACAAATTTTTGCGATCCAAATGAGCACCGAGAATTCTGAATATTTGTAGAGAACGGCTCGCATAATGTCGATTTGGACAGGATAACCCCATGTTGAGTGCAGCTTGGGACAGACGGGCAACCACGCATAGGTTTGGGACAGGAGTTGGCAGTATAGGTGCAGGCTGAGACTTTAGACGATGTGCAAAGGCGTGCTCATGTGGTGGACCGTGGTGGCAATACAGGCAATGTTCGGCGTCGTCGGGTTTGGAGTGGGCAAGTGCCAAGATTCGAGCGATAACACGCACCAGCCGGTCAACCGAAGTTTGTTTGGTTGAATTGGTTGCGTTGCAGTCGGTTGGTGTTGATCGTGGCGGAATGGGAAGGTGAAGGGTCGATTGCGACTGAGATCGAACGGAATCCCTCTCATCCCAGGACCACACTGCATGTCCAGCGCTACAGAAAACACAAAGACAGTGGAGGATGAATCGTGCTATATCGCTACTAGCAGTCAGCCACTGTGAACCAATACCAGCGCCTAACTTCTAGGACTTGAAAGATGCGCACTGTCGGCGAGTTGCAGTAGAACGAAATCGAGGTCCAGATATGTCGTGACTGTGTAACTGACCATGTTCATATCCAACCCAACCCATAATCACACCAACAACCTACTCATTCCCCCCCAACTACTATACTCTAACTTTAATACCCCCATCATACCCTCCTACACACACAAACTTCACACTCCCTATACATTCTACATTTCTTCCTCTTCACCCCCCTCAACCCCCCACTTACAATTAACTCCTACCAACACCCACCTAATCAAATACACTCTCCCCCTCACAACCATATAATTCCTCCCCCCACCCCATCCCACCCCACCTCTATCCCACCATATCCCCTTACCTTCACACCCCCCCTTATATCCTATCCTCCATCCCAAATATTAAAAACTCCCAACCTCATACCATCCCTCCCTCCATCAAACTCCCCCTCCCACCCCACCACAATTTCTAACCATTCAACCATCCTAACTCTACTAACCTACAATATCCATCCCATAAGGTTAAGCGTTTTACATAAAATATATCAGTTACCTAATATCAACCTATAATACCAATCCCTTATAACCAGTCTCCCAGCTGAACCAGATTGTCATTAATTTACATATATTAAGTTATTGTTTTGTCCGTAAACGAAGCACACGGCCGCTTATCGGGTGAGGAGAGGATATTACAATGGTTTGATTCTTCTTCCGCCGGATGCAACGACGCAGAACCATAATCCCTAGGGGGTGAAACCACCTCCGTTTCGTCATGACCAGGAATGAGCGTGGCTGTGCTAATTAGACTGTACGTAGAACCGGTCCACGCGCTTCTGGGGCGAATGGAGGGAAGAGAGTAGGGGATAGGGCTCAAATCGACGGGGACAGTGGTGTGGACTGGGGCGAGTGGACCGATCTGGGGGTTACAGGGTGTTTCGATGATATCTCGTCGATTTGGTTTTTTCGGGGGCGAATGCTGGCTGCAGTCACTAATCGGGGGACCAGAGGACGGAGCCGATGACAGATGATTCGCAAACTTCTCCTGAAACAGACGAGATAATTCGAACTCCCGTGCATCAGGAAACTAAGTAGAATCACAGTGTAGATAACACTCGTATTAAAAAGCCGGTTAGGCAGCAGGAGGCTGACAAAAGATAAACAACACAATATCAACAGTAAAAATGAAGCTTAACTACGCGTCACATCTTGTTGGCCTCGAAGGCAGATGATGGAGTGAAAAAGCAGAAAAACGAACTGGCCACGGGACACAAAGGTGATCGGCGATTGCTGCATATGTACCAAGACAAGACACATTTTAACTCCCATCAGTGAAGCGCTGTCATGCGCCATAACGGACTGGGCGAACCTTCAGCCAAAATTGAAGATGATAATTGGAAAGCTACTCACCTTGAATGGACCGCCATCCAGCGTAAGACGATACTGTGGTTGACGAGGTCCAGGTAGAGTTGATGGATGGGTACAAGCCAAGGAATCAGACTCTAGCTCAAGCTGCAGAAGACGGAGTGAGTACTGCTCAGAGCACGCCAAGCTAAGCATTGACACCAAAAGTTGCTTGCATTCCTCCTGAACGAGTGCACGGCAGTGATCAAGCCCTGCGATAGCCATCCAGGGCGAAAATAAAAATGACCACGGTTATGAGGAATCGAATGTGAAAGTGAACAGCTGATGTGAGTAGATGCAGAGACTCAAGTAACCGCAAGTGTATACTACGATCACGAGCTGTGCCTTGACGAAGGCCGGGAAATGAGTAAAAGTATGCTACGCCTCCTATGGCGACATAGGAATTCGATGTAAGTACTCGAATGGCGGTATATAGTTAATGATGTAGGGGTATGGATCCTTAAAAAGCATTTTACATTTTTATTTTGGACACGTAAGTGGTTCTATAGAGGAAGGTACCCATTGAAAAAGTAAACGGACAGCGACGCACGATCTCAATGTGGTCCGCGATTCGCATTGTAGTAAGCCTTGTTCAATTCATCATCATCATCATTACACGTTAGCTGGAGGTGGAAAACACCTCAGCTATTGTGCAGCAATACAAAAGGTAAGAAAAGGAAAACAAACGGTGGCACGCCCGCTGAGTCCCCAGTAACGGATGGGCATCATTCCGGAGAGCTAACAGCTGGCTGCCGTAAAAGAGAGTCATATTATACCTATCAAGAGAGATCATGACTGGAGGGGGATGCTAAGCAGGAGGGGGATGGACAAAGGAAATCACAACACAAACGCCATTGGGGCCGGCTCCAAGCCATATCAGCGAGTGTGTCCAACCAAACGTGTTCACCATCCTTAGGACCCCAGCCAGGCAGTCGGGATGCACCAACCGACGCCAACTTCGAAGTGAGGGTTTTCATTTCTCTCGACCAAGTCATCACTTGGCCTCCCCTCCTCTTCCAACCGCACCCACAACGCACAAACAATGCACGTCGTGGGAGTCGGTGTGCTGGCATGCGCAACACGTGGCCCAGCCATCGGAGTCTGGTGCGTGATATAATGGTGCTGAGCGGTTCACTCGCTCTTCCTGCACCAAATACGCAACGTCGAACACGCTCATTGCTCACGCGGTGTTCCCACCAGACATGAGCTAAGCTGCGAAGGCAGCGGTGATCGAATGTGACGAGCCTCTTCATGTCTGTCGACCTGATGGGCCAGGTTTCACAGTCATATTAGAGAGTTGTTCAATTCTGATGAAGCTGATGGAAATGAGACGCTGCCCACCCGATGGTGGATATCCAAAAGGCACCGGGTTCAAGTGGCTACTATCTCTACCAGATGAGAGTGAAGAAGTTCCAGACTGTTCGTGAAGTGCAGTGTTTTCGGGTGGGCAACACTCAAATTCCATCTGCTTCAGATACAGTTCCAGTGATCGAGTTGACCGAAGTTCGCTACAATGGAAATCGTGGTTCACATAGAGACTGCACGTTGCAATCTAATCACACAAGGAGTGCTTTCAAATGACGCCCCCAAACAGTCGTTAACCGTTATGTGACAAGCATTTCCCACCGCGAATCGATAGCTTAGAAGTAAAGGTTCAAGCGGTCCCCCCAATTCGAGTGCCCGCTATCTCTGCCTTGATGAGACCAAATAACATCGAAACCGGTCTTGGAATGTAGCGGTTTCAGGCGGGCAAAATATAATTCCCATCTACTAAAGAAACTCTTTCCTAACGAGTCCATGTATGTGGGATGACACGGTGTGTGCTGATAAAAGCAAGCAAGCATGTAGTAAATAGCACACGGAGACTAGCAAAAGTGGAGCATGACTCGGTTAAGTGTGCAACAGATTTCAAATGGAACGGGAATTCTCGGTTGTCTGGCTAATTCTAATTATGGTGAGTTGCACTAAAACATATGTGTGTCCGAATATAGTTGATGGATTAAAGAGTTCAGATGCTGTGGTGCAGGAAGCAAAATGACGCCACCGAGTCCCAGAATGGGTACACAGGAAGGCGGGTAATGAAAGATCTCGATCTGATTGCATCCATGGTTGGCGGCATCCGGTTTCGGATTTGCCTGTCACTGTGGCAAGCCACAGGACGCCTGCGCCTACAGAGGGACCATGGATGGCTTGCGCTGCACCACCCACAGCTCCAACCACATACCCCATATCCAGTGTAAACCCGAAGGAATAAGACCGGGAGGCATGCGGATGGGAACCACGTTTCATCAACGGAGCCGGCCCACACTCCTTCACAGGCAAACACAAGCACGCTGTATTTGGGGAATCAAGCGCACACAAGGCGGTGGCTGGACCGTAGTCCGCTCCACACTGAGTGCATGGAACCGCTCTTTGAGCCTAGCACGGCCACAAGGACCGTGCACCCCGTCCCCTCCAGCAACGACCAACTGTCTCCTGGAGCCAGTATGAACGATGTAGTGGGTAATAGACAGGTAGGCACCTTGTCAACATACACATCAAGCGCAACCATACCAGGGATATCAAACAACAGCCATTCACTTTAAACGACAAGATGAAATAAAATAAATCCAATAATGCATACAGATACGGTGGCATAACTCTTCGCTAAATTACCATATGAAGTAAGTTGGTTAGCAACAAATCCGTGATAAGTAAAAAATGTCCACAAGTTACTTAAAATGCTACAAACGCAACAAAATTACCGAAGATAAGCGCAATTAGTGTAAGCAACGTGGCCAGTTAATAGAACAGTATTCAGGGAGGCAGAACAAACCAAATAAAGCGGAATGAAATTTAGCCAGCTTAAAAAGACCTAGTTTAGGTGTAAGTTGGTTTAGCCCAACTGCGGTGAAGAAGCATCAAGAATGCAACATCAGCCTCAGCATGGGGCACATGGTTGGCGGCATCCATACATCCATGCATCCATACACACATATATACACACACAAACAGTGTTACACAGACGATCTATTAAACCCATGTGTCTTAATCGTAGATCGCTGTAGGGCACTTGTAAGTCAATCAGAGAATTGAAAGGAAAGTCTGGTTATGAAAACTATTCGATAAAAGTCGCTCGGGTACTGTGTAAAATTTGTGGATTGTGGATAAAGTTGACGGGTACAGCCAATCAGAACTTCACAAAATCAAACGAAAAGCGAAGCGTGTAGGAGGACGGCAACGTCGGCATTATCAAATACGGTGAGCAAAACGGTAGGTGAACGTCAATCCATTCAAATGAAAGAAACAGCAACATTGAAGGAGTGGAACAAAAGAACTCACCGAGTAGACTGCACAGTAGCATCAAAGGGAGATGCTGAAACCAGTCAACTCGTATATTTGGACATTGAGTCAGCGCGCCAGCCAGCAGTAAAACAAGCGGAGAGCGAGCGCTGGCCGTGGGCCAAGCACCGCTGAACACAACCGATCCGCCGATGACCAATGGCTCGGATAACCAGGCGTCTAGCGGTGCTTTGTAGCATCCGTGAGTTGGCATCGCCAGAGGGCGGGGATGACGCGGTGCACTAGTCATGGGGACGAAATCCGATGCAAGGCACGGAGGACTCGTCTTCGGGATCTGGATGCCTTGAGGACTGTTACTACCACTCCTACACACTCTCTCTTCGGACACCAACATATTGGACAGTGAGGGGACTTGGAATGGTAAGGGGAGAATTAGGGGTGATAGTCTGGCCAAACTGGGGGGCAACGAGACGGTTTGAGGTGGAACTTTCAGCGGTATGTCTCGACGATCGACTAGTCGAGGCTGAGAGCGTGTTTTCACCTTGGCGCGCTTGGAGTACCGGGTCCCTGAGCGAACTAGTGGATCGAAATCATCTGAACTGTCACGTTTCGCCGGTTTGGATAAGCGAGATCCGATGAGATAGCGTTCACGCGACACCTGTGTCGTCGGTAGTGTGCCACTACGAACCTGAGCATCTGTGCGCAGCGGAACACAATCCGATTCGCTAACCTCCTCGATACACGTATCAGTTGCTGCCGAAAGTAGGCGTTGCAGATCTTTGGCCCGGAGAGTAGCATACTTATCTTCTGGACTAAGGCGAGTGGTGCGGTGCGCTGTGGATAGAAAGAAAGGGTAATGCAGTTGAAGGGATAGTTTCATCATAAATCTTGACAAAAACTTCAAGCAAGCAGTAAGAAGGCACACAAACACAAGAATTGAAATTATTGAGAATACTCGTAGATCGGAATATGGATGAGAATGCCGAATTATTCGGAAATTGATTAAACATCTGCATTCACGAATGGGATACCTCAAAATTGCTGCTATAAAGCAGAATTTAGGGGGACAGGTCGATGATAAGTGATGAGCAAGATAAAAACACATATCAGAAAGCCAAGCAAATGAGAATTCCAGCATTTCAGCCATGTATGACAGAAGTATTGGCGAGTCATGAGAAGGAGTGGGCAAATGTCAGTATCAAATACATTGCCTTCTGATCGCATCTCTCAGTGGACAACATCAGTCTAAATCCCTGAGGCACAACAAACTAAGAAAATATTAATAATGGATCAGTTGTACGCCGTAACGGCGCAGCTGCCGTGCGACCACCACCAGTCGCACGCGGGCTAAGTATACCAAGAGGACGCCCATCGCTACGCGGATTCGAACCCGTGTCGCAAGATTACGAGACAAACTTGTTAACTCTAGGCTACGGGCCGAAAACTAATTGAAAATGAAAGCAAGGTCAAGTTCCTTTTTACAGATTTAAGTTGCTCAAATGCCGCTTATCACGTTGCACTCAAGAATAGCAAACAAGTAGATCTTGGAGTCGGTGCTTAAAAATGTCTTCTGGCTATCTCAGAGGAGGAACAACAAGGGGTTTGTCGAGCACAATTTCTGTTGCATACTGTCGAGGAAGCAAAGGCGCCACCGAAGGCAAGGACCTGCAGGCGCAAACATTGAGTAGGTATTGAGCGTTGGTCGATATTTACAAGGATGACCACTTGTACAGAGAGGGTGATTGTTTCTGGAGCTCGATGAGAAATTCAAAGTTGGATTTGGAGTACCGGCCGTGTGGTTGAGTTGCGACATGTAATCTCTATTGAGAACTCCGTTCACTCTGTTGTATACCCCGGTCATTCCGATTACAAGGACCGTATCCGAACCAACTTCAGATAGGTGAAAAATTCGTATTGTATACCAGGTAGGTCAAAAATATTAACGAGGGTGAATAGTGTTGCGGAGCTCGCACAGCTCCGTGAAACTTGTGCAGTTGGTTTGGGCACACCACAACAATACTGCAGCAACAGTACACCGGTGCGCAGTACCGACGCTCCGCTGCTGCGTAACCACCACCAGCCGCACATGGGCTAAGGATACTGCGACAACCGCCTGGTCCCTACGCATGCTCTAAAACCGCGCCCTCGGATTACAAGGCACGCCTGCGAAACCTAAGGACGCTACTGTCACCAGGCGGCGATTCGAACGGTGTTTATCTTTCCCAATTGAAACCACTGTCATGCGTCAGATCGAACAGTTCTCTTTAAAGACGCTGCTCTATTTACCATTCACGGCCAACCTAAACCCAACGGAGTTTTCCACAGCAAAGTACCACTACGAGTTAACTCATGTGTCTTGTCAATATCCACCTTCTTTTACTACGTTCCTTTACTACGCTGCCATACTGTTGAGCTACAAATACGGAAAGTAGAAAGCATGTTTTTAGCCGGAGCAGTAAACGAACTCTTGCTAATGGCCAGTCTTTCTTTTCAGGGCCTTGATGAGGTCGTGCGAGGTTACGCGTTTCGTCTCCAATCTCAGCTCGCGTGTACGTCACTTAGGCGGTGGCGATCCAAACTCAATTGGCCACTGCGTGTTAGGTACTATCGATGGAGGGTATTTCGTTCGTCCCAACCAGACGTCGAAGCGACTAAGGCGCGTTAGAACAAATAGAAAACTAGGGGTCAAAAACGCGCGCAACACTCAAGCCAAGCGGAGTAGATGAGCACAAAAATAAAAAATAATAACAAGATACCCAAAATTTCCCTGCTACACAACTTCAACCGCGGTTTACATCCCCATCACATACGACCCCAGTAGTATAATGATATTAGTTTGTTTCAAGGTGAATCGCGATTCAAGTTATCGCAATCCGTCCGTACAGCGGACGGTTGCGCGCGAAATCGATGGCGTCCTGTTGGAAGGGTTTATTGGAAAACATGGCGTTCGGGATACGAGTCACTCGAGTTATATTCTCTTGATTAGCTCAAGCAAGGAAGAAATTATCTGTCCGGTGCAGCGTTGGGAGTTGGTGACACGGAACACGTACACACTCTACTCCCCTTTAGTCTAACAGTTACCCTTGTCTCCAAAAAGCTAGTGAAATGTGGTGCGTAACAATGACGAGAACAAGGGGTGTTGTGCAAGAATCTGGAGTTATAATATATATGAAAGTATAAAAATTAGACGTACAACCGAAAGCATCCACATCCAGTTCGGGATCGATCTCATCATTGCCACGATCAAAAGTGCTTGGTTTCGTACTAGTCTCTTGTGATGCGACATGGAGATAGGCATCACCAGAAAGTGCATTCCGACCATTTTCCATAAAGACAGTAGTTGTGGAGGATTGTCCAACAGCCGATTTAGGACGTCGGAAGTGTGGCTGTTCCCTACAGTGTGAAAAAAGTGACAGTTTCACACCCGTATCGCATGGTAAGACAAAAGTCACCTAGTAGAGGTGCCGTACGCCCATACTAAATCAACACACTGATGAAAGCGGAAAAGATGTCTAAAGCATTACATAGAGATCAAACATGCATCGACGTAGCGATGTGGACTAAATCTGCCACACATTCTAGTTGGTTTAAATGACCATGTACACTTATCGCATCAGCCCAGCAGTCAAGGAGAGGACTAAATTTTTAGGGCACCCGAACATAAATACTTCATTTCCTTTAGCTTAGTCAATTCCAACTGATTGTGTAGATAAGACACAAAGCTAGAAATCGAAGTTTGTAATTTTTAACCGAATTAAACTGCCTAACAAGTATCGACTAGTGACAACCATGTCTGATCACCCTCAGACGAAATCAATGTGACAGCAACAGACTGAAATCACCGTGAAGATACTGCGGATCGAAGCCAAAACTTAGTTAGGGGGTGATTTCGAGATCGATGAGTATCATTACGGCAAGAATGATGAGCCACTTCAAAAGTGGGTCGACAGCAATCCTCACATCAATCGTAGCAAATAACAGCATAAAAAATAATGTGGCGCACGTCAAATAAAAACCAATCCGGCAGTTGGTGTTTACATTAGGATAGCAAATGAATCGACGAGCGCTGACAATGGGTATGTATTCCAGAGAACTTTTCTCTGACTAGGAAAAACTCAAAGCTGCAGATGAATAAGGTAGAAATAGGGAGCAGAGACGTACGATGGAGCAGTATTCAGTTCATCGTCCGCATGTGGATACTGATTCCCAACGAAAGGTAAAGCGCTCTTTCGGGAGCGTACAGCAGTCGACTCGGACGGTTTGTCACGAGATCGCGATCCTAAACCTATTGCGACCAGTTCTGGATCAATTTGCCCCACCAGTTCTCGATCCACGGACTGTAACGCTGACTTTCGTTCAGTTGTGTCATCGAGTGCAGTGCCCTGCTGACATTGTAGAACAGTGGCAGGGGGAGATAAACTGTGACGATTTGCACTATCCACCACATCCATCACAGTGGGGGCGGTTCCCAGTCCGTCCGCAGTTGAGACGCGGAAGAATGGTAGAGTGGGAGTGCGTTCGACGATGAGACCGAGGCCATCAATCAACTAGGACGAAAAAATAAACCAACGCGTAGAAATGTAAAGCGATGCTAGTTATGGAAATAAGAACAGGACGTAAATTTGGCTCAAAAGACGAAAGCGATATAGATTGTAAGATAGACAAATTACACAGCGATTTTGAGAGAGAGCAGTGCCGAAACTCTGAATTTCGGATGTGTTCTCAGTAATCGAAATAGCAGAACTTATATCAAATAACGACCTAATGAGGTCTTTGAAATCACCGTTGCCTTTGCACTGGAACACCGTTGTTACCGTATCTACTGCCGATTAATCAATTTTAGCGGAACGTCTTGGACATTATTCTTGGTTACACAATACCCAAGGTAGCCGATGCTGTCTGTTCTTCCGCAGATTTTTTGAAAAAATTCGAGGTACTGCTCTTTGTCGGTTTTGTCTATAAAATCATAAATGCATTCGGACCTGTTTGGAAAACTAGCTTTCGACACTGTCCTATTAACGGTATGCGGGTTCTAACACAGTGAGCAATGAACGGTGAATTGTAACGGGTAGAAAAGCAATTGCTTAACAAGTCCCGTAGAATGAATGGAGTCAGGATTGTATAACCAAAATTAAAAAGTGATTGGAAAAAGGGGGAAATTCGGGTTTATATGACTCGCTAGGCTATTCACATGAACACAAAGGTAGGTATCCACGCCGCTGAGCTACGGAGAGAGCTGGTGAGCTGGTTGGGTTATTTCATCTTCCGAGTGGAATGGACTATGGCACAAAATAGTTTTCAGAAATCGGTTTATATAAGTGACACACGTGCACTGTGTTCTTGTTCTATTCACACGATTTTGTCATTGGTGATGTCATTTTAGATCATCCACAGTTGATGTCGTAAAATAATGAAAATATACAAATCTAGGCATATAACGCTTATTTTTGATTGACCTGAAAGTCCCCAAACGACATTACATGTCCCGATCCAGATACATAGTGAGTACTCTGAGACCAGATACTTAATCTTTAACCGCTGTGTCAGGCGCTGATCACGGAGCTCAATGGCTTATTGATCAAATGGTTAAAAACTATGTATCCAGTTCCACTCCCAGCTCAGGCTATTCCCACCTAAAATATCCCTAGCAAGAATGAAACGCATCGTGCAATGCAGTGGTGGGATAGAACAAAATCGATACCCTCTACTTGTTTCCTGTTTCCTTACAGATATGCACATAAGGATAACGTTGCTGCATAAGTATGACCAATCAAAAATGTCCCATTCAGCTGACAGTGGTAAAAAGCGCAGCAAATCAGTCGGAGGAAACCAGTAGGAATGATTACTGTGTTATTCACACAAATTTACACTGTTGACTAGAAAGTGCCAGGTAACCAGCCGCTCTCCCATGGGTCAAGATAGGAAGCCTTTACATACACTAGATAGGTCGTAGGTACAACTGATAAACCAGCATAGCCGATAGTCCCAAGCATAACGAATGAGTAGAAGTATAGAAATACATCAAAGAAACCCACTTGCTGGACAAAACAAACTTTAGACACGGAAGACAACCGCGCTTAGCAAACACAACACTATATGTCCGTACATCTAACAAGCATACTTTAAGTATCCGGGTCTTCGTACCTGCATTTCGACCATCAATTCTTCCACGACCGATTCCGGTTGCTCTGAGGCAAGAGACGTTACAAGCCGCTTTGCCTGCAACAGAAGCGAACAAGGGGAAGGAGTAGAACTGCAAGCGAAATCGAAACAAACTGTAAAACGCAAGTGCTTGAAAGAGACAAGTGTACAGTCTGTTTGGCTGGCGCTATGTGCGTAGCTGGAGGGAAAAGTTGGCTACTGAACCATTTCTGGATAGTATTTTAAGCTAATTTGAACACGAAATGGCGATTTATAAGAAGGCAACAAACAGACAATACAATCGGACAGAAAGAGAACAAGTGTCTGGGTCTTGAGAAGAAAACTGTGACTGATGACAACGAGTTGAAAATAGAGGCATGTAGAATGAGTGGGGTCAAAACCATGAAAAGGAATCGCAACAGAAAATCGGAAAACAGTCAATAGGGGAAGGCAACGCTATTGCAAAACTGATGATGCCTTGATAACAAGTAAGCAGAGCAGAAACGTGGTCACCGAAATCGGTAAAAGGCGATTTCCAGTCGTTTTGAGTCCATTCATTCAAGGGGGTTCAACTTACATGTGTCAGCAGGCTTGCAGGAGCCAACGAAGTCAAAATGATGATATAACGGAGAATCACGGACAAATTAGCCGGCCTGTGTCGAATGAGAACGACCCACACCTGCTTCAATGCTTCCGCTGCCGTCGGACACTCAGCAAGCCGTAAAGTGAGGTAGAACAAGTTGTTCAAAATCAGCTCTGTGGACTACAGGAGAATGGGGAAAAGGAAAGGAGCGGTAAGCGTATGGAAACAAAAAATCACTCCACCGGTTAGTTGTACCAGATTGGGTGATGATGATGTCACGGATTTTAGCTGAGTGTACACACTTCGAACATCAGCCTATCCGATCACATGAGCTCGTTTTGATGGTTGTCAGCTGCACATTCTTCGATGTAACGCTGTATACCATAGATTGAACGCTGTCCTACCGGCAAAGCATTCGAACTACATTAAGTACAGGACTGAGACACAGTAAACGATGAGATGAGCGGGGGAAGAGAGATTAAAGATAGCGTACTCGCACAATCACAGTGGTTAAAGCGAGCGTGGAATCCATCTAATGACGCGGTATAAGCGTAAGGCAAGTCTGACAGATTCGCCATAGTAGATATCATGACCAACAGTGGTGGCATGAGCACAGGGTCCATCAGCGAATGCTCCACTCAATGGATGACCAGATGTCGTTTTGTATGAGCGAGCCATCAAAGTGGCGCTTATGTCGCACTGAGAAAGCCATGTCTCACAACCCAATCAGCCTTGCAGAAATCATAAGAAAACCTAATGTGACGATTGGTTAAGTGAAGTCTCAATGTGCGCAGCATAAAGCGACAACAAAAGTTTATTATGCCACTGGGGTTACAAAACAAGTGAATGGAACAAAATAAACAAGGCTTATAAAACAAAACCTCATCGAGATTGCCAAAAGAAACAAGAATGCCTCACATAACTCGATTCAGTCAAATCATCTAAAACAAGAGAATCTTCGTATAATCCCAAACAGGAAAATTAGAGCTTGATTTTCGGGTTTTGGGCGGCTCGATCAATCCGTGCAATCTCGCTAGTCGCAAAGAGGCAGTCAATGATAGACATACCAAAACAAACGGTGGCCAATTAACGCGCTTTTTGTCGCTGTCGTAAATTTTGATTGTTAGTCAGCTGTTTCTGTCCACAGAGTAGTGGTTGCTTTCGATGGATAACAGATTCTAGTAAGTTGAGAATTTGGGTCCGCTGACTGCACACTAGGACGATGAACGATTGAATCGGTGGTCCAGTTGTATGGGCTGAATCCTTGGCCATTGCTCAGCCACGCGATTCCGTCGTTATGGATCCCATCCGATTGCGTAACAGCTTGGAGATTTGTTGTTCATAGAATCTAACAACCAAACCGATCAATTCGCCCAATGTAGCTATGTTTGCAGCTACAGGAGAATTCTAGAAATCATGGGAGGTATACTGCCTTTTCGTCGGCGAGCAATTGCAGTTCTGCTGCGTTACATATCCTTATTCGTTTTGCGGTGACTTTCATGAGATGAGCACTTTTGACGGCAGCTCACTAAAGATCGGGTTCTTCTAAATTGTTGACACATAATCTCGCATGGTTCTGTCATTGGAGCGCCTAATAAACTTCAACAGATGACCATCTGATTGTAGTGTGTCGAATAGCAGATCACTCTCCGTTTCTAGTATGTCTGGAATGGAAATCGTGTTTATTCGATGGAAAGAAGTCCAGACGAAAGAGCACTTGTGTGGTATCAGAGGGGACTTAAACTGCAAATACCGATCCGCTCAGACTGATTTTCATAGAGTAACCCGACTGAACCGTTTGGTTGCCGTGTGATCAGCATGTCTGTTGCTGGAACGTCAAGTAACCCCGTAAAATGCGCCACAAACTCCGAAGCGTGGGCTGTGCCACGCAGAGTTCAATTCCTACCCACAGCGCAGTAGCATTCAGTTAGTCCGAAACGGCGCGCAATTGCACAAGACCCTGTGCTGCAGAAAGCTGTCATTTACATTCAGACGTGCTGGACAAATACTGCATTTTCTGACGAACTCAAACAACTGTATCATAGCCGCGACACCTTTTCCGTGGTCCATTCCTGCCTCATGACTGCAGATAGAGTTGTCGTTCCTTCCTGCTTCCGACAAGCTGTACTCCGTCAGCTCCATTCTGCTCACCTCGGTATGAACAGAATGAACGCAACCGCACGCAGTTATGTGTACTGACCTGGCATAGACAACGACATCGAAAATTTGGTTCCCCGTTGCTCAAGATGTCAACAAGCATCCAAGATGCCACCACACCAATCACCAGTTCCTCGGCAATCGACAGAAAATCCGTGGTCTCGAGTACATATCGAGTATACTGGTCTGATCGAAGGCACCTCTTACTTGGTCGTGGTAGACGCCTACTCCAAATGGCCGGAAGTGGTCCCCGTCAACCCACCAACCGCATCAACCACGCTGAATTGGCTACAACTAAATTTCAGTCACAATGGACTCCCCGAGGTCTTGGTGTCCGACAATGACTTTCAATTTACGTCTTCTAGGTTCGAAGACTTCTGTCGTCGTCATTGCATCCAACAACTACGCTCACCGCTTTACCATCTGCCGCCCAATGGTCAAGCGGAGACGTTTGTCGACGCCTTGAAACCTCGTGAGGAGGGGACTGTGGATGAATGCCTTCAAGCGTTCTTGCTCTCTTACTGGTCCACAACAAATCCAGCCGCTTCAGGATGCCAGTCTCCAGCTGTAGCATTGATGGGCCGCAAGCTACGCACCACTCACGAAGCGCGCATCCTGACCGAAAAGCCACCAAGTCAATCAATATACTGCCTGCACCAAGTACAATGAATTCGCCGTTGGAGCCCAGGTATACGCTCGTGACTATCGAGCAGGTCATCCACGCTGGATCAAAGCAACAGTGAAGGACCGTCGAGGTGATACGCTGCATACTGTCTCCGTGGGCGATGACACGTGGGTCCGCCATCGCAATCAACTTAGACCGCGAAGAGGAAAACCCTCCAGGTTAGTCAGTCTACCTGTCCAACTGCCGCTGCACATCTTGTTGGTTACCTTCGGAATTGCAACAGTGCGAAAAATGACGGTCGAAGTCGCCCAATCGCCACGTCTTTAGAACCTACCTTACCGGCGGACAGGAAGAATCCGGAGATAAACGAAATCCCTCCAGGTCAGTCCTAGTCAGAAGCGGTACACCTTATCTTCAAAGGAAGATGTTACGGGAACGTTGTGTAACCCCGCAAAAATGCGCCACAAACTCCAACGCGCGGGTTGCGCCATGCAAAGTTCAATTCCTACCCACAGCGTAGAAAGATGCAGTCGTTCTGAGTCGGAGCGTAACCGAGCTAAAGTGAACAATGTTCTTTCGTAAACCACGCGCCCTACGTGGTGATTCGTTTCACCCACAAAATGAACCATTGTGCCAACTGTTATTCGGTCTTTGTGGGTCCGTTTTGTTTTGTCTTCTCATTCTTTTGTCTGGTTGGGACTTGTGTGGTCACGTGAGCGTCTAGCCCCCGCGTCGTGTGCGCATCATTGCTTAGATTCGAGAACTCAGTGCGTTACCCGATTGGGTGCGTGAATAGGGACAGTGCTCAGGGCACCAGTAAGTTTTGTTTAAGCTAACGCTACCAGGTCTGCGCAAATCCATCACAATGTCGAGATACGAGAGACGCATATCTTGCTCAATGTTGAGCGATACACGCTACACGTTCAGATGCGTATCGTTGAGTGTTTAAGTCGCAAGCACGATGGCCACCTCTGAATCCATGATTATTCGTACATCATCCACATAAGGCTTATATATCTTATGATGTCGTCTGCGTTTCTTCAATCATGCACATGAACATGTCTGCCAGCAACCGACCCAGTAGGACCTCTATTGCTATACCGTCAATCTGTTGATATACATTTCATTGAGAGTGAGGGTATGCAGGTGTTCTCCGAGCCGGCTGCAAACGTTTCATCGTCAGGCATCATCAGTGCGATTTATGCGGGCCACTTACAGATCCAAGTGATTATTGATCACTTGCTGATTCGAACGTCAGAGTCGATTGACCAACATGAGCTGACCGTGTAGTCAGCTCTTGCGTACTGTTGCTTACAGTCCGCTTCAATGACATTCCTTTGTCCAGTTGAGTTGGGGCGGAGTATTGACTTGACTCCCAGTGCTTCATAGGCAGTATCTAGATCTATGAAGCACTGAGGGTTAAATCAATACTCCGCCCCAACTCAACTGGACAAAGGAACGTCATTGAGGTGGACTCTAGCCAAAAGCACGCAAGACCTGACTACACGGTCAGCTCATGTGGACCAATCGACTACTGACGTTCGAATCGGTAAGTGATAAATAATCACTTGGTTCTGTATGTGGCCCGCATAAATGGCACTGAAGATGTCGTCTAGCCTGACGATGAGACGTTTGCAGCCAAATCAGCCAGAACACCCGCATACCCTCATCCGCATCCCAAGCTACAAATATTCTCACGGATTTCATTGAGAGTAAAATTTGATGTCTCGCGCAGGTGCCTTAACGATTCGGTGGGGAGCTGCAGTCGAATATTAGATTTTGAGATAAAATCCCAGAGTTGGTCAAAAGTTCAGTTTAAAGGGGATTTTGGTGAAGTAAGACTGCAAATCAGGCGCACACGTCGTCTTAGGGTTTATAAGCTATACTCCTGAAACAAAAATGTAATGAAACCATTTGCAATCGCCATAGAAGTAAATGCCATGAAGGAAGGAAGCATGATGGAGAGAGTGCAAATAAACCCATTTTCGGTAGGCAGAGGTAAGGAAAAGTTGAAATGGACAGCCGATCCGCTTAACTGTTATTACAAGGAGGCCGAGTATAAGAGCACCGTATAATTCTGGATTTTGCCGAACGGTTAAATCTGTGGGCACTGATGAGGGCAGACACGAGAATTCGATACGGGGAAACTACACGTATCAAAACAACCAAAGCGCTTGCTCAAACAATCTACGCAGCTCAACGAATGGTAATCAATGAGTCTCATTCAACCAGGTGAAGAAACGGCAAAGCTATTAGTATTACTTGGGTGATGTTGGGAACAGAAACTCTACGTTGGCGTCTTAGCCAAGCCCCAAAATACGCAGATACACTGCTGGACCCACAGTGACTTACCTGCTTTGAACCCCATCCATTACACCTAAGAGTCAACGGGATGCTGAACCAGAAATCCTCACTAGGAAGTGAGTGAGTTGGAAAGGTGACAGATCTTCGATGAACCTCCTGTGCTCTACGGGAACGGGCTGCATTCGGTTTGGCTAGTGGAACTGTATCCGCTTTTGAAGTCCGAATGCAAGAGAAGGTTTCCCCCAGCCTTCGCTGACCACTTCCCAAATCAGTATCGCTGTCTAAATCACTTCCTATGGTCGACTGTGATGGTAATGGACGTTGAGCAGCGGAGCGATGGTGCGTTGGCTTGCGTACTGTGGGATTCGAGTGAATCAAATGTTCATCAGCATCATCGGAATCAGTTGGGTCATCGTTCCTCTTTCCGTCAGATTTAGAGGCTTGCTCGTGACACGACTTGTACTTACGCTCCGCGTCCGGGATATCTGGATCCGTTGCATCCAGGTCGCCGTCGCAAGCGAACTTAGGCGCTGCGCGAGCGATTCCGGAGATCAGATCGACCAATTCAATGTTGACAATCCAAGGAACAAGTAAGTGCAGCAGCGGAACCCTCCAGCACTCGCGAGAAACTTCCAATCGTTTGGTGATTTCTAAAAAAAAGACGTATTCAGTCGCTAAGAGGTGAAGCGTTATTTATGTCGTGTAATGATAATGAATAATCGTACGAAATCGATTAATGATGTATACCGGGACCAAAAAGATTGAACCAACTAAAACGTCTAAGAAGAAAAGCAAAATAGTGAGGAGATCAAACCTACCCGCCTCCCATGTGAGCGATATGAATCCATTTGAATAGCAGTGCAAATAGAGCAAATGGCAGTGGAATGACAGACCAAGTTGAAGCTGTGCGTTGCAACCTAAGCACAAAACGCATACAGCCAGATCTAAAAATGTATATCAGCGGTTTAATATCAATAAGCTGACACTTGACAAATGCTCATGAATACCCTTATTTCTATGCGTCCCGTGATAAAGCTGTACGCTGTCGGGTGTGTCCCTAGGTTGATGATCAGCGAATGCCTTCCTTGTGGAGATAACTGAGCATTAGTCTCGCTTGCTTCTCAGGCTATATGAACAAGCAGTCACGGACAAACAGCATCTCAGAGAGTGGGGAGTTCTGGGCTGGTCAGTTGGTTCTTCATCAAATACAAAAAGAGCTCGTAGGGCACAGTGTTAAAGCCAATATGACCGACAATAGGGTCACTGACCACTCACTTCCTCAGCCAGACGTGAGTACCTAACCGAGGGCGGATGAACAACCTTATGACCGTCGGCGTCTGTGTTGAGTGCCACCGAACACTACAAGGGCAACCTGGCTGCCAATGATATTCGTATGTAGCAGATGGTTCGACGCTCAAGAAAACGTTTTCTGACCTATGTGTTGCTATACCCGAGTTATTCGGGAGCCTAAAGTAGTTTGTTGAAAATCGAAGTGGTGAGAGTGGCTCTAGACAGTTTGCGATATACCTTAATCGCTCCGCTGTCTTGCAGGTCAGATCTCGAGGACCAAAGGTGGAGGCACCTAAATCAACCATCTTTCTCGAACTGGACAACCGGGAAGCTCGCTGCCCAGGCAAAACAATATGGACGTGAACATACGTAAAGCTTCCGCTTTTGTTGTTAGCATGTGTTGTAGCACGCTGCCAAATGTTTACTGGTCAAGCGTTGAATATATGGAAACCAACATATGGAATCTAATGCAGAACCCTTTATTTAAAGCGTAATGAAGTAGGCGTGGAGCTTTGGTAAAATGTGACCAGATTAAATAGTCACAATTGGAAATGCACTTGGTATATAAGCACCAGTGTTGTCAAATGACACTTACACATAGCAGAGTAGTGAAAGGTCATTCTTAAAAGAAAAGAGGTTGAGATAACGCGTCACGAGGGTTGCAGGATGTCAGCTCCAGAAGAGCACAGATGAGTGCCATACGGAGTGAAGGTGTATAGATAGGAGCTCACCTGAAAAAACCTCCAAAGTGAGATCAGGATGCTGAGCAGCAAACTGCCGTATCACTTCAGATGGAGCCCATCGAGTGAAAGATTGCCAGAAGCGAAGATGGGTTTTTAATTCAACACATAGAGGCAAGGAAGAAGTGGATCGTGGATTTTGTGGCATCGCACAACTGTCGCCAACATGACCTCGGTTGGAAGCATTTGAATGCATTCGTTCATGTATCATGGAGCTGGGCTGAAGAAGGGGGCAAAAAGCAAAATGCCGATCATGACAACGACTAAGTGTCCTTTTCTAGAGTGTGAATGACGGAAAAGTGATGTCGAATGGTTCAAAACACATTCACAAGATCCAAAGTCCAATAGTGAACGAAAGCCATTGCTATTGAGACAAAGTTAAAGGACACACTTAATGGGACGAACCAGTGCTAAGTAGAAATCCGGTTTGATTTTCCATTGGCAATATATTGATGTGCAAACTGTGCCAGATAGACAAGTACCATGCGGCCCTACTACATACACACACACCGAAAATTATCGGACAAAGGAGACAATAGTGAACTTTAGTCGTGTCAGATGTTCGCCTTTGGCAACCTCAAGAAAGAAAGTGGGAAGTGGGCTTAAAGCGAGTAAATGATTTCAAAGCATCAACAACTTGTGATGGCACTATAAGCGAATTTTGGTTCATATCTGCCAACAAACTCGTGGAATTAGGGATTTTTTCCCACAAAATCGAGTCTGTCGAACATCGTCGTCTACAATGGACAGAGTAGCAAACTGCAACGTAAACTAAGCTCACCAAAATAGGTTTGCGAAGGGGATCCGGGTTTTCGTACTACTTTCCTGTTGCAAGTAGGTGATCGTGAAAATGCAAGCAGATGCTTCGAAAAGTTAACGTTTACAAGCCACACAGAAGTGACTCGAATAAACAACTATTGAAAATTAGCAAGATGCTGAAAAGCGATCAAGTACAACGAATAGGTGCTGGTGTTTATGGTGGCCAAAGGGTCGCGATGAAAATACTAAAGACGAAATCAAAAAGTGTAGTTGCGAAAATGTCACCCAATACTTGCCTTGATGACGAATCGATAGTAGATGACATGAAGCAGGTAAAACGCGCGGTCGCTGATGGTCTTTTGAGGATGATTCAGATGGACGAAGGCTAACACCAGAAGCGGAATCAAGTCACAAGGAAAGTCGGCGCTGCATAGCACACAAGAGGAAAGAAGCACTGTTTGCACATGGCTTACAATTCAGAGGTTTTGCTTTAAACTAGCGAAACAGATTCTAGAAACTGAAACCTTGAAGGTAGAAGCGTTTTAAAGAAGCCGATAGATGGAGGAGGGTGTAAAACTAGAAGCTGAAAGGTAATAAGGAAGCCAATTTCATTGCAAGCGGTCGTGAGAGCTGAGAGTATCGGGAGAGGCTAGTAGCTAAAGCGGGATAAAAAGTTAGGTGATCTTTAGGTGTTGAATGGATATCTAACAAGATGCAGATGAAATAAGAGCACACTGGAACCAAAAACACAAGTTGCTTAGCGGCTACGTCCGGCGCTAGGTTAGTGGGTTGTAAAAAAGCACATGCATTCATTCCTTGATTTCGGTGGGGAATTCAAATTTAGCTCTGCTCACGTTAACTCAATAACAAGTTCCATCCTTCCGTCTTTAGTGTCATGCTAATTTACAAGCGAGATATCTGGAAACCGTGAATTATTTCCGCGCTTATGAACTATATATATATATATATATATATATATACGTCAAGAAACAGTTGATAGAATTCCACAGCACGTGGGCAACGGTACGACAACAGAGAGAAAAAGCAGTCACGGGTAAAGAGTCTTGAAACACGTTCGCCATTGGACTATGCTACTTAACATACAGCCTGTGGGAAACGACATAAAATATCTGCAGAAGTGCCGATATTACACAAGTACCAAAAAAGCAAATACCGAGTGATTGATTGTACTTCAGTAGCCTCAAAGGTTTCTGGAAAGAAATATCTTAAAAGATGCGGAAGCATGCAGTGAAACGATTCCCTGCAGTCTAGCAACTGCGATTCGCAGCGTACCCATGACGCAGTGTGGCCTGTCTCTTGCATTTGGTTCTGTCGTCGCTGGATAACAGAATCAAGCCCACTCGAGTCTTGTTCCCTGAGTACAGCTACATATTCAGCCGTGTAAACCACTGAGGTACATCTTTATTTCATCCTGTTAATATGGTCACATACAAATTGCGCGACTCGGAGACGAAGGCTTCTCGCAGCAATTCATAAACAATAGGATTCACCCGTGGGATATTCAGACACTACGTCTATTTTCCCCTTACGTCGGCTCAATGTGAATCGCTGAGCATGCGACGCCAGTATGTAGATGAAATTATCTTGGACATCAATCAATCAAGCACTACCTCTACAGTCAGATCATGAGATTTTGAACGATCTCAAGGATTGATCGAAAGCAGCTGAGCTGTCGTTTGATGCGTCAAAGTGTAAATATATTTGTTTACAGTATATATAGCATAGGAGGTTGGTGTTAGCAGCATTTCAAGCAGTGCTCTAAACTCTGCATTTATGCCACCCACCACACCACATCACTGAAGTATGTATGATGTATAAGTAAGATGTATCATGGTCAAGTCAGGAGACAGACATTTTCGCCTCCCATTTGCGACCATCTTCCTCTGACCCTTCTGAATTAATACCCGGTTTAGCCATTGTTTGTGTTCTTCCACAATGGACGTACTGTTCTACGGTGATCTTTCCTGGTCTACTGGGTAACCAGTTCAGAGTAATTGTCAAGTCATTAAAGCATTTGTCCCGTTTTAGTGGTATTTCATAACTGAATAACACTGAGGCATTTATGGTACCTTCCTAAAGTCAAGATGTATAATTGCATCGTGAAATCAGTGTCCATGAGACACGAAAATGTCGATTTGCCCTAACAACGGCATACATAAAGCTGTTACATAACAAAAACTGATTATCTCAGCACCAAATTAGCGATAAGTGAAACTCTTTTCCTTGGAAATATAATATTACACCCTACTTAGATGAAGTCTGCAGATAAGTGAACGCCAACTACGCATGGTCAACTGGATTACAGTGAGACAACCGCGACCAGGTGAGGAAGGACAACAGAGAAGGAATGTGACTCACATGTTAGCGATAACACGGCAAATTGAAGCGAAGCAAGCCTCAGACAGTGAGGCGTTCGATGCAGTGTAGCATTGTTCAATCGACCAAGTCAGCAGGGCTGGAGAGGCTTGGTTTAGATCCAGCAATAGAACCAAGGTCTCTTCTCCCAATTGACGAAGAAGCTACAAAATAGAGATGGTGAAACTATCACGAACCTGGTCTTAATGATGTCAGGCTGTGGAAAAGCAAAATAAAAAATGATAGAAATAGTTCAATAAATTGAGAAACCATGGTGGCTTTGTAGTGGCGGCGAACTGAAAAAAAGAAGAATAAGTCACACGACAGACTCGTTCAAGCCGGTACGAGACACCGACAAGCAGGCTAGAGCGCTTAAATGTAAGGTGTTCTCTACACGAAATACTGCACACCACTCCACGACTACTTTCGTGAACGCCTGCATTCGTTAGGTAATGACAGCAGAAGTGCGGCTTGAACTTTGGGAATGGAGGCTGACGGCCGAAGTCTTTCTTCATATGAACCACCGAGTCCTGGGTGATACTTAGCGAAACGGTTAGTGAATCGGGGAGATTCACTTTGATGCAACTGTTGTGTAAACGGATTAAGACACGAAATCTCAAGCTAGGCGATGAATCACCTCGATGTGGCCAGGCTTCAGTTTGCAGCCCCTACTTCTAGTGTTCGACAGGGGATTCGTCCACGTTGCTTACATTAATTGCGCTTATCTTCGGTAACTTTGTTGCGTTTGTAGCATTTTTAAGTAATTTGTGGACATTTTTACTTATCGCGGATTCGTTACTAACCAACTTACTTTATATGGTAATTTAGCGGAGTTATGTCACCGTATCTGTATGCATTATACGATTTCTTTTAGTTCATCATGTCGTTTCAAGTGATTGGCTGTTGCTTGATATCCCCGGTGTGGCTGCGCTTGATGTGCATGTTGACATGGTGACTACCTGTCTATTACCCACTACCTCGTCCATCTGGCTCCAGGAGTCAGTTGGTCGTTGATGGGGGGGGGGGGGGGGTGCACGGTCCTTGTGGCCGTGCTAGGCTCGAAGAGCGGTTCCATGCACTCAGTGTGGAGCGGGCTACGGTCCAGCCACCGCCTTGCGTGCGATTGATTCCCCAAATGCAGCTTGCCTGTGTTTGCCTGTGAAGTAGTGTGGGCCGACATCATTGATGAAACGTGGCTCCCATTCACATGCCTCCCGGTCTTATTGCTTCGGGTTTACACTGGATATGGGGTGTGTGATTGGAGTTGTGGGTGGTGAAGCGCAAACCACCCATGGTCCTTCTGTAGGCGCAGGTATCCTGTGGCAGGCCACAGTGACAGGCAAATCCCAAACCGGATGCCGCCATATATATATATATATATATATATATATATATATATATATACAGGAAAATAAATTTGATAAAAAGGATACAAAAAACTTGTCTGTTTGTTTGCCACACCCCAATTTTTTTCTTTTTTGTTGTTTTAATATTTGAGACATTAAATATGTAAATCAATAGAATTATGTGCACAGTTATCCCTCTGATTCTGGTTAGGTGTCCTGTCTTCAAGCGTGTCATATTTGGTCGCCATCCAAGGGAACGCGGGGGTCCAACGGCGACTAGACCTTACGTGAGCAATTACATGTGCTGTCACGAAATGGAAGGCTGACCACCACGCGGCTAACTCCTGCTCGGACCTACGCGGTTCCGCTAAAGCTTAAGCGACATGTGTAGGACGTGAGGGACTCATGTCAACTGACGCAGCAAAACATCTTGTTGAAGGGAATACTCGCATTCTGCAGGACGCGACCTCTAACATCATGAGCGTGAGCTCGGTTTTGCTACCACACAAGAGCGAGCCTCTTAAAGCAAACATTGGCGAATAAGGAAAGACGGGGTGTCTTCCACATGAATTACCCCCCCATATACGCAAGGAAAAATAAATCAATTGCTCGAACGAATGCCACTGACCATCTGTCGCACTGCGCAGTGTATCATTCAGATCATTGATTGTTTAGGTGGTCGATACGGCGCCGTGATGTTGCGGCACACACAAGGGGTGATAAAAAACGGCCATCAGCTTCCGCCAAATGTCTTCATAACGGTCTAATCCAAATATCAAGGTCACTCGGAGCATGCTCAACGGAAATGACGACAGTTCGTGAGATGTTAAGGGCAGACAATCCATGGCGATTGAGATTTGGTAGCCAAAAGGAGGACTAGACGTACGATCTTCGATTAGTTTATGAGTTGGATAGCTAATGCGAGCAACCAGGTTGCATAACATTAGCAGTACAACTCAAAGATGCCAGTAAAACGTAGCAAAATCAAATGTTCGACGGATGACGAGCTTAAGAAACATATTTTAAACGAAGCCATATGTGTTGTACTGAAATAAATCCCGGTGAGATGATATGTAATCATGGAGCCTGTGTAACAAACAATATATCTAAAAGATAAACACATTGGTCGGACAGTTTACGAAAACATGAGTGAAACAGCAGAAGTCTGCATCAATTGGAACAGACAATCTGGTAATGGTGACTCACGGTGTCCATACGACGTTCCCCTGCAGCTAACGCTGTCCGAGGAGGGGTTCCATAAACGGGGCAATAGCAGTTGCCAACGGGACTCCGATTCGAACGACCGAAAGACGGATCAACAATAGGACAGTACCACAACCATGGAGTAGCACTGGCACCAGAGTCACGCGCGACTAACAAATCCGAAATCCACCGAAGGACGTATCCTGGGCTTGGTATGATCTGTTTGTCCACGGTCGAACTATGCTCGGAGGTGGCATAGTCGCGGGAGTCATTAAACAAAGCCTGCTGGTCGTAAATAGGACCGCAAGTCAGTAAAGCGCCCATGGCCTGATTTGCCGACCATAGTAAATCTGTCCAGAGTCGTAGCGCCCAGCTGTCCAGGAAGGTTAATGTGAGTTGACCAGCCGTAGGATCTGGTATCGTGTGTGGCGGGTAAGCAGTAGTGGGTGTATTTGTTTGAGAGGCACTGGAGACCACACGATAAGCAGACGCTGAGACAGATGGCGTGTTTTCATACGTTTGTGGTAATACCGGAATGTTGAGCTGGGCGTTTGCGTCCAGAGCGGACTGATTGGAATCAGAGCACAAACCGTGTTGAGATGAAGAATCAACAGCGCTGTAGGACACTGCGGGCACGGGGCTGGAACCGGAAGTAGCGTTAATCGTTTGCATGGATTTTGATGGACCATTTCCCGGAGTAAAGAGTATAGAAAAACCAGTTGAACTAACTTCGGAGCTGTAAAACAAACAGGAGAGGAGGAAATTGACATAGGTGGTGGATGTAGGGGTGAGGTAATTAGAAAGACGTGCTTAGTGACGCGAAGGAGCGATGATGGCAAGTGACTTCAACGCTCCTGGCACTCCCCGGAATAAGTAGGCGTGAACTGCAGAGCAGAGGATACGCGTATGGTACTAGAGACTGTATTAAATGCCTGCGCGTCGTAGTGTATGGTCTTGACCGTAAAAACTGTGTAGACAAGACTGTTTAGTATACCGACGTGTAGCTGAATGAATGAGAAATGGTGGATACATAAGCGATGACACAAAATCCAGCTTGCGTCACAAAATCAACCATAGAAACAGAAATGCGCTACTAATGCAGGGTCTTATGAATGAGACAATGGGACTGATGAAATAGCTACAACGATCCTTCGCGATTCGCACCGCATGTGATTAGAAAGCTCCTCATGTAACAATGGCAAGTCCAAAGTGATAGTACGTATCGATCCCACCGCCAAGTATGAGTCCTCAAAAGGAAGCTCTGAAGGTAAACCAAAGTGATACATAAGACTCAACAGTAATAATGCAAGCTAGAGACGGGTGAAAATTTGTGCTGGTAGTAGTTAGTAAGGCGGGCCATAGTTCGCACCTTCACAGCCTTTGTTACACCACTACAATTCACTCAAACGTGTAAACATCATGCAGCATTTCTCTCCGAAGGCTGCAAACTCGTCGAAGAAAGACGTTAGAGTGATCAAGTTTTCTGAATTACATTCCCGAAGCTGCGAGATCTGTGGCACAGAAGGCGATTGTGGTCAGTTTGAAAGGCTGTATATACAGCCGTTATCATTTACGTGAATAAGTTAGCTCTCTAAATCTGATGGTTTGTGGCGCATTCAAGATTTTGATAACCGCTGCCGGATGACGCCAGTGTATGCGCAACGATTATGTGCGTGTGCAAATAATACGCGGTGATAATCCGGATAGTCGCTTAGTGTAACGTACAGGAATGATTAAACTGTGTTAACTCGGGCACCGCCTATCATGGTGGTCCACGCTTGTTTGCCGGATGACAAGAGTCGACATGGGCAGATTTGATTTGTACTGTATCAGCCTGGTTGCAACGGCTCGCTTAGCCGGAACGAACGACATGGTTCAGCGAATACCGCCCCAGGAACTAGCCTCATGGCTTTGTCAGAATGTATAATAACGATGCACTAAATACAAGAGAGGCAGACAGGTCTTTGACAAACAGCTTTAACGACCAGACCAAAAGCGAATATATGGCGAAGCTGGTGTCATATGTAAATGCTCACATGGAACAGTCTACAGAGTCCAACGCTGGAAGAGTGATGGTGTAGAGGACAGTAGAGCTCAAATTGCGGCACATGTGAAATCAAGTGGCGATCCATGTGAGTTCACATGAAGGCCAACGGTCTGCGTCAAACATAATTAAGTGAGGTGTGGCTTACTAGGACTTCCCTATGCGATGTTGTGGGACGGTACATTCCTCTTAACAGTTTGTAAATAGGAATTGAAGTCAATGTACTGGGTGATGTTGGTTCGTCTTGTTTTCTTGATTGGAATCCACGTGAAAGGCCTTGAGCTTGGTTCGAGACTTTACCGGACATGGCTCGCAGTCAGTATCAGTGACGCGTTTTGTCGTCGCCTCCTAGCCGGGCTGTTTGCTTCAAGTGTGTCTGATGCTGAGTTATCTTCGGACCAAGGCCGATTAATGTGTGCGACAGCGAAAGCCCTATGGAAGTTGTTTCACCGATGCTGCCTTATCTTCGCACGACAGACCGTGTTGTGCATACATTTGGGTGTGCTTTGAACTTGAATATCGGCCTGGATAACTTAATTATAAGTGCTTGGTCCTTTTCCTTGTGTGGAGAGGTAGAATCAATTCATGTCACTAACGCATTGCTTTTGATGATTTCGAAGGAGGAGAGGATGGTAGCAGGTGTAATGACCCAACAGCAATCGAGCGATGCTCACAAAGCGTTCATCGCTCCACTAAGCTAACTTTAGCTACTAAGAAATCAAGTACCATGTGCGAGTAAACGCCGACAATACGGACCGGCAGCGATGATGCGACCATGCCGGATAGAGGCAAGCACGTGATTTGCGGAAGATACAGGATGCGAGATTCATAGCCAATACAAATAAACCTGCCTACACACTGCTGGAGCAAAATGAAGATGAAATTCGGAGACAGTAGAATGTGACGTGCAGAATTGTTAAGGAACAACTCTCACTCCACTAGTGCCGCGTGCAAGCGACTCCATAGACATTAACACCATATTGAGTTGGCTTAGATCAATCCAAGTGAGCAAGAATGGGTGCTTTAAGCCTCACTCAATTGTTGTCCATAAGTATAACCGTCGCAATTAAAGATAGCTCGGACAACTAATAACACAGGATACATTGCAATTGATAGTTCAGGTATGTTGGGTAATTAGGGCTTAACACCACGTTTCAACTGCCAACGAGGCTGTGTCGAAGCCAAGTAAAAACGTCTCTATCGAAAGATGAGTTCCGTATCATCTTGCATCCGCGCATCACGGAGCTGGTGACGATGCCAGAGCAGAGAAATTCACCGAATGCGGTCAAAGTAAGTAAACATGGCGACTTCAAATGACTAAATTAAAACGAGGCGATTTCTCAAATGCAGCGAACGTAAACGGGTCCCGTGTTCAAGAGGAGCCAAACGATGTAACAGTGATGATCCCCAAAGTCACATATCTAGACGCGACAGGGGAAGTAGCGACACAATGTTTCGCCTGTGTTGGGCATGTGTCGATGGGTAAGCAAAAGGGAATATCGCAAAGCTGCAAGTTACGACTGAATGGCACGAGTTAGTCGTAAAAGCACGCGTTTTAGGATTTGATGGAAGTAGCAGAGTAGAAAGGAGCGGTACCAGTATAACAGATTCGGATTTCGAAGTAGGCCACAGTTGGAGCCTCTCAAGTTGCTGGTTGGAGATACTTGTTGACATGGCGAAGAACAAACCTCCGTTGCGTTTGAGGTGTGAGCTTATTTGTCCACTCCCGTCCCACTAAGCCTCTCCCTCTCTCTACGATCTCAGTCTCGACGCATAACATAATTTTCCTCTTGTTTTGGTTTATTTCTCACTTTTTTCCACCGTCATCTAATTGGTTTGTATTGCGGCACAATATTTAAGGAATCTCTCATCTCCAGCTAACGTACATAATGATGATGGTGAGGCTCGAACAGCAAGTTAGTGCTTAATATACGCACACTTCGGAGGAATTCACTTCTCAAATATAGGGGCCAGAAAGTGAAATCGCGGGAGCCTAGAAGACAAGAGGCAAGAAGGCGGTTTTAATGAGGAAATGAAAATAGATTTAAGTTTTTAGGCCCAAGAAATCACTTGTAAGTTTTCCTACCGATGTAGATCAACATCTAATGCTCAACCCAATCCAGTAGTATATGCGAACAAACAGTACACGCGATCACGTTTACTGGGTTACCCTCGAATAAAAAAGAACAGATACCAGTGGACAATTATGGATACATAAGAATATGAACTCCACGATTGAGATTACGAGTCGCAATCCAAGACACACGACGGGTGCTCTAAAACCCGAAAAGAGTATGAACTCCATTAATTGAGCGTGAAAGTAGTGATTGGAAACCTCCACGGGTATGACAAAAAAGCGGACTGAAAAGTCGAGAGTCCAATGAATGCAGACACGTAAAGAACACTTGACGCTAAACGTCAAGGAAGACCAAACAGAAGTTAAACGCACCAGAGACCCATCACATGATCATGGTATCCGCTCCAATGTGAAAGCAACAGGAACAACTGGTAACGCATGGCTGTAGGCAACAACTGAGTTCGTTTCTCTTCTAGGAAAGAAAACGACAAGGAAAAATGGATGATTGTCCAAAACAGTAGCGGCGGTGACAGCGGTGGATACGATATCAAGCAAAAGGAGTTGAAAAGCGCGTCATAAGCATATAAATGAAGACACTATAATTGACTCCAAAGCGTGAACTCAGTGGGGAGACAAAGGCTCTTTAGTCGCCCGAGCGGAAGATAATCGACTGGGGCAAAGCCACAACTGGTACGTGAAAGTAAGTAGCGCGGTGGTGAGAGAGCATCGCAAATCGTAAGCAGTACCCACACTGAATCTGAAGTGGGGTTTCGGTGTTGCTCTATCCCATGTACAGCGTGTACTAAAAAACCTAACATTTGGTAACCACGCCACTAACGTGGAAGTGACCGTGCATAATGCCTAACATATGTAGGAGCTGGTCAGCAGCTAACTGCCCATATCCATTCCACTAGAGAGAGGAAGGTGTGGCTGCAGTCCTAGTGTAAACTGATCACCTAAAAAAGAAGCGGGTAGCGATCAGTGACCCAAAGGCCAGCGACATCATATTCGACACAGTTCATGCGATATTGTGTGGATAACAGAGCTAAAAACTCGGTAACAGGCCGCGTTAAAACGTTGACAATGGGAGATGATAAATTTACGTCTGCGTCAATGGGCGGCTTGCTCACAGTGACTTTCTATGAGTGTGCGAATTTAATAAGGCTATGGGAATATAGCAGGATGTAGTAGTACAACATTTGAAGTAAAAATGCCGCGAGTAGTAACGTCACTGATGATGAGGGCAAATCACTTAGACTGCAAGTTAAAGGAATACCGCGACAATACCATTCACAAAGTTAGTCGGAAAATGGATTAAAAGGGTGATAACAACACTCCAAAAGAGGTGTTCATCTAAACAGTCGTACAGGAAAATAAACGAAAATTCACAAGAGGCATGGGATAATTGTAGCGGGATAAGATTGAGAGAAAAGAGCTATTATCCTATTGCGAAGGGAATTCGGGAAAAGCAGAACCCGTAAACCGCCTTGGAAAGCAAACGTGAAAGTTTAGAGGTAGAGGAGAGAGTCGATGATCAAACAGCATTCAAAAGAAGTTCGTTAGTGCAAAAAAGTGGGTGCTAATAAAAAAGTTTACGGAGTTGCTCCCTCCAAACACTGCATTGCACGAGCGGTTTCGTCCTCAGCTGAATTCTCCAAGCAATGATAGCTGGAGTTGGGAGCAAGACCCGCTAAATAGTAACTGACAATTGGTGCGTCAATGTCTAGGTCACTAAGCTCCGACACAACGGTTAAGAATTCGATGCTGGGTTATGAAGTATCCATTGTGTTTGGGTTGCGACAAGCGATTTCGATTGGAACCTAGATTCCCTTTGGAAGAGGTCTCGGTCATTCTACAGTCGAACTTGCCTAAGGCGACCACTCAAGGGACCGACAAAAGGTGGTCAACTCAGACACGTGGTCACCATGGACAGGTTCATGTATAGGGACATAACTCATAGGAGAAAACGTTGGGGATGATTTTGGCTGGTTGCCATAGACGGGTGGTCGCCAGAGCAGATTAAACAGGAGTTGCAATGATCGGAATGACCGAGGTCTGCGTCAAAACGAATCGTGGTCCCAAATGAGATCGCGTGTCGCAATTAAAAACATGCAGGGGGTACGCCAAAGTCAAAAATTGGACTCGGAGTAGCGAAACACGTAGCTGAAGTGAGCTGGGCAGGGGGTTCGCATGCCATAGTGGGAAGTTGGTTACACAAAAGAGTAAACATGAGCTACCACTTTCAGTCATGGTGCATAAAAATGGCTTACTTGGCAAGTGGCGGATGAGTTCCAGGATAAAAATGCTGAAATGTAGTCGGATTTCAGTGAGGACAGAAGCCTCGTTTAAGGAGATACCGGAAGCAGCGTTGACGGCCGTAATGGCTGGTGCCGATCCGGCATTAGACGAAAAAGACGAGGTCATTGGTGTTATGGATCCAGCCGCACCCATGAGCAGAGACCCAGGAGAGGCGGTTGATGGCACGGAAGGGTAAATGACATTTGGGGAGCCAGTTACTCCGATGCAAGCAAGGCTGGTGGCTTGATCTGATACCGAATCCAGATAGACACGCATTCCGTCTAGATAGTCTGTCAATTGTGGTATAAGACAACCTTGGGATGTGAGAGCATTTGACTCGCTAAAACGAATAAAAAAGAGAGACCGGGGAAATTTAGTAGTTCAATAGAAAAAGGGCAATTCCTGTGGCAGTAACATGCACACCAATTAACACAAATAGCAGAAGAAAAAGACATTGTCAGTGAACCGGTAGCTTACATCGATACATCGTGGGCCGGGGTACTGTAGTGGCGGTCAAACCTAAAGAGGAATAAACACTCGCACCCGCGAGGGCTAGGACGACGGAGTCAAAATGCTACGAGGCCCCTTCAAATGTTGGAAGCTGAATAAGCGCAAATAAGGGCAGCACAATAGACACTAAGCTGAAATTGTACCGAAACTTGACGCCCATAACGAGTTACAGCCGCTAAAAGAGTGTAACTCACAAGGCTTCGTACACAAGGCAACCTAAGTGCATACAGCCTGAAAGAAGCATTAAAGTAAAGGATCCCGTAAATCCAAAGTGGCGAATAAGATAAATGTAATTATACAGTGAAGTAGATTCAAACAGTCGGCTAATGGATGACGTATCAGCAGTACGCCGGTGCACTGTATCGACCCTTCGCTACCATGTGACCATCACCGGTCACGCGTGGACTGTGTACCGCGGGATCGCTCGCACCTACCCGGATTGGAATCAGTGAACTCGGGATTAAATGGCACACGTTTAATGCTATCGGACACGGATCAAAAGGTAGTGGTCAGGATGTCAGAACCTTCCAGAGATAGAAAGCAATAAATACTTAAAGGAAGTATATTGAAAGAGCAGGAGTTGATGCTGCCACGAGACTGTCAGTGTAGAACCCAAAACAGCCGTGCAACAAAAGGGATGAAAGCTATGAGCCGATAATCTAGGGGAGTTTGCCACAAAAATATCTCAACAAAAACTCACGGATAGGCAAATAGACCCGTCTGGCTCATTAGTGCCAACACGCGGATGAGCGAGACACGAAGGATGTCTCGACGTCGACGACGGCGCACATTTTCTTGCTTTCGGTCCACCGATTCCCTTAGTAGGGGGCTCAATTCCTCTAGCACATCCCTATTTCAGAGTGAAATACAGTCTGAATCAGTTCGGAAAGAATCGCTTAACTGTGCATACCAGCTACGCAGTACAAAGAGTATCATGCTGCTTACCTAAAGGATGCCGGATTAATCCGGCCCAGTGCACCAACCGCAGAATCACGAATATCCGACTGCTCACAGCGTAAAAGAGGGACAAGTAATTTGACCAGATCACGAGCAGTATCACGGATAACAACAGGCGAAGTGTGCGATTTCGAATCCACGTTTGTCACACTTGGCTGCGGAGGCCCAGCGGCCGCGTTCATAGAAGTATTGGGGGTTGGGTGCATAGCAGATGTCCGAGAGTCAGAAACATTGTCCGGAGGACCACATATCTTAGTTGGTCTGTGTAAGAAAAAATGAGGAAAAAAGTAATGTTGATAAGCAGAAACTGGGATTAGTTAAGCAGATAACTGTTAAAAACAGTATCTAAAACGACGCAACTTCAATTGAAAGCAACTAAAAAGGAGGGGCGAAAGACATGAAGATTAGTCATAGGAAATAAATTATTTGCGATCCCAAATGGTGAAACGATTTCAAAGGATCATTCAAAGCTGAGCCAAACTATCACGTATATCACGTTCACGCGACCTCCCCTCACGCGCGGAAGATGATGAACAGCCATCGGATAGCCTAATGGGTTCCTCAAACGCAGTCTGTGGTGTGTGGTAGCGAGGGGAAAGCGAAAACATCACCTGACAAGAAATAACAAGTCCAGAAAATACTGTAGTGAGATTCGGCAATCCTGGTTAAATAAAAGTGAGAAGTATGCAATTCCGGTAACGCCTGCATCGACTGAGAAACAAAGGTTAAGAGCATAGCGATCTGGCATAGTATCAAGGATGAAGTGGTTCGCTGATCTATGACGAAAAGGCGCAAACGGACAAGTTGGTTTGGTACTATGTAATACGGAGGAAAACGTGAGTGTGTTTCTATCCTGTACAGTGGCTTGGTCACTCCTTAGGCAGCGTGATTCCTGTTTCTGTCAGGGAAGGCACAGAGGGAAACTTTAGCACGAACGTCAACAGAAAAGGGTGCACAAAGATGCGAAAGCATGGCGCCGACCTGCAATGAAGACAGCAGAGAGCTGATCAGGTCTGACTGACGAGGACCGTGGAGTGTGGCTCATGTTTAATGAGGGTAGCAGATGATTGATGTAATATCCACCATTTGGTGTTAGGGAACTGATACCCCAGATACAGCGCTAGGTTACCAGTGGTACAAGGATGTGCACCTAAAACAGCCCGGTGAGTAATTCCGTGGGCCAGTATGCGTATGTAGGTGTACGGGTGCTATGGGCGCCGTCAGGTTGAGTTCATTCCAGATCTCAGTCAAAGACTAAGTTTTGCTTCGGGATGAGTGCAATCAACAGCACAAATAACTCTCTTTTGATCTACGAAAACACGAGACAGATAGACGCAACTAGCGGATATGATGTCAATGATCACTCCAACTGTACGTGAGGCGTTTGCGCATTACGCGTTATAAGTAACCCCGATTGTTCCTCGGAACTATAGCATACATTAGTGGTCATCGTTACCGGAGAATCGAAAAAATCAAAATGAGAGATATGAGGTCGAAAGTAATGTACAGGGAAGAGTCAAGGGCCTGTAAGAAAGTATCGGAAGACGTATTTCAATTGCACACGTTTCAACTAATGTAATCGACCGGAAAATCAGAAGTGGCGCAACACAAAGACATTTATTTTGACAAGATTCCCAGTGGCATATTGGGTTTCGTCCAACGGATGCGAGATGTGCATAGTTAAAAAAGTGTTAAACGGTAGGATGGAGTTGCTTGCACAGCTTCGTTGTTGACTGTGATTAAATGTCAAACAAATGAGAGGAGGATTCTAGCCTCGAAGCATAAGCGGCTAGGCCACAGCATGCGTCAATCGTCTAAGAATGTGCAGGCGATTTTCGTAGGAATTTAACACGTTCAAAGAGTTTGACATAAAGTTCGAATGTGTGCACAGGTTAGCTGACTCCGAACAAGACAGATAACAGAGAGACAAACTGGAGTGAAAGCGACTGGTTGGCAATGAATTTTTTCGTGTACGGAGATTAGAAAACCACGATACTATAAAGTGTGGGTTGATAGTTGCACCAAACATCAGATGCCTCCATAAAAATAGCAGCTTTGCCAGAAGTCCCGAGTGTGCAATAACGGACCTCGTGTTAGAGAGACAGTAATTTCGAGGGACTAACAAAGCAACCTCGCTATGAACAAACAGAGTTGAATAAAATGATCGGAATAAATTAAGTGAACCGGGCGAGTGAGGTGCGAGAACACAAATTCAGTACAGTTCAGTTGATCAACTATGACCTGAGCACCGAAGTGCAGTGGATTCAGATGCCACGACACACAGCGCAATAATAACAATACATAACACCGGCAGCATGGTGGCGTTGGGTGCAAATAAAATGTAGGGAAAATGAAAACAAGAGGGAAATACGTTAGAATAATCAGATTGGAACGAAAATGAACAACCAGATGAAAGGACCCAAAAGCAGGAACGTCAATGACTTCGAGACTGCGTCATGTCTGACACGGTCTCCAACCATCGGTGTGGACTGCCGGAGACCCCCATCCAGGAAGACGGCACGCATCAGTCTGGTCAAGTCTCTCAGTCAAATGCTTCAAGCTGCTATCCCATGTCATGGACTGGTCGCCTCGTCTCAACCAACGTGGTGGGGACAGGACGTAAAAATTCACACCGAGGAAGCCGATCAACGGGCATACGAAGGACATGGCCTAGCAACGCAAGCGACTAAGATCCGTCAAACACTCGAGAGAGGCACCAGAAGGCTTCTTGCCAAAAACTAACTGGTTAACCCGGTGTTCCCATCATGCATGAGCAGTAGTTTGCATTACCAGTGACCAAACACGGTCAGTCATTTGATGTTTTCACTTCGAACTGGCCAGGTCTCTGATCCATACAGTAACACTGGCTTTATCACAGCGTTATACACCCTACCTTTTATTGACAAGCTGAGATCCCGCTGTCACCATCGATGATTGAGCCTCTGGAAAGCCACACGGGCCTTACTGATACGCGAAGTAACCTAATCAGTGATGAGACCACCAGAGGTGACAGACACCAAGGTAAGTGAAGCGATCTAACACTTCCAGTGGCTGTTCGGAGATAGCTAAGACCGGAGGTGTGTCGCTCCATTCATGCAACAGTATTTTGCAGTTTGAAGTCGAAAAGAACGTGCCGAAGCGCGCAGCGCTACGCACAACTCTGCGGAGTAGTGCTTGCATAGCCAATGCATCAGACCCAAGGAGAACGATGTCGTCCGCATACTCCAGATTCGTCAGTCGATCGCCTGGCAGAAATTCTACTCCAGAATAGTCTGAAAGAACCGAGTAATTCATGATCAATTCAAACACAAAGTTGAACAGGAAAGGAGATATAGGACAACCATTGCGAACCCCACTTGCGCTGGGGAAATCAGAAGACAGTTTCCCGTAGACGCTTAGAAGGTATCGGGAAGCCCGGTGAGAGACGTAAGAATGGAAAGGATTATAGCTGACGCCCTTCGTAAATAGGAAGCGTCACAAGCTGGCGTGATCAGCAGACTCGAAGGCGGTTTTCGAGTCAATAAAAACAACCATAGTCGGTCGTCTGAATGTGCATCTCTGCTCCAACACTTGGCGAAGAGTAATTAGGTGATCCACGCAACCACGACCAAGGCAGAAGCCCGCTTGACTCTCAGTGATTCGGTCCTCACGAGGACCAATTAGTCGTTGAAGAATGATACAGTAAAAAGCTTTTACGCAATGGAAACAAGGCTAATGTCTCGGCGATTTTCGCACGAAGTACGCCGACTCTTCTTGAAGTAGGGCATCATCATCATCATTACACGTTAGCTGAAGGTGGAAAACACCTCAGCTATTGTGCCGCAATACAAAAGATAAGAAAAGGAAAACAAACGGTGGCACGCCCGCTGAGTCCCCAGTAACGGATGGACATCATTCCGGAGAGCCAACAGCTGGCTGCCGTAAAAGAGTCATATTATACCTATCAAGTGAGATCATGATCGGAGGGGGATGGTAAGCAGGAGGGGGATGGACAAAGGAACTCACAACACAAACGCCATTGGGGCCGGCTCCAAGCCATATCAGCAAGTGTCCAACCAAACGTGTTCACCATCCTTAGGACCCCAGCCAGGCAATCGGGATGCACCACCCGACGCCAACTTCGAAGTGAGGGTTTTCATTTCTCTCGACCAAGTCATCACTTGGCCTCTCCTCCTCTTCCAACCGAACCCACAACGCGCAAACAATGCACGTCGCGGGAGTCGGTGTGCTGGCATGCGCAACACGTGGCCCAGCCATCGGAGTCTGGTGCGTGATATAATGGTGCTGAGCGGTTCACTCGCTCTACCTGCACCAAATACGCGAAGTCGAACACGCTCATTGCTCACGCGGTGTTCCCACCAGACATGAGCTAAGCTGCGAAGGCAGCGATGATCGAATGTGACGAGCCTTTTTATGTCTGTCGACCTGATGGGCCAGGTTTCACAACCATATAAGAGAGCTGAACGGACGGCTGCGTTGTAAACTCTGCCCTTGAGGGCGAGAGTAATGTCGCGTCTGCGATATAGGTGGCGGAGATTGGCAAAAGCACCTCGAGCTTTTGCTATACGGTTCGTAACCTCATCTTCAATCCCACGGGTGCTAATATAGCTGCCCAGGTACTTAAATTCCTGAACGACTTCTAGCAGATCACCACCAAGCGTTAGCGCAGGGTTCGGTCCCTGCCAATCTTGGAGAAGTACTTTGCATTTCGATGGAGCAAAGCATAGCCCAAAATGATTGACAGCCAATGCTAATCGGTCCAGTGCTATTTGACATGTTTGGGAGCTGTCACAGATTAGGACAATATCGCCTGCATACTCCAAGTCAAGAAGTCGCTCACCAGGGAGTAGCTTCACACCTTCTAGGTCGTGTCCAGCGAACGCTGTTTCCATGACTTCATCAATAGCGACGTTGAAGAGGAAAGGTAACAGCGGGCATCCTTGTCTCACACCGCTGGTGATACTGAAGGGTGGCGACAGTATACCATAAACCCTCACCCTGCCCGAACTATGCGTGTACAGCGCTTTGATAATGTTTACATATTTATCAGGCACACCTTTCCTCAACAGACAGTCCCAAAGGGCACATCGATCGACTGAGTCGAAGGCACCTTTGATGCCAAGAAACACGACAACGGTGGGTCGCCAATAAACATGGCGGTGCTCCAACACTTGACGCAATGTGAAGATGTGGTCGATGCAGCCGCGACCTTGACGGAATCCGGCTTGCTCTTCACGAATCTGGCTTTCACGAGTGCCAGTCAGTCTGTGGAGAATGATAGAGGCAAGTAATTTAGAGGCAATCGAAATCAGACTGATCCCTCTATGATTGCCGCATTCCAAACGAGAGCCTCCCTTGAAAATTGGGACAATGACGGAGCGGTTCCAGTCTGTCGGGACTGTCTCCTGATCCCAAAGTTTTACTAGCAACTCGTGTAAATCATCTATTAGAGCAGGTCCCCCGAATTTGAAGAGGGCTGGGGGAATTCTATCTGCCCCTGCGACCTTATGCAATTTCAACAGCCTGATCTCACGTTCGACTTCTGCACGTGATGGCGGATCCAAAGAGACGGCCCAGGGAGAAGGACGCTCAATGCCCGAAGAAGAAAGCGATAACTCAGGTTGATTAAATTGCCTTGCAAAGTGTTCAGCCCAACGCTTCAAGCGTTTTGACAGGCTGTGGATCGGCTGCCCACTCTCGTCGCGTATTCTCTCTCTAACACCAGGTCTCCTGCTGCCTTTTTCCCGTATCAGACGGAATAACTTACGATGATTACCAACGGCAGCGGCTGTTTCCATTTCTGATGAAAGATGAGACCACCAGGCTTCGCTGTCTCTTAAGGTTAGCACGTAGTTTTACCCTGAGGTTTTTCCGAGTCTCATTGTATTCGCTTCCAGCCGGAATACGTCAGCGAGCATCCATAAGTTCCAGAGACTGTGTAGAGACCCAATGCCCGGTTTTGCAATTTGCTTTGCCACAAGAAGACATGCCTGCTAACAGCAACGCTTGACGAATATGCGACCAGTGATCTTCAACGGTGTTTAGTGGGCGCTTACTCAGCCCAGATGTCAGCGCACTTTGGTACACATTCAGAACATCTGGCTTCGCCAGCTGGCTGGTGTCAATCCGTTCACATCGACGTTGCGGACGTCCACCGAAACGCACTCGGAGTTCGGCACAGACAAGTGCGTGGTCAGAGTCCACGCTCGTGCTCCAAATCGAGCGGCAGTTTTGGACACAGCCTCTCCAGCGGTAACTGATCGCGATATGATCGATTTGCGTCCATAGCTGGCCCGAGGCTGCTGGCCGCCAAGTCACACTTCTGCGGGTGCTGTGTCTAAAGTTAGTGCTCGCGAGAAACAGGCGAGCATCTTCACACAACTGTAGCAATCGCTCACCAATATCATTACGGGAGCCCACACCATGTTGGCCGCCCAGATGAAGCTCATCAGAGGACAATTTCCGACTTGGGCGTTTAGATCACCAGCCAACACCACAGTATCCGTGCTTCTTCTGTAACGAAGGAAATCGTGAAGTTGCTGATAGAAATCATCTTTTACCGAATCAGTGCTACAGTTTGTAGGGGCGTGGGCCGCAATGACAAACAGGCACCATTTGTCCCCGCGCGACTTCGTAGCATGGAACGAATCAGCTAATCTAACGGCGCACATCCTACTGTTTAGTGGGATCCAATCAATCAGGGCAGCTTCAGCCCGAGGACTCAAAACAATGCCGACACCAGCTTGATCGGCATTTGAAGCTGCATCATCGCCAGACAGGCGCATTGAGAATGTGCCGCCAGTGTCGCTTGTGGGGGATCTCAGGGTAAGCACGGAGCTCGAATCTTGCAGGCGGGTTTCTGATAAACAGCAAATATCGATCGACAGGGTCTCTAGTGTGCGTGCAAGTGCTACCTGTTGGCCAATCTGCAGCAAGGTGCGCACGTTGAGGCATGCCAATCTTAGCGAGACACGAGGACTCCAAAGGGAAACGGATGAACTGACGTTGTCCGCTTGGTTGAACATGGACTTGTCGACTGGATTGGAGCGAGGCCCTGCGATTGTGTGTGATTTGAAATTAGAAGACAAGCGACTATTAAAGTAAGCTGGGGGAGGGCCAAGAATTGGGGGATTGAAAATGGGGGGATATAGGTAAAGTTGGAGCGGGACGATAAGGATGAAAAAGCGCAAGAAGGGGTATAAGAACACGGGAAGGCCTGAGCAGTAGCATCTATACCCCTATCCGCCCTGCTCGATGCAGCAGATAGGGCGCCGTTTATTATCCTCTGCGACGGCCAGAGCATCAAGAATGTATTGTAGGAAAGGTTCATTGTATTGTAGGCACAACAGTTGATTGTCGCCAGTCTGAAAGCAATAGTTCAGTGTTCCAAATCGTGTTAAAAAGAGAAGCAAGTCCAGTCAAAAGAGTCACCACCATCTTTCACCAAATATGGGAAAGGTCGTCGAGGACCATAAACTTGTTACGTTTTAACACAGCGAGCTCATCTCGAGTATCTTCCAAAGTTGGAGGTGTGATATCTACTTCCCATGTCATTTGTGATTCCGTAAGCAGCAGTGTCGCAGCACACCTGCTGAACTGCTCCTAAAAATGTTCCGTCCAACGAGCTTGTCGACGATGCTGAAAATGGATCAGTTATTGCCTCGCCAACTGATGACTTTCTGGGACCCAATACACAGCTTGTCAAAACGCTTGGAGCGTTAAGCTGAACAGTTTGTAAGGCAATTTAACCCATCTGAGTCACCATTTCCTTTCTCGGGAATTAAGCGCACTTCTACCTAGACCGCCTCCTTGGATCCACCCTCACGCGCAGAAGTGGAAGGTGAGATCAGACTTCTGCAATTGTATAAGGCCGCTGGGGCAGAAAACATACCTCCAGCCCTCTTCAACTTCGGGGGACATACTGTTGTGGATGATTTACACGAGTTGCTAACGGAACTTTGCGAGCAAAATACTGTCGCGACAGACTGGAGCCGCTCCGTCACAGTCCTAATTTTCAAGGGAGGCTCCCGTTCGGAATGCGGCATTCATAGAGCGATCAGTCTGATCTCAACTGTCTCTTAAGTGCTTGCCTCTGTCGTTCTTCACAGATTGACTGGCGCTCGTAAAAGCCAGATCCGCGAATAGCAAACTTGCTTTCGTCGAAAGCGAGGCTGTATCGACCACATCTTCACTTTGCGTCAATTGTTGGAGCACCGCATTGTTTATTGGCTACCCACCGTTGTCGTGTTTCTCGACATCAAAGGTACCTTCGATTCAGTGGATCGACGTGCCGTTTGGGACTAACTACTCAGGAAACGCGTACCCGATAAATACGTAAACATTATCAGAGCGATGTAGGTGCATAGTTCGGGCAGAGTGAGGGTTTACGGCAAACTGTCGCCACTCTTCAATATCTCCAGCGGTGTGGGACGATGTTGCCCACTGTCACCTTTTCTCTTTAACTTCGCCACTGATGAAGTAATGGAAGCAACGTTCGCTGGACACGGCCTACAAAGTGTGAAACAACTTCCTGGTGAGCGGTGTCTTGATTTGGAGTATGCCGACGACATTGGCCTCACCTGTGACAGCTCATAAACGTTCCAAGCAGCACTGGACCAGTTAGCACTGGTTGTCAATTATTCTGGGCTATGCTTTGCACCATTGGAATGCAAAGTCCTTCTCCACGATTGATAGGAACCCGCCCCTGCGCTGACACTTGGTGGTGATCAGCTAGATGTCGTTCAGGAATTCAAGCACCTTGGCAGTTATAGTAGAGCTGGTGGGACCGAAGAAGAGGTTACGAACCGTAAAAGCAAAGCTCGAGGTCCTTCTGCCAATGTCCGTCATCTATGGCGCCGACGGCGCCTACGCAGCGATGAGTGGAGTCTGTTCACAAACTTTCCACAGAGGGAGAACCGTCGAAATGTAAATCCGAGTTACCAATGCTGCGATCTTCTAGACTGAATATGTAGTATAAGCTAGAAGTGAACCGAGCTTATGCCACAAGTGTTTGAGAATAGAAGAGCGGACTTATGCAATGCGGATACCATCAATTTTTCAAATGACGTGAAACGGGGAACAAGGCTAGAATTAAACAATCAGGATGAGTTTACTGAAGCAGGCAGCGAGATCGTTGGTTATATCGAAGAGTCAGTACACTCACAGACCAGGTCGTGAAACTGGTTTTGACACGGTAGAAAGGGCGGTGATACTAGATTTTGGTAAATACCGATTGTCGTATGGTTTCGATACACGCAAACCAGTGGAACTGGGGGCGATGCAGCAAGCGAGAACGGCGTAGTTGTGCCAGAGCGGAAGTAACTGATCACGTTCTGTGGAAGGCTTTTTGCTTGACGAACGCAATATTGAAGAGGCGCGATTCTCGGCAATTTGGGCACTAGAAATGGAAAACAAATACTGGTCGTAACACCAGGTGCACATTAAAAACGGAAGAAAGCTAATAAAATAACAATAACTACAAACCTAAGCGAAGGGATAAGTAGCAATTAATATCGAGGGTTATGTAGCGAGGCTCATATACCTGGGATCAATGAACGGGAAGACGGCAGTCAACCGTTGAAACAGCACATTCCAGGCATACTTCACAGTCTGTGGACACATGCTGATCAGACGAGATGGACTAAACGCTATTGAAAGACAGGTCGCCCATATGTCTCCAATGATTATGCGCTCCTGAACCGGTTGTAACACATAAGCCTGTTGCGAAGACTGTCCTTGATGAGTGTTTGGCTGTGCTGAGTGCTGAAAATGGGTAGTGGGCTCTTGGTTTTGCGAATCCACAATCGCAAAAGGTGTGGGGTGAGCAGCCTGATCGGAACAGGAAGTTAACGCCCTACCTGTAGATGCAAAAAGACGTGTAAGTTAACAAATACTAAATGATAACAGTCAACAGTGGTTTTAAAAACAGCGTAAATTTATCACAATGACTTTTTCGAGAAAACGAAGTTGACAAATGCTTGGTCCCTAAGGTGCTTACTTTAAAGCCAAACTAAAAAGCTACGCCGAGTAGTATACATATAAGAATTGCTCTATACCATTTTCCAGGCCGTTGCATTCATAACGCTTTTAAATTCCTCCTTAAGGAAATCATATCCCTCCTTAGATCCCTCAGGGTAGTCCTTAACGCCATCAACTTGCATCCAACTGGTGCGAACACTCCTATTAAGTGTATACTGTTGTTTAAGTAACTAACCCAAATCAACCGACAGTATAACAGATGAGTACACCGAATGGGATACCACTGCTTGATTACGGATTAGTCACGCAGTGGAAAGTTGCATTCAGGTGCGTTTACGCTCGTTGGGCCCTCATGGTTGTATGGCAGCGAAGCATCAGTTCAAATGGCTGATGTACTGCTGTTGATGATGATGATGATGAGTGTCGAGCGTGTAGAGGGACTGAAAATGGCAGTATAGGTGATTCGGGACACGTATTCCTGCGCGCCAAATTCAGACTCCGCTTGACGACGCACCGAAAGACCATTCTACCAAAGCGTAACGCCGCTCAACTGGAAAATACTGACTGTTGTCAATCCCTTGAGACAGCAATAGAAGCAGAAATTTCTGTCAGTCCACTCCGCCTCGTACTTGCAGTAGATGAATCTGTCGACGCTCGCTGGTCTAGGCTAAAATCGTCAGTTCAACGCGCTGCTTTATCTACCTCGGGGCTCTACCCCCAAGTCTGTGAAGGGCTGAACCACTGAAGATACTATCCGCTAGTCCGCTAAAGCGTAAGAATCACGTCTCACGATTTCCACAGACTACCGTCGCTTCAGACAGGTGGCAACCCCTTCAGCACGGAATGATCGCAACCGCTACTGGTTTGTTATCGCCGGCAACATAGAAGCTGCATCAAATTCTGGTAATTTGGGTTATTGTTTCCGTCTCACCTGTTTAGTTTCCGGTAAACGCTATTCACCACAGCCGATATTGCGCAATTCGGATGCCCAAATCATCCCAGATAAGGAAGGAAAACTTCCAGATGAGTAGGGTATTTTAACAATCTAAACCGCCCACTACACATCACCGCACCAATTTCAGCATTAACCCAGTCAAGATATGACGCGGATTGCACACTGCCATCTCCCACGGAAAGTGAAGATATCGTTTGTCGCCTGAAGCCAAAGAAAAGTTTTGGAGCGGACGGGATTCCAGCCGAAATCTACAAGTCTTGTCTACCAACCCTCCTTGACCATACGCACGAGCTCTCTAGCTCGATATGGGAGACCGAAACCTGTCCTTCCTCGTGAAGCACCTCAGTACTACTGCCATTTCCCAAGAAAGTTGACCGAACTGTGTGCAGTAATTAGCACGGGATTAGCCTATTCGACGTGGCTGCTAAAACCTAATCATGAATCTTCCTTTCCCACTTTGTCAGTGAGAGGAAGCTGCGAACTTGCAATAACCAAGATGGGTTTCGTCAAGGCAGAGGTTACACTGACCAAATGTTCACTCTACGTCGGGTATTCGAAAACCGTTACCAGTTCCAGCAGCCCACATTTGTTTGGTTCGTTGATGTTCGAGCTGCCTTTGCCTCAGTTGACCTTAAAGCACTCTGGAGAACCGTACTTGCCGATGACGTACCGGTTAAACTCGTTAGCTTGATGTGATCATGCTACTGTTGTACGAAGACCCGGATTCGGGTCTATGGAGAAGAAACAAAGGAACTCGACATCAATACTAGAGTCCGGCAGGGTAGACCACTTTCTCCAGTAGTGTACAACTTCTCAGTCGGCCGGGTTATGTATCATGCCCTTGAGGGCTATCGCAGTGTCCAAGTTAGCCATGACTTCTGGCTGTCAGACCTAGAATTTGCAGATGATATCGCTATCCTTGCAGAAAACCCTATATCAATACAGTCACTAGTAAATCGGGTCGACCAATCAGCCTTTATGATCAGCCTGAAAATTAACATCAGCAAGACGAAGTACTTCTCGTCGTCAACCACTCAGACCGCCCCGTCGCTCTCGTTATATGGATAACTCATTTAGTCTGTTCCTGAATTCAAGTACCTTGGATCCACTATTCTCCCCAATGGTCAGGCTACATCCGAAATCCGGAATCATACTGACAGCGCTAGAACAGCCTTCTTACAACTGAGAAACAAGTTGTGATGAAGGACGGAAATGAGACCGAGAACGAAAATCCGAGGATTCTCAGCAATCATTTATGCCATTTTACTCTATGGTAGCGAAACATTACTGCTGCGATCCGAAGACCCTCGGAAGCTGTAAGTTTTCGATTATTGGTAAATAAGGCTCATCTTGAAAACGCAGTGGCATGAACGTATCACCCATAAGGAAATCCGTAAGTGTTGTAACTGTCTTCCGAAGCCCACAACCCGCATCCAATACCGTAGACTTCAGTGGCTCGATCACATCCTCCGCAGATTAGACACTGACTTTACTAGGGCCGTGGTTTCGCGCTCGTCGTGCCAGGGTTGGTGTCGTCGCCGTGGTGGTCAACTGCAAACGTGGCTCGTTGCAGTTAAATCGGATATCGATCTTCTGGGACTCCATGTTGTGCATGTTGCCCGTCAATGGAGAAATCATTGGGTCAGTATCTGCGTGAAACTTGCCGCCGACCGCCGCGTTTGAGCAGCTGCAATCAGCGACATTCATGAAGCCGGCTCATTCTGTCGCAGGAGCCAGCCACAGCAAATTAAGGTAAGTATACGACCACGCCACTTGTAACGTATGGCGTGATCAATTTGGGCCCATCACTTACTAGCTACAGGTGGATGGCAAGTGACACTTCGGCGCCCACTGTGTCTAAAAGCTGTGGTACTAAGAAGTAGCTCCGCACATGGCTGTAACAGACGCTCGCCCTTGTCTGTATGGTCTGAGTTTAGCTCATAATTACCACTTAGCAGAGCATCTGAAGAGCGTAGACGACTCACTTGCGAATTCATATCCCCATCAACGACAACGATATCTGCACTGACAACACTGCAAAGTATCGTGTTTAACTCGTAGCAGGTGTCAGTGGGAGCATCAGAACTGCAGTCGGTGGAGGCATTAGCAAAAACTAGAAACAAACAGCGTCTAGTGCTATAATTGGGAATACTTGTAGCTCGGGTGATCTGTTCGGATTTCGTTCTGTTCTCCGAGCTGAACAGTCTCGTTGCAAACGTTTCATCACCAATCGTGGTGACTTCTTCAGTGCGTTATAAGCAAACTGAGCTGTTTTGTCGATTCTTACCGACGAGTGTCACTCGCCCGTCGGTCATGGATTCTACTCTCAGATACACAACACACGTCAGTACTCAATGAGTCCAACGTGCGTGCAAGTGCAGCCCGTTGACCGATTTGTCTTAGAGTGCGAAGGTTGGGCGCCGCCAGGGAAACCGGACAGTGTGAGCTTATAAGGTTGGCGACTGGTGTCCAGTGGGTGGTGCGAGAAGATAGCTGCAGATGGTATGACTCCGGTGACATTGCGGTTGTTGTCAATTAAACCGGGAAGGACGGCTAGTAATGGGGACTGGGAGGGGAGTAAGAGTAACAGATGGAAAGGAAAGAAGGGAGACACCAGCAGTAGCGTGTTTTCGTTTATCCGCCCTGCTGTATGCAGCAGCCAAAGCGACCATTGGTAATCTGCGCGACGGCCGATGCAGGATATGGTTGAAGTTTGAAGAAAAAGTCATGATTGTACGTGGCCTGAGATAATGCCAGGGCGCCGAGACTTAGAAAGGAGAACGATTAGGATCCACAAACAAGGCTCGTCCGCAAGGCAGCGGACGAGGCAACAATTTCGTTTTGTTCTAAATAAGACAATGAGAAGACTGGTATTGCGAGATGGAACCATTTCGTGTTATCTGCCCACTCGCAAACAAACAACATAAAGTTGAATCACGTGAAAGAAAAATCGAAGATTTGAAACTGGTCACAAAGGAAAATTACGTAGACGCAAGAATGACAGATCAACGAGCTTGATCTTAGGGTCATGAGCCCCAAGGAAGCTTCTCATTGTCTTATTTAGAATGATAAAGGGAACTCAGTGCTTTAGATTTCGTTTTGATGAAATGGACACCATCCCATTGCACACTCCCAACCTAGAGGACCAGGATACTCAGTTTGTCTGAACTTCTAACCATTGACCAACCTGGTATGAGCAGCTTCCACGGGGCCCGGGAACCCCACCCAGTATACCTCAGTGGGTCGACGAGATTTGGAAACAGTCACACCATGTTAAGGTTCAGTCTCATTGCGCGAGAATGTCCCAATGTACAACAAATACATAGTCTGTTGAAAACAGTCACGCATCGTACCCGGATAGTGGTAAGCAGAACGAGGAGTCACGTGATCGCACGTTCAGTTAAAAGAACAGTCAAACGTTAAACGGGATCAGGGAGGATCAGTTCACGTAGTTCAAGTAGTTGTGTCACTCGGTGTCACCCGGTGAATTCTCAAAGACACATTCAGCTCCAAATACACCGAGGTAATAGGTTGTCGGACAATAACAGAGTGTACAGCGCTGCAGAACATTGTGCATCACTGCAAGCAACAGTAGTAGGACTAGTTGCCCGTGAGCACTAGTGTCTGCGAACCAGTGCTCACATCTGATGTCGAATAGCGTTAAGCACCGTTAGTTGCTATCTTGCAACAAACGGCGATGTGCTGCAAAGGGCTGTCTGTTTAGCTTGCATCTCAAAAGCAAGCTAGGTGACGTAGTTAATACGACAATTGACCAACTAACGGGGGTGTTGGTTAGCCGTTGTGGGACGTGGAGTTCCAGATTGGCCAATGGAAAAAATGACAGATGACATAAGGATATTGACTGAGAGGCTTAGTCAGGTCGATGTGTGCAGTCTTTCCGAGTGGAAGCCTCCGGAGCAACAGCGTACAAGCTATAAGCAGTATGCCGGTAGGCCGTGCCGACACGTCTCTACTAGGCAACGACCAGGACTCGCATGCAGAGTAAAAATACTGTGAGGCCACATGCACCTACTCAGACTGGAACCGGTGACTTTTGGATTACAAACCAGACACTTTATCCAAGTGGTCTTCGAGAGCAACCACAACTATATATGAAGATGTCATCAAACGTTGTGATGTTAGCAGTTGTACTGCTTTTTCTATTGTTCAATCATTCCACTAGTTCGTCAGCTTTCTTTTGAATATATTCGTATGGCTCCGTTCTTGTTAGTTTGGTTGAGTATTCCTATTGCTTCCTAGCTTTTAAGCCATTATATTGGTAACGTGAGTCGTTGCAAATGCGTTCGCTATGCTTTGGTGTCCGGATTACAGGTGACCAGTTGGACTGGACTGTTAACCACGGAACACATAGTAACGAAATGTTTCAGCTGACCTGGTTGCTTTAGATCCTCTTGAATTCGGGTCCCAACGTCCGTGTGGCCTGGACACCCAGTGTCGACAAACATGCCACACTGAGCGCATCGAGTGTCCTTTGATATGACGACGTCGGAGGATTCTTTGCTCTGAGGAGAAGATACTCGACCAGTGGGAGAGGACCGTAAACTGTTCATTGGCAGGAGACCAGAGTTTGGAGGACCAGTGAGGTGGGCTGGTAGTGCGACGGGATTGGATGATATCAGAGGCGTTGGACTGCCTAGCCATATCGGGCTGCTTCGCTCAGCAAATGCGAAAAAATCCAAATTGTAAGGGTTGGAGAAAGCGTGCTGACAAGGAAAATAATGAAAATAGAAACAGCACGTAATAAGGGTGAAAATATCCAGATGGTTTGCAATAAGATGACCGTACTCTAGCGAGCAGAGTTCACATGCACCGAGTGTGGTGTTAGTAAAGCGGATAATATTGTCAAGAAACGCGGGGCATAGCGGTTGCAAGGACCAGAATCGGGAACAAAGGTGAACTATGAGGAACTTAAACTAATGGCGGCACCACCATGTAAAACGCGGCCGTGTCCGAACAGTAGGAAGTACATGCTCGCTGAAGCTGTGTAGAGAGCGAGACGGGAGGGATAAACCATCTGCGGGATAACTATCTCATTATGAGGGTACACAATCACAGTTTGAAGGAAAGCAAGTCTAAAGCATAATGCCCAATGTAGGAAACATCTGGATGCAAATGAGGGCAAGCTCGGAGGAAAGAAACAGGCACGGAACACAATGTGTATTGATGTCAAACCAGGAAAACATCCATGGGTAGACCAGATCGAAAATATAATTGGGCGAAGCGGTGTGTGTGTGTGCGTACGTGTGGTAAAATTGGCAACTTAACAGGGTTCCGTTTCAGGAAACGGCGAGCAGTGCGTATGAGAACTGCTTAAAGTAGACAGCAGCCTACACAAGAGCGAATCTAGCGCAGCATTGTATTCGTTTATAGTTAAGCAGAAAATTTAAACAAAGATCGGTAACAAATCCGCTATCAAAAATCAGTCAGTTACGTCGGGGCTAATGTGCAAGAAAACGTTTATCAAGTACGAGTAAGATATAGTGAAAACTGGTGCTTGTAACCGATGCCTTACACGTTCATTGGGTGGAATCTGCGGTAGTACACTTTCTAAAATGGCCGGCACCGATCGATCGAGTACATCAATGCAGCACAACTCCTGTGATTGGACAGCACTCGAATCAGCCATAGCCATGTTGATCAGATTGAGGAGAGAGCGACACTTGCGAAGTATGTGCACCGCCAGACGTCGTGTGATGGTACGACAGTGACAGAGCATGACCAAAGCGAAGCCCTCCGCTTCATACAGTACAGCTTTCTCTGTGCTATTCGGAGAAATTGCACCATCCTGTTGGGCGGGAATGAAGAAAGGTGGACGGATATAGTTCGGAACAGACATGCACAATTTGGTTTAAGGTAAAAAAAAGTATAGAGATCATACAATGTGGTGAAGGAGGATAGGCTCTACATGCCAGTCAGCCAAGCGGTGGACATGATTCAGAGTGTGCGAGCAAACGGTTAAACTCCAAGACGAGAACACAACAACCACCATGGTAAGCGTTAGTGAACTAACAGCTACAGAAAACGATGAGATCCCAAAATAAAAAGAGTTGCCAATTGGGACGGGCATAAAGAGGTGGGCGGGCGCTCCGTGGCACAATGTTCAGTAAACAGCATTCATATGGATCAGGCAGGCGGGTGTCCAACGAAAATAAGTCAACGGTGCGATCACTGAATTGGCAGCGTGAAATAAAGTAATAGCAAAGATGGGTAACAGGCTGTTTTGAATAAACTAATCGGGTGCGATGCATCGCAGTGTGTTGAGCGAATGAGGTATCCTTCTTCTACAAGTTACCAGTTAGTGAAGAATGCCTCAGTGATAAACGGATAAGAAAACTGGCAGAGAATCAGAACGAACGTACTTTTTGCAAGGCCAGATTCCAATTGTTTAGTAGATGAAAGAGTGTTTTCAAGTAGCTATCCAGTTGGGTTGGATTCGTATCTGCGATGTTTTTCTGGATAAACTGAATGAACACTGAAATAGATTGAATGATTCACAGTTGATGATATTGTTTATGAGATGTGTGATTTGCAAACAAAATTACCAAATTACCTTGGATGGTCTTTACTCGAAAGGCCGGCAATTCGACGATGAGATTAGCCATTGCCTGTTGTGCCATTTTACGTACGTCCTCGTCTACATGAAGGCATATTTTAGCCAGCAGTTCCAACAACTCGGGTTTTGTCATGTCGTTTGGAAGCAATCGAGGGATGCACGCCACGCAAGTCTTCAACAGATCCATCTTAGGCTTTCGTTCTGCGCTGTACAGTGAGAAAGCATCGAGATTTAAGAAGGATGACAGTAGCTTCAAAATATTGCTGTACATAGATTGATCCAAAGGAAGCAACAAATGACTACTCGTTCATGATGAAACACCATAAGTTGATCAGAGTGCTGAAATCAGCCTATGACACCAAACAAATCGCTGATGAAAAACAGTCGGTACCAAAAAACGTGAACTGAAGCGCGGAACCACCAAATGTAATCAAGGCACAATTTGCCCCCGTAGTACAAGATAACTGGCCCTACTCAAACAAGCGAAATGTTTAACAAACATTTCAGCATCTCCTTCAAGGTGGATACTGAATCCATAAGTTTGGCACTGTCACAGCAACGATCTGCCTTATTCACATCAATAATCTACCCCAGATTCTTCGGTTGCCCTGTACCTTAGTTGCAGACGAACTGAAGATCTGGAGTCATTAGCACTCGAGAGGACTGCGTCCTACTTTAGCAAAACCCCGAACGATTCCACATGGTGTCTGCAGAAATCCGCCTCCCGATCAACCCGTCCAAGTCAGTATTCGTTAGCCTGATGAAGGTTGTTGACGGCCGACCGCTACATTCAACACATTACATGAAGAATCTACGTGTACTTTCGCGCGTAACGGACCACTCATGCTTTTGGTGAGCAAACGCAGCTCCTGTAGTTAGTCTGAAGAGGTCGGCACTCGCCTCTTCTGTCATAAGAGCAATATTGGAGTACGGCTCACCTGTCCACAGTCCAATCACCCGAGGCGAGGCACAGATTGAACGGGTCCAACACGTTGCTACCAGGCTCATTCCAAGCTTACGAGTACGAAGACTGGTGTGAGAAAGTAGGGCTCTAAACCATGTTCTATCTTCAGGCACGAGTCGATCTCATCACGACGTACCGCTCATTATATTTCGATGACTTTCCCATGTTGAAACCGCTGCTTCATTTGCGAACACCATGTAACACATGTTGACACCGGTCCAAGCTACTGGTGCCGGACATAAAATGATTAACCAACTCCCTGTGCATTGCACGGAGTGGTAAATCTTTGGAACAGTCTGCCAGAACGAGTTGTAGAGGCGAAATAAGTACAACGGTTCGAAAGGTTGTCGGATTTATATTACCCCACCATTCGATTAGGAGAACGATTGCACACTAATAATGACATCCTACATTCGTGAACCCAGTGAAACCATGTCAGACGTTTTAAAGTGCAAGATAAGAACTAGAAGAACGATTAGATTATCAAGAATTGCAGGTACTTTTTAGAACATTTTTGATTATATTGCGAGGGGGATGAGCAGATTTAAATTTTTACTTGCTTCCACATATAGCATTCAGTATCCAGATTTGGGCTCCACGATAGACATAAAATTATCAGATGTACAAAGTAATCCATTTGGGTGGTCCAGATAACATACTCCCAGTAGTTATGTAATTCAGCGAGGACGACATTCCCTAAAATTATTCAGCATGTGTGATCTAGTTGAAACTGTGCCAGCGCAGTGGAAAGAAGCCATAGTTGTGCCGCGACATAATCCAGGCCCCCTGTTCGAGATTAAGAATCGCCATTCCGCGAGTCACACATTTACACCGATGTCCCAAAAGTAGGTTTGCTGAATATTTTTGATTTAAATGTATAGAAAACTCACTCGAAATTACAAGGTGTCTCCTTCAAAGTACAGCATTTGGGAAGTTACACAGTGGTTCCAACCCTTTTTCCACTGATCGTAGCAGTACTGAAAGTCTTCCGCAAGAGTGCTAAGTTAATTCGTTACAACTAGACGTTTTTCACGGTTCCATAATGATGAGCTTTCAAACTAGATTCCAACTTAGAGAAGACGGAGAAATCGCAAGGAGCTAGGTCAGACCAGCAGGAAGGCTGTGGTATTGTGGGGATGTTTTTCTTCGGCAACAGACTCTCGAACTGAAAGCGCTATGCGAGCAGGTGTGTTATCGTGGTGCTGCACCCAATCATCTGTAGTGTCCCTTCAGACTTGCTGAGCACGTTTTCGAAGGCCTGATTAACTGTCTGTCCTTGAGGTACAAATTTTTTGTTTACAATTCCACGGCTGTCGAAAATAATGACGACCATCGTTTTCACCCTGGATCTGCTCATGCACGCTTCCTTCGGATGAGGAGAATTTTTCGTGCACCATTCCATAGTTTGCTGCTTGGTCTCGGGAGCTTACTCCAACATCCAAGATTCGTCTCGCGCAGTTACTTTATCCAATAAATTTGGTTTAACTACGAGTCTTCTCAGCATAACCGCATAAATTCCCAACCGATTCTCTTTCCCCTAAACAGACAAGTATTCAGGCCCCAGTTTTGCACAGATTATTGGCACGCGTAAAACGTTTGTTAAAATTCTATGAACGGTCTTTTTTTTATCCAAGCCAGTTTCTTATGCAATCATCCTGACGCTCAAGCGACAGTCTTTCGCCAGCACAGCTCGCACAACTCCCACATTCCGATCGTTTGTTGACAAACTTGGCCTCCTGGAACGAAGTCCTTCTACAACATTTCTCGACCCTCTGTTAAGGCTTTCTGCCACCTAAAAACCATATTGCTTGATAGAGTGGCATCTTTATAAGCTTCCGTTAAATGTGCCAATGTCTCGGTGGCAGACTTCTTGAGTTTCACACAGAATTTGATAGCATACCATTGTTCAACATTTCACTCTATCACAAACGTATTAACATACGACCTTACACAAACTGCTGTAGCGCAGGAATGACTAAGCCGAATGAGTTAAAACAAGTTTTGACATGCAGCTAAGATCTCTACACATCAATAAGATGTTACTTTGTATAGTGGTATATAAGAAAATCAGTACACTTACTTTTGGAGCATGGTAGTAACATGCTAACAGAAATGACGGAGCGACATGTAAAAGATAGAGCGGTCGAATTCTGGTTGAGAAGAAAGTTAATGCATAACCCAACATGGCTTCTTGAAGATCCGGTCCTGCATAACGAGCCACCTTTTATTTCTAGATCATCTAATTGTTTCGTATAATATCGGTATGTCGGCAACTCTGACTGACACTATGATGTAGGGTTACGACAATCGAACGCCAAAGCAACTACCATTTAGCGGTAACAAAGTGCAAAGTATAAATTATTCTGCTAAAGTGGAAGACATGTGCGCCGTGTTGAGCTCTGAATATTCTACTCACGTCATCAATTCTTCGACTTCTTTCTGAGTAACTTCAGGTTTCGAAAGCATCATTGACCGACAAACTTGTGAATCGAGCTGACGCAGAATCAATTCGAAGGCGCGCCTAATGGGAGAAAGATAATTTTGTATACCCAAAATGTGGCCCAAAGCGTCGTTCAGATTTGTCCCATGAAACGATCGCTTAATCACTGTCTGTCGCAATCCAGCTCCACCACCACCACCGCCGCCGCCGATGCTTTGTTGGGGCATAGGAGGTGCGCCCTCCTTTTGTTGTAATCCATGCGCAATAAGCAGAAAAGCACAAAGACCGATGTTCATGCGCTACGAAAAAGGCGGAAAGGGAACTTGTAGCACTCGCACAAATGGTACAGCACCGAATCAATAATTCACTTCGCGAGTGAAACCGCAGTCGCAACTTTCAAGCGAAAAAGTGATTGTAAATAAGGATTATATATAAAACACATAGACAGTCACTTAAACAAGGTGATGGGAAGCTAATTCTCGAATGTAATAATGGAATGATCATTGCTAACAGACTGGAATAAGCCTGAACATGTGGAGCCAGGACAAGGTACGTTCAATGTGAGAACACTGAAAGATTCTGGGTTGAACCTGGTTATTAAGTGATTGTATACGCCCTTGGTTTATTCTGCTACGGCAGCTGGCTGGGTTTTTCTCTACCTATCTCACACACACACACACGTTTGCATGTAAATCAGATGGTACAAACTGATGGGCAGATGTAATAATGCAGTTCCCCAATAGGTCGAGAATTATACGTAAGGTAGATACATCGCTACTCTCGTATCATCCAGTCGAGTCCACCCGCAGAAAGTTAACATGAAGCCAAATTCCGTGTTAGAGTAGCCGAATAAAGGTAGCAGGATACTTTGCAGTGATTCTCAGTGGAAATTTCACAGAATAAAAATTTAATCAATGTAGGGGACAACAAATGAAGCTAGCAGCAATTCGACTCAAAAATATTCAACATACCATGGCCAACATCGATGAGCAGCCAACTCGTTGAACTAACGATCAATGGGAAAATTAAGGCCAGGGCAGAATAACATGAGGTCAGCATGTCGTGCTCTCCCATGGAAAGCTTCACACACACAAACCAACGAATCGCTCGCAAAAGCCTAGGTACAAGAGATTCTAGGTCAGATAAATGCGCTCTCAGTGTAAGTGTACAGTGTAAGTGTACGGGACAGAAGTGAACGGTTCGCTCCCCTTAAAAATTAGCCACGAGAGATAACAGGTTTCAGTCGTAAGTTGGGTTGGTGCAAGCCCAACTTGCTTAATGGGACTCTATCACCAGTTTCAAGCTACCTAGGTCCTGGCCAGTAAGGTGAAAACTGGCCATTAAACGGTAGAAATGGATAGGGACCGCAGATGCATCACACAAAACGATACAAACAATGTACAACTCGTTCGTACGCGTTTATAACTTCTTGCACACACAGGGCTCTGCGACCGCAGCTCAGAACTAGATCTGCATCACAAATGCTTTGCCCACCAGGTTAACAAACCAAGACAGTGATGAGCACTCCCGAACAAAGTCCCCTGTCGACATAGATAGATACTGAGCACCATATGCGATAAAGCGCTTGTGTAGTAGTCGAGTACGACCGAAAAAGAGTTCGGTCGATCGCGGACCTCATGTTGGTCAAACGAATGCCAAGCAAAACGTCGAAAGTATGAGTAGCAAACGGAAACAAAAAGATATAGCGCATCAATCCAGCACCTACTTAGGAGAGTTTCTTGTAGACCGGAACACAACCAGTAGATTCTCCCTGTATGGTTTACAGGGTAATCCATAAAATAATGACAAGAGTAATAATAATAATACGTATACTTAGCACTTGTGCCAGAGGTTGTCCCTGAATTGAGAACAGATCATGAGTACAGTAATCAGCATGCTCATACATGAGTTAGATATGTATTCTGGAGCGTGTGACGGCAAAAGATCTTTTAGCACAGAGCATTTGTTGTTGCTGAGTTCTGTGTAACATCTTTCTCATTGGTTATGTATTTCTTGGCCCATCTTGGAGGAACCCATTTAGTGAATTGCCCGATAAAAACATGGCCATTAGCGAGTTTCGGTCCAGGAAATTTCTAAGTTGAATGCAAAATGTTGTTGTATTTGTGCAAGACCAGATAGTGGCTGGTAGGCTATTCCACACGACAGTGTTGGATGGAATAGCTGTCCTGGTTCTGAGAACAGTTAGATTACAAGTATAGTGGAGTAGCTTCCGGGGGAAGCTATGTAGCAATTCCAGTGCGCATAGATTGGAGTGCCATTTGGTTAATGAGATTGTATCAGTAGCATGTTATGTCAGTCGTCGCAACCAAAGGGGCTCCAGCTTACGCGGGTGGTAACACTCCTGAGAGCTCAATGTGGACAAGTTACTGAACAAGCGTTTAGTGAATGATCTTTGCAGGTTTTGTAGAGCATTCCTGTCACTAAATAGGCATGTTTTCATAAACGATGCTGCAAACTTAAAGAGAGGTGCGAGCATTTCCAAAACCGCCATTCCCGAAAGGACTGTATGGATTTAATGGCAGATGTTAGTCGTAAACCATTTGGCGCACGCTATTTGATACTCAGCATGCTCCGAAAAGCTGGATTTTGAAAAGTATCGTATGCCTATAGCACCCATTCACAACGGGAGTCATATCGCCCCCATGACGGTCATAGAAAATTTCCGGGGAGGGGAGGGGAATAGGAATGAGAAAATTTTTGCGGGGTGCATAGGGGTCAAGCAGTAAAATGAGGATTGTGAAAACATGAATAACAAAAATCTCCAAGCAGTAATGTCCCGTGGACACTACCGGTAAGTGAAATTACGCACTCAAAAACAAGTGGCGGATTACCAGGGTGTGAAAGCAAAACCGCACAGATTCCGTTCGAACAAAGTAAAAATGACAGTACTTAGCGTTTCTAAAAGATCCGAGGCCGTCTGTAAATTCCGCGTAAAAAAAACAAAGAGACACAGAAGTCCAACTACTTTTTAAAACATAAAGCTACGAATCGCCAGATGGACGCCTCCACAGTCAACAAATCATGGCTGAATAGACCCAGCACAAAGATATATAAACTAAGCCGGATAGTAGGCAATTGCAATAATCAGAATGACATCGAAAACGCCGAAAGGCAGTAACAGATATGCTGATCAACCATACACAAATCCACATAAAAACCGCACACCAAATGCGACAACCGCTACTATCAACGCACATCTCGACAACTCGTATCTAGGAGCGATAGCATCAACTAAATCTACCCCACCTTCCATCAACATCTGCTGTACGACAGCTGAACTCAACAGACACCAGTAGCCCTGACCGCGGTCTCATCGCTCCGAACTCATTCGGTTTATTCACTACAGAAAATATTAAGAATAGCGAACAAATGATTGCTGGGAACGAAATAACGATACTGGAAAACAGATACAAACGTCGAGATCCACCCTCTGAATTGCTAGCTGATGTTGTGAACATAAATACAATAAAATAACAAATAAATAAATCGCCAGCTGTACGCCGTAACGGCGCTTCGCTGCTACGCGACCATCACCAGTTTCGCGTGCGCTGGGTGTACCGCAAAGATGCCCACCCGTTCTATGGTTAGGTTAACAACTCCACGACTGGTATTTGCACAAAATACGCAGCTGTGAGAAACTTGGTAGTGCTCAAAACTCCGTGTCAACAACTACATTACCGACGCAGCGTTACGCGCTGCTTCGAGCCTATTAAAACGCATCAATTATCTTCTGACTACAAGTACCTATCAACCTTCAAGATACCAGCCTGTCCGCCACAACCCTAGACAAAGAAATGAAAACCGGAAAGACGTTGAAAACCTGCCAATATCAATGCAGCTCCTCACAAACTACAGCTTTAGTATAACCAGTTAGTAGCAGAACTCGCAATGGCTCCGCATCCATTTCTACCGCTGCCACACCCAGCAGAGACAGTCTAGCTTGTTCCACTTTTCTTGCAGTTCATCCACATATCACGGCTGGCCCAATGCCAGATAAATCTTGACCTTGCCACGGGACATCAATCGTTTCCGCCCGCCCGATCTTGCTAGTGCGAACAATGCCCTTACATCCGGGCATGCCATCGATGGGTTTCTTTCCGTCAACCCTTCAAGTAACTTTGTCTGTCATTTCCGATTCCAAGTCCTCCGAAGTGTTCACGAAAAACGTGTTTATACACAACACATTTTCACGCAAGATACACAAACAATAACTTGCATATTGTAAGCATGCTTACTCAGCTAAGCGCCCCACGTCTGCTCTACGTCACCGAAACATGGTGCTTTTCTGATACTTTGGATGCTAATTTAGATATTCCTAACCACAATTCCTTTCGAAAAGATCGCAGTACAAAGAAGGGAGGCGGGTGTATCGTATATCTCAATCGAAACTTCAGAGTGGAGTTTCTCGACGACCCACAGCTCAACAATGTCCCAGAATCTATATGGCTATCAGTCGCTGCAACTTCTTCTACAATACTTCTCGGTTGCATCTATATCCCCCCGAAAGCGACAGTCAGGGATATCACACTTATCTCCTCGGCGTTTGATTTCGCACCAGTGTTACCACATGGTCTAAAGATAATCGCAGGCGATTTCAATCTACCGAATGTTACTTGGTCACCACAAACATCATCATTGCATCGATCTTCCTTGCCGACTATCAGAGTTGCGGTTTGGACTCAATGAATCACCAGACCAAATTGGTCTGCCAGCGTACTGGATCTAATATTTACCCTGGGGATCCCCAACGCACAAATTGACATCATAACCTGGCAGTGACCACACGGTGCTACGGCTAACCACTTACATGGAAATGAATACCAAACACGACTCGCCTATCCATTCTACTATCCAAAGGATTGACTGGGAGTATTTTCTCTAATTGGAATGCCATTTTTCTCTCCACTAGCGCCCCCATTGCAGTGGAACAGTTCTACTACCAGATCAATCGCATCATAACTGCACTTGTCCCACATTATAAACGTGCTACTCCTAATTCTAACAAGGCAAGTGATACTCGAAGTGACTTGAAAACGATAAAACTAATCGGGAAATTCAGAAACACCAGAGAATTTCATTAATATAACAGTTGCACGAATCCATCGCATGTATAAAGCGTTCCTAAATGAAGCGGATTGAAAAGAGGAGGAGAACGCCTTGCGGATGACATGCAAAGGAAAGGAATTGATAAAGTACTCCGTCATAGAAATAACGATCGGTCGTCTTTGATCACGGAACTAAACAATGAGGAGGGTCGCTATCTTAACAACTCACTTGC